TAGATACTTATAATCATGGAAAATTAAAGAGTTCCCGTGGGATAGTTAAAAAACTATAGTAACTTGTACAGCTTAGTACACAACCTACTTAAGTAAAGTCATTTCGACTTAAAACAAAGAGTGAGAACGACACGTCATTTGTTAATTTTAATCGATACATACTAATATTCCCGGACATAATAAACAACAAGAACACAGTATATGATAAGTACACACATCACGGGCGGCGGTACAGATCTAAACCAGCGGCATTGCAAATGTGCTGACCCCTTTTAAAAAGGACAAGGTTATGTTGTCGTACATCAAATACTGCTGTTGGAGTTATTCCAAAGCTATATAATAGCACGGTGGAAAACCGCCCATATAATAACCTATATAATAGTGCGTTATCTACCCTTTGTCTTTTTCTCAATGTCCTCTACCCAAAGGTTGTCTGGAAGAGATTGCTTAGCGATAAAGCCGCCTTTTGTATCACTTCTCATTAATATTAAATGTATTTATATATTATTTGTAAATAAATAAACATAACACACCTTTTTGGGCGGTCGGTTAAAAAAAGACGTGTAAAGAACTAACCTTCACAACAGTTAGGGGCATTTTGAAATCCACGCCTCCTATGAGACGGAAACCCCACGCCTGATCACCAGATCTCGTTATGCTCACCTCCAGCTCCATCTGTTGGTGGAAACAGTAATTTATCAAAGGAAGACTACACTCCCTCTGGTGATACATACGTATAATACCTATGTTGGGGGGGGGGGGAAGAGATTGTTAGTAATGGAGACTGAGAATCCCATTGCTAGCAATAGCAATATACCCAACCAGGTCGACCTCCTCGCGGTTCCCCCTGGAAACTATTATGGTTAATTCCTGATGAATTCATCATGATGGGCTAACTGGCCTGTTTTCATTCTCATCTATCACCCTTCACTGGTGCTCCGCCAGCGTATCCCGTTAGCGCAGGCGGAGTTACCGTACCATTTTCACCCAACAAAAAAAACCTATGTTGGGGGTGAATGGGTTGTTAGTAATGCGGACTACCAGTCCCATTGCTGGCAATATACCCTGTCAGGTCGACTTCTAGTCCCCTCTGGAAACCATCGGGCTGAATTCCAGATGTATTCATCACGATGAACTAACTGACCTGTTTTCATCTTCACCTATCACCCCTCACTGGTGCCCCGCCAGCGTATACCGATAGCGCAGACGGGGTTACCATTCCATTATTTTTTCATTAATTTATCATCCATTGAAAAAAGCTGTTATTTTTAATGGATGATATTTAATGATAAAAAACCTACTTCGGTACGCCAAAGTCCCACACATGGGTACCTCTGTCCCACTCGTGTTCCTACCATAAAGTATGTACTATGGCTGTGTTTCCATTAGAACTCACATTCAAATCATTTTTATGCAAATAGTTTACGAACTCTTTTAAATTGGTTAATGCAAAAAGCATTAACCAACTTCAAAATTAAAGAGGCTATCAATATCGGTTGTCTTTTTTTACATTTGCCACCCCATAACTCCGTCAATACTATAAAAAAAAAATACTAAACCGATTTGAAAAAATAGTTCTTTTTTATCTGAAAAGACATTTTTTTTATACATCTTAGAATGGCAAACAAGCTGACGGCTCACCTGATGGAAAGTGGTAACCATCGCCTATAGACATGAGCAGTACCGTGGACATAACAGAGTATACTGTTTCGTCCATGATACCCCCCATGCGTTGCCAATCCTGAGGACTCAGGTGTTATTCCTCCGTACCCAGTAAATTCACGCCATATCCCACCCTTCAAACCGAAACACAGCCATGCAAACACAACTGCTTCACGGTAGAAACACGAATGGGACAGAGGTGCTCAAGCAATCGACTTCTGTACAGTCTCCCTCTGGTAATATTAGTATAGATTGTCTACCCTGTTAACTAATACTATATAACCGATCGTTCAGATGAAGTAACAATAAAAAATAGTAAATAAATTAATACATATAAGCTACATATGTTTTTCGAAAAATCTATCTACCAATTCGAAGCCGGATTGAATAGCTAGTAAGGAATGAACTCAAAATCTTCTGAACCGACTTCAAAAATACATTCACCTACATGTAAAGCAGAGATGGCCAACTAGTCGATCGCGACTATTAGTCCAGTCGATAGTGGCAAAGCGAACAATATAATATTTTGCTAATCCAGCGGAAGATGCTCGGACGCAATGCTCGCACAAAAATAAACAAGTAGTTACTAAGAATAATTTGCAGTTTTACGTTTTCCCTCTTAATAAAATAACAAAATACTACATTGGTCACAGCAGAATATCAGTGTTTTGCTCTTTTAAGGGCAAAGCAATAAACTGAGTTGTGACCATTTTGTGTTACTATGGCACACGCATGAAGGAAAGGAAAGAAAGGAGATTGTTAGTTTACATATTTTGTTTTTTTTTATTTGTACTTTTTTATTTTCATTCTTTTACCTCTTTTACTGTGTATTATGTGTATGTTTTTTTTTATTGTAATTTGTGTGCTGTAAGTAATGTAAATAAATTATCTATCTATCTGTCTACAATACAACACAATTGTGTACTGAACTATGTCGTTTCATTTGTGATTTCAACAAGTATGTAATTGGTCGATCGCACAGGGTCTCGTAAGTAAACAGTAGATCTTGGGTCTAGTCGAGTCATGAATTTACTGGGTACAGAGGAATAACACCTGAGTCCTCAGGAATGGCAACGCATGGGGGGTGTCATGGGCGAAACAGTATACTCTGTTATGTCCATGGTACTGCTCATGTGTATAGGCGACGGTTACCACTTTCCATCAGGTGGGCTGTCAGCTTGTTTGCCATTCTAAGATGTATAAAAAATAAAAAAAAAGTAGGCCACGCCTGACTTATAGAATAGCTACATTACCAGTGATTAAAATAGGTTATAAATTATTTAAAAAAAAAAATTTTAATTCCCTACGAAAATCACAATAAAACAACCCAATAAATACTAACCTTTTTTTTTTTTTGTAAACTCAAAACGAACACATTTACGAGCACAGTTTAACTGACCACTTGTACTATAGTTAATTGGTAACTGAACTGTTAAACTTGGCAGTGGTTACTGACCGCATTTCTTTTTCGACTCAGAACCCAATACAGGTCACGTTAGGGTTCACTAATCGTTCGTGGAATAAAAAAATAAAATGTTTTCTAAGCCAGAATAGAATAGAAATAAATGTTTTATATATTTTATATAGAAAATAAATAATTATATTATTTATTTACATAAATAGTAAATATATAATTATTTATTTATATAAATAGTAAATATATAATTATTTATTTACATAAATAGTAAATATATAATTATATTATTTATTTACAGAATGTCAGTGCTTTGCTCTTTTGGGGGCGAAGCAATAAACGTGAGTTGTGACCATTTTTTATTGCTACAGCACACGCACAAAAGGATGAATTATATGAAATGAATGAAATGAATTTATTTTGCTAGAATGTAGGTAATTTTAGATGATAGAGGTTTATATTTCCCGTGTACATCCTGCCTCTATGTCGGCGTGCAAATTTTTAACAATATAAAAAATATATATATATATATATATATATATATATATATATATATATATATATATATATATATATATATATATATATATATATATTCTACATATATATACAATATTTTATTATTATTTATTACAGTAAACGGAAAATAAAAGCCTGTACAATAGTCTTTAGATAGTAGTAATAGTAATAAATAATTACTTGACTTTTTATGTATTTTTTTTTAATAATTTCCCTTATCTCGCTTTTTATATATATATATATATCTGTTGTAATTCGTGTGCTGTAAGTAATGCAAATAAATTGTCTATCCATCTATCTATTTTCGAAAAATATAATAATGTATCAGTGAGAGATTAATTCAATAAGTAATTTTTTGATTCATAAACTGTTTCAATATGTACTGTAATCCACCCTATAACACGGTAGATTCGTCCCGCGTTATAGAACAATTCGCTGTAGAAGTATTCTCGTATAACACACTTGTACGAGCCTGTATAACGAGCTTGTACGAGCCCGTAAAACGAACTTGTACGAGATCCTATAAAGCATCGAGTCTCAAACACGGGTCAACTTTTGTCAGCTAAGTGTTAAATTAGCTGACAAAAAACTCGTTTTTTTATCAATATTCTGTATACTTACGCACACAATGTATCTTGACGTATCTATAGTTAATTATTTTATAAATAGAATAAGTGTTTACGCATTAAAAAGATGGAGAGATTATAAGAGAAAATAAATATAGAAGTTATAAAGGAATCACTCATAACTATTTATCACGCAAAATTGTATGAATAAGTTGACACGTTTTTCTCAAAATATTTGTATGGAGATACTCTATCTATATAATCTTTTTTTTTTACAACACAGGAGGCAAACGAGCGTGCGGCTCATCTGATGGTAAGTGACTACCGCCGCCCATGATCACCCACAACACCAACGGCATTGCAGGTGTGCTACCGGCCTTTTAAAAAGGAATATACTCTTCTCTTGAAGGTTATGTTGTCGTATCGGTTCGGAAATACTGCTGTTGGAAGTTTATTCCAAAGAGTGGTTGTGCGTGTAAGAAAGTGCCTTGAAAAACGTACAGTGGATGACCGCAACTCGTCCAGATGGTTGGTATGAAATTTTAGTTTATGGCGGGTTGTACGGTGGTGAAAATCAGCAGCAGGTATCAGTCCAAACAATTCCTCAGATCTCCCCATGATAAATTCAGTAGAAGATACTTATAAAAAAAAAATGATAGGAGCAGTTTCAAGAAAAAATTACAATGAGAAAACAATGGCTTTCTTATTAGCGATAGCTGATAGGGTTATGTTGTCGTATCGGTTCGGAAATATTGCTGCTGGAAGTTGATTCCAAAGTGTGGATATCGAAACCTCATTTAAACGCGTATTCCCTATTGAGTCATAGCCAACATGTAAGAAATTTTTCGAAAATCTAGTCGGCTCAAAACAACTGTACAAAATATTACTTACATTTTGTTTTCCAACAACAAATTTAATTAAAAAAATGCGCCTGCATTTAATCGTGCTCTCCATATTGCTGTTCACGTGTGCGTCGTCTAAAAATAGCGTGAAATCTCTAACGGAGTCCATGGGACAGGAGGTGATCGAAATTGGTTCTCCCATCAAAGGTAAAATACAGTAAACTAGCGTGCCTCCCCGCCTTCACAGAGTTTTTGTTAATAAAACATATTATATGTTAATTGCTAGTAATATAGCTTTATACAGGTGCAAGAATTTTTGAAATTTTGTAACTAATTTTTAGGTTTCAAATCTATCATAGATAATCCATTCATTGAAAAAATTATATATATATATATATATATATATATATATATATATATATATATATATATATATATATATATACCAGAGGGAGACTTTGTACAAAAGTCGATTGCTTGAGTACCTCTGTCCCATTCGTGTTTCTACCGTGAAGCAGTTGTATTTGCATGGCTGTTTCGGTTTGAAGGGTGGGATATGGCGTGAATTTACAGGGTACAGAGGAATAACACCTGAGTCCTCAGGAATGGCAACACATGGGGGGGTATCATGGGCGAAACAGTATACTCTGTTATGTCCACGGTACTGCTCATGTCTATAGGCGACGGTTACCACTTTCCATCAGGTGGGCCGTCAGCTTGTTTGCCATTCTATGTTGTATAAAAAACCATGTTGGTGATGGTTGATAATCTTTCACAGAACTACCAGCAGATATAGAAGAGGAGCCGTCAGCCGAGTTGGATGGTGATGAAAAGACCACCATCACCACTCAAACAACCACCAGGAAGATCACAGCGAAAACAACTAACGTAAATAAAAATTAAATCAATTAATTGCCCACTAGTAGGATACCGTGGGTTAATCCTATTTTCAATAATAAATGTGAAAGCGAGTTTGCTTATTACATCATAACGACATAACCAGCCATTATAAACTTTGGTATGGCACTGAATTTATAGGAAATTCACTGCCATATCCCACCCTTCGGACCGAAACACAGCCATGCAAACACAACTGCTTCACGGTAGAAACACGAATGCGACAGAGGTGTCCAAGCAAACGACTTTTGTACAAAGTCTCCCTCAAGTTAGTTCGGTTTTCGTGAAGTTTAAAGAGAGACGCTGCTGCTCATTAGTCAACCATTAAGTTCCCTTAATCGTCTCAAGAGCTTCACCGACAAGAACGCAGGTCCCGGCATAGAGTATATTCCTTTTGAAAAGGCCGGCAGCACACCTGCACTGCCGTAGTTGTTGTGGGTGATCATGGGCGGCGGTAGTCACTTACTATCAGGTGAGCCGCATGCTCGTTTGCCCCGTGTCGTAAAAAAAAAATAATAGAATAGACCAGCCCTTCCTTTCTCATGAATGTCATATACATAGTCACATGCACTGAAGTAAAAACTCGAAGGGACGTGCCATGTTAGCGTGACAATCGGAACACCAAATTACAACCATCAAAGAGTATGTTTCAGTCTTGGCCAACCATCCACATGAACGCATTATGTGATGGAAAGTGACCTCTGCCTACCCCTCTTCTAACTGTACCTGTTATTTATTTATTTATTTACACTAGTCACAAAAATGAAGGGATATAAAAAAATCCAAAATTTTTGGATGATTTTCAACGAGCTGTAACTCCGAGGAAAATGATGGTACAGCAAAAAGAAAAAAGCTAAATTGTAGCTCCAAGTGTCTAGTTTTCAGACGTGACCATGAATATTTTTTATCATTATTTGGTTTGGAATAATCTTAAGAAAAGTACTAAAAAAATTAGCAAATTTTTTTTTACCCAAAAAAGGCTTAAAATAAATGTATTTATTTGTATTTAGAATAAAATATCAAATGGTAGCAAATATAATGGACACACACAATGTATTTTATTCATATTTCCTTTTTTATTATTATTTTCATTAAACATTTTCGCGACTGACTCTTGGCCACAACAGAATATCAGTGTTTTGCTCTTTCGAGGGCAAAGCAATAAACTGAGCTGTGACCATTTTGTGTTACTATGGCACACGCGTGAAAGAAGAAAATTGTTGTTTTATATATTTTGCTTGTTGCTTTTTTTGTTTTTCATTCTTTTATCTCTTTTTACTGTGTATGTCTGTATTCACGTGTATGTTTGTATTATTATTTGTGTGTTGTATGTAATGCAAATAAATTATCTGATCATCATCATAAAATAAATATTGTTTTAGCTACCAGATACCCGAAGGAAAGACAAGGAAATCGATAAAAAGGACAGTTTGAAGCCTGAAGATGAAGAGGCGAGGATCGAGAAGGAACTAGCTGAAATTTATAAAGACAATATTGGTAATTTTAATGTCAAAAAGTCTGTAACCATATTTTCCTTCAAAAAAGTCCCTTCGTGAATATTACTTCAAATTAATACAACAATGAATAGCTTCAGTATTGTATGACTATTACCAGAGGGAGACTTTGTACAAAAATCGTTTGCTTGGCCACCTCTGTCCCATTCGTGTTTCAACCGTGAAGCAGTTGTGTTTGCATGGCTGTGTTTCGATTTGAAGGGTGGGATATGGCGTGAATTTACTGGGTACAGAGGAATAACACCTGAGTCCTCAGGAATGGCAACGCATGGGGGGTATCATGGGCGAAATAGTATACTCTGTTATGTTCATGATACTGCTCATGTGTATAGGCAACGGTTACCACTTTCCATCAGGTGGGCCGTCAGCTTGTTTGCCATTCTAAGTTGTATAAAAAAAAACACGTCTCTACACGGCATTTTTAGTTTTATCTACGTTAATTCTTTTAGTTCAAAGTTCCCGCCAAATGTACGTATAACAAAACCAGCGAGTGGCAAGCAGCCTAACAATAATTACGTACAATACTGTTTTTGCAGATTTTTTTTAATGGGTGAAAATGGAATGGTAACTCCGCCCGCGGTATCGGTATACACCGACGGGGCACCAGTGGAAGCTGATAGGTGCGAATGAATGCAGCTCAGTTGGCCCACCGTGATGAATTCGACAAGAATTAAACATGATGGTTTCCAGGGGGAACCGCGTGGAGGTCGACCTGGTTGGGTATATTGCTAGCAATAGAATTCACAGTCTCCATTACTAACAAACCCTTTCCCCCCAAAATGTTTTTGCAGATTACAAGGATAGTTCGGAGTCAGTGAAGGAAATGACAACGACATCTGAAGAGGTTGCCTACCCGGCGCTGAGGCAACGCACGGGAAAAGAGTAAGACATTTTAACTGTACTAATCTATACCAAGCATTAAGTACTGTTTTTTTTAATGGGTGATAATGGAATGGTAACCCCACCCGCGTTATCGGTATACACCGGCGGAGCACCAGTGAAGGTTGATAGGTGAGAATGAAGCAGGTCAGTTAGCCCATCGTGACGAATTCAACAAGAATTGTTCACGATGGTTTCCAGGGGGACCACGTGTAGGTCGGCCTGATAGGGTATATTGACCTGCTTTCATTTTCATCAGTCGTCTATCACTGGTGCACCACCAGTGTATATTAATAGCGCAGACGGGGTTACCATGCCATTATCATGCATTAAAAAAAAGTCCAGAAGAATGTCAAGCACGTCACTATTTATTTTTTTTACAACTACGTAGGTTTAAAATAGGTTGATAACCTACAGTCTTATCTCTGACAGAGATCTCTTCAAGTCAACCATTATGGTATAAATTAATAAGAATTTATTTTATGTTCATAAACTCAATGCACTTGTATGTATCTGCCAATCTTAGATTATGTCTTACTGTCCGACTCGCCCCACTGAAACTGTGTAGAGATGTTGCATCTCTGTGCATCTTCTACCGAATTTATCATGGGGAGTGTTTTGAGGAATTGTTCGGATTGATACCTGCTGCTGATTTTCACCATCGTACAACCCGCCACTAACTAAAATTTCATCCCAACCATCTGGACGAGTGGCGGTCCTCCACCATACGTTTTTCAAGGCACTTTCTTACACGCACAACCATTCTTTGGAATAAACTTCCAGCAGCAGTATTTCCGAACCGATACGACAACATAACCTTCAAGAAAAGAGTATATTCCTTTTTAAAAGGCCGGCAGCACACCTGCAATGCCGCTAGTGTTGTGGGTGATCATGGGCGGCGGTAGTCACTTACCAGCAGGTGAGCCGCATGCTCGTTTGCCCCCTGTGTTGTGAAAAAAAATGTAGATAGAGCATCGATCCTTAAAAACAAGTCAACTCTATGTCAGCTAATTAGCTGACTCGGTTTTTTTTTATCAGTGTTCTATATACTTACGCACACAATGTATCTTGACGTATTGTTTAATAAATAAAATGAGTGTTTACGCATTAAAACGATGCAGAAATTATAAGACAAAATAAATATAGAAATTATATCAATATGATGCCCACAGCCACTTTCTACCATCGTACGGCTCGCCATCGACAGGGAGTTCATCCTCATGTCCTACAGCCTCAATGGTCGCGTACTGCGCGGTTTCAGAGATGTTTCCTCCCACGAACACTCAGGTTGTGGAATGAGCTTCCTGCCGAGGTTTTCCCAAGAGACTACAACATGGGGTTCTTCAAAAGGGGGGTAAAGAGGTTTCTTCAGGGTCGGCAACGCGCGCGTAGTACCTCTGGTATTGCAGATGTTCATAGGCTACGGTAACCGCTTACCATCAGGTGGGCCATATGCTCGTTTGCCACCTCAGTGGTATAAAAAAAAATGTATAGAAATTACAAAGGAATCACTCATAACTATTTATCACGCAAAATTGTATGAAATGGTTGACACGTTTCTTTCTCGAAGCATTTGTATGGAGACACTCTATCTATATACATAATCTAAGCTGTCAATCTTAACAGAGACTGCGCAGTATAGTTTTTTTTTTAAACAATGGAATAAAAACAATATTAGCGCTTTCATGTCTTTGTTGTAATCATATAAAAATCGCCTTACTTGCAATTTCCCTGAATCGATAGATTAGATAGCGGATTTTGTTTTAGACGTGATAAAAAATTGGAAGTAATATACGATAATGGCGTCATTTATTTATTTATTCTTTAATGACCACGTTACAGAAAATATTTATTTATTTTACACTTTATTGAACCATTTATAAAATAGTAAATACATTTAATTGTAATGAGAAATGATATAAAAGATGGACTTAGGGAGAGGGAGACTTTGTACAAAAGTCGATTGCTTGGGTACCTCTGTCTCATTCGTGTTTTTACCGTGAAGCAGTTGTGTTTGCACGGCTGTGTTTCGGTTTGAAGGGTGGGATATGGCGTGAATTTACAGGGTACAGAGGAATAACGTCTGAGTCCTCAGGAATGGCAACGCATGGGGGGTATCATGGGCGAAACAGTATACTCTGTTATGTCCATGGTACTGCTCATGTCTATAGGCGACGGTTACCACTTTCCATCAGGTGGGCCGTCAGCTTGTTTGCCATTCTAAGTTATATAAAAATAAAAACTTAATGCTATATGGCATTCTTCCCCAATCGACCTTTGGCAAAAGCTTACCATGCTCGACAAGTGTGTTGGCAACCGAAATCAGGCTTTGGTGATGTTTTAAGAGGGCCGCTGCTGCCCATCCCTCGCCGTCCCTTAGTCGTCTTACGACACACACGGGAAAGGAAGTGGTGACCTATTCTATGCCGGGACCACACGGCAGTTATTCATGTCTAAATGGCGCTGTGGTATTTCATTTCTTACAGCTTCAAGTTCCAACCGGACGTCACGAATAAAGCCGCCATAGAAAAGTTCAGAACCTCAGTTGATGACATCAGCTGCGGGAAACTCAACAAGCTAACAGTCGTAAGAATTCTTCTTATGGGATGATAGTGGTATGGTAGCCCCGCCTGCGCTAACGGGATACGCTGGCGGAGCACCAGTCAAGGGTGATAGATGAGAATCAAAACAGGCCAGTTAGCCCATCATGATGAATTCATCAGGAATTAACCATGATAGTTTTCAGGGAGAACGGCGAGGAGGTCGACCTGGTTGGGTATATTGCTAGCAATGGGATTCTCAGTCTCCATTACTAACAATCCCTTTCCCCCGCAATAAAGATTGATAGGTGACGATGAAAGTAGGTCCGTTAGCCCATCGTGACGAATTGGACTAGAATTAATCACAATAGTTTCCAGGGGGAACCGTGTGGAGGTCGACCTGATAGGGTGTACAGCTAGTAATGCGGAAATTAGACCCCGTTACTAACTGTAGTGATTAAGGACATCTATTACATTCAGTCACTAACCTTGCTTGCAGAAAGATTCCAATTAATCTTGCAGTTATAAGAGAGAACGGAACTAATGAACAGCAATCGACAATAACATTTAAACACTATTTAATATTTTACATTAGGTAGGATTCGTAAAGACAGAAAGATAGATGTCAGATGAACTAAAAACTCAAACGTCACAATGTTTCTAAATTATGCAAACATAAAAGAGTCTTAATACTATATTGACGTAAAAAAATTGTTGGCGCAGTTAAAAGAAGGAGGTAGCGGAATGTATAGCTACACTAACAATCCCTTTCTGCCCACGCTATCGGTGTACGCTGGCGCTAAAACTAATAATGTACAACCAATGAGTCTGGAAGGCAATTTGTCTCACAACTTGAAAAAATGGCTCCAGTAGTTCAGCATTTTTATCACGTTTTACTGTTGAGTTAATATGAGAAGCTCAAAATCATTATGTATTTAAATATTTTACATCATTTTCGATCCTTATTTCTTTAAAAATGATGTTACCAGTTTAACTACTTGATAGTATAACTACTTGGTAGTATACAGTCTCGATTATTTTTATTTCAGACGGAGTCCACAAATTCTGGAAGTCAGCTTCAAGTTTCATCACTTAAATTCGGTTTTACCTTACTTATTGTAGCTAATTTCAAATCTTTTGTGAACCATTGAACTTTTACAAAGAGAAATGTAAAATTTTTGTGTAAAATAAAGTTTCTTGTTTAAATTTATTTATCAATTGATTTAAAAATAATTAAAGATTTTGTCCCGCAAAAGAAATTGACGTCAATTTTGATAATACTTGTTAGTTTGATCTAAAAACTAAACTTTAATAGAGGGAGACTTTGTACAAAAGTCGTTTTCTTGGGCACCTCTGTCCCATTCGTATTTCAACCGTGAAGCAGTTGTTTGCATGGCTGTGTTTCGGTTTGAAGGGTTGGAATGGCGTGAATTTACAAGGTACAGAGAATTAACACCTGAGTCCTCAGGAATGGCAACGCATGGGGGGTATCATGGGCGAAACAGTATACTCTGTTATGTCCATGGTACTGCTCATATGTATAGGCGACGGTTACCACTTTCCATCAGGTGGGTCGTCAGCTTGTTTGCCATTCTAAGTTGAATATAAAAAAAACTTAACTGTACTGATTCTAATTTCTCCTCCTTTAATCAAAGGTTGTCTGTAAGAGATCGCCCTAGCGATAAGGCGCCTTCTGTACCTTTATGTGTATATTTCAATCTGTATTTATGTTACTGTATTTCACTTGAATTATTCACTTGTCATTGTATATTTTTATTTATGGTGCAATAAAGAGTTAAATAAATAAATAAATAATATTCCTATGAGACTAATCTGTAAGTAGATTTTAAAAAGAATTTTCCAAATCGGTTTACATTTTTAAAAAGTATTATTATTAGAATGGCAAACAAGCTGACGGCCCACCTGATGAAAAGTGGTAACCGTCGCCTATAGACATGAGCAGTACCATGGACATAACAGAATATACTGTTTTGCCCATGATACCACCCATGCGTCGCCATTCCTGAGGACTCAGGTGTTATTCCTCTGTACCCAGTAAATTCACGCCATATCCCACCCTTCAAACCGAAACACAGTAATGCAAACACAACTGCTGCAAATAAAACGTTGAAACACGAATGGGACAGAGGTACCCAAGCAATCGACTTTTGTACAAAAGTTTAATGTTTAAATCAACATAACTCCCATAATATGTCTCAATTTGAAGTCGGTTTTCCTTCGTGTAAAACAATGTCAAATTATATGGACTTAACATTCGACCATAGGGGGAGGGTATTAGTAATGGGGAGGTTAGTCCCCATCGCTATCAACATACCCTATCAGGTTGACCTTCACGCGGTTCCCCTGGAAACTATCGTGACTAATTTATCGTTGAATTCGTCACGATGGCCTAACTGACCTGCCTTTTCATCCTCACCAATCCCTCACTGGTGCCCCGCCAGTGTATACCGTTAGCACAGGCGGGCTTACCATTCCATTATCATCCATTAAAAAAACATCCGTCTATAAAAATAATTACTCATAACACTGTATGTATGTATTTTTATATTTTATATTAGGCGATTAGCATTCAACGAATGACTCTCCATCCATTATGTATGATTCATTCCGAGATATCGATTTTATGTTAAGGTATGTACAGCGGGTTGATATTATTCAAAACTTACACTCCGCCATCAGACTTCGCACGTATAAATACAATTTTATTTAAATTGTCAACAAAAATTCACATCTCCCCTCTTAAGGAGAGGAGATGGCAAACTAACCCCCGACAGAAGCACAGTCGGCCGGGGTTCAGGGCCCCGAGGGAGAGAAACCGGCGTACAATGCGGGCAGTATCTAAGAGTGAGCCGCCACGGAATTCCAACCGCCTGAGGTATTGTTCCAGACTAGTTGGGATAAGACCGTTCACCGACGAAACGATTGGAATGATTTCGTTGGACGTCTCCCCCCCCCCCCCGCACATTTTGGTCACCTCGTTTTTTTTTATTTTTATTATTTTAGCCGTTAACTGTCCACTGCTGGAAATAAGCCTTTCCCATAAGAAAAGTTTTGCCAGTAGTTGCCACGCTTGGCAGGCAGATTGGTAACCACAGTTAGACTTTTAGAGCTATTCAAAGAGGGACGCTTCTGCCCATCCCTCGACATACAATGCTAACCAGACGATGTATTATACAGTTTAATTCCAAACAAACACAGCGCAATCGGAAACTTACTTTTATTTGACACAAACGAGCATTCTGCTCACCTGATAGTAAGTGACTACCGCCGCCCATAATCACTCCCAACACCAAAGGCATTGCAGGTGTGCTGCTGGCCTTTTAAAAAGGAATATGCTCTTTTCTTGGAGGTTATGTTGTCGTATCGGTTTGGAAATACTGCTGCTGGAACTTGATTCTAAAGAGTGGTTGTGCGTGGGAGAAAGTGCCTTGAAAAACGCACGGTGGTGCGGATGTGTATGGTGGTATTAATTGAACATGCATCAATATAGTTCTTCTCCAGCTTGTCTTATCTTACCAGAGTGAGACTTTGTACAAAAGTCGTTTGCTTGGCCACCTCTATCCCGTTCGTGTTTCTACCGTGAAGCAGTTGTGTTTGCATGGCTGTGTTTCGGTTTGAAAGGTGCGATATGGCAGTGAATTTACAGGGTACACAGGAATAACACCTGAGTCCTCAGGAATGGCAACGCATGGGGGGTATCATGAGCGAAACAGTATACTCTGTTATGTCCATGGTCATAACAGAGTATACTGTACTCACGTCTATAGGCGACGGTTACCAATTTCCATCGGGTGGGCCGTCAGATTGTTTGCCATTCTAAGTTGCATAAAAAAAGCGAAGAAAGCCACAGGTCTAACTAGTTAATAGATGATCATGATAAACCATAATCTAAACTATAATCATACTGTACACAATCAGATAATGGCTGACTCAAGCGATAACATAAAAAACATTCATTATTTTAGTCTACAGTTATTTCGTTGACGCGTCGCTTGTGTTTTTCGGTGAGAAATGTCGCATCCAGCGTTCCAGGACGCGGGAAATAATCCCGGTATTGAAATATGGGCTATTGACGTAAGCTATTATGTACTATTACCATCATACGATCCATTATAGTCTACAATTCTGTTGTAAATATTAATTATTTATTCCCTCTCGCGCCACTTACAAACTTCTATCTGTTCTCCTTTAACCAAAGCTTGTCTGTAAGAGATCGCCCTAGCGATAAGACCGCCTTTTGTACCTTTATGTGTATATTTTAACCTGTACTCCATGCTATTGTATTTCACTTGAATTGTTTATGTCTTTGTTTTTTTTTTGTTGATGCAATAATGAGTTAATTAAATAAATAATTGTCCCGAGAGCTCCCTCCGAATGTAATCAGTGACGAATGGTACCGTCCAATCGATCCACGTTTAATTCGTACTACAGTTGGACAGCGGCGGACTGGTTCACGGCCGGGGCGCTTGTTGGTTTGTTTACATTATAATTAAATTCTATTGAAATAAGACTATATTTTCAGTGTTCATATCAAGCATATGTTTTTCACGTGTTTTTTTTTTATGCACCTTAGAATGGTAAACAATTTACTGGGTATAGAGGAATAACATCTGAGTCCTCAGGAATGGCAACGCATGGAGGTGTCATGGGCGTAACAGTATACTCTGTTATGTATGTTATGTCCACGGTACTGCTCATGTCTATGGGCCGTCAGCTTGTTTGCCATTCTAAGTTGTATAAAAAAAAAAAACTTAATGGTCGAAGGAGGACGGCAGCGTCCCTCTTAAAACGTCACTGAAACCCATCCAACGCGCCTGCGAAGCGTTGCAACTACTAGCAATACTCCCCCTCCCCCCCCCCCCATTATGGGGAAGGCCTATGGTGATATGGTGATGATGATGATGACTTGACATACCCACAAAAAAACTTTTGAACATTCATCTGGAACTGAAGCTCTTTCTATTCTCTATTTGTTAAAAATAAATGTTCTTTTTTACAGAAATTCGAACCCGTACCTATCGATTCAAATAAATATGGAAAATTCTACAACGGAGACTCCTACATAGTGCTCAAGGTAAAGTGAAAGTGTTAAAGCGGGACCGGGAGGGCCGTGCCCACCCCAGAATTGTCTAGTGAGTTATCCGCTTCTGAAAACAGCTTATTTGATAATACTGAACAATAACTATAATAAACTGTGTCTAGATAAAGAACTTTTACCTTATCTATATCCATCAATATATTTGATAACAGATAATAAATATAAAAATAGGTTATATTATATATAAAAATTACTAAAATAAAACGATTAAACATTTATTTTTAAACGCTTTGTATAATTAATTGAATTTTTTACATAATAACTAAATTGTATTTCAAAATTAAACGTACCTCAGTGGTGGCAAAATCAGTTACTTTTATTTGAAAACAAAATAAACAGATCTCTGTCAGAGATAAGTCCAGCCTTGCTCACAATATTTATAAATAGATTATTTTATATGTAACATACAAGTGCAATAAAGATTATATATTAAAATTTTGATTAAATTTCTATGGAACCAATTTGTAAGTATAATACTTTAATATAAAAAATGAATCCTCCACATCGGTTTACAACTGACGGATTTTTTTTAATGAGTGAAAATGAAATGGTAACCTCGCCTGCGCTATCGGTCTACACCGGCGGGGCACCAGTGAGGGATGATAGGTGAGGATGAAAAGACAGGTCAACGCGACCTTAGCCCATCTTGATAAATACACTTGGAATTCAGCACGATGGTTTCCAAGGGGAGGGCACGTGAAGATCGACCCGATGGAGTATATTGCTAGCAATGGGACTGGCAGTCCGCATTACTAACAATCCGTCCCCCTCACAATGGGGCTTTTTTTATACAACTTAGAATGGCAAACAAGCTGACGGCCCACCTGATGGAAAGTGGTAACCGTCGCCCATAGACATGAGCAGTACCGTGGACATAACAGAGTATACTGTTTCGCCCATGATACCACCCCATGCGTTGCCATTCCTGAGGACTCAGGTGTTATTCCCCTTATCATATATCTACCCTCCTCAAATCATTGTCGCTTTTGCAGACGACTGGAGATAATACATCATCTCTCTCGTACGACGCCCACTTCTGGCTCGGCAGCAAGGCGACACAGGACAAGATGGGGTCAGCCGCCATACTCACCGTGACATTAGACGACATGCTGGGAGGGAAAGCGGTGCACCACAGAGAAGTGCAAGGCCATGAGTCCAGCCGATTCTTGGGGTACTTCCAACCAGGTTAGTCCATACACAGCCATCAACAAACTAGAGGGACACTATACAAAAGTCGTATGCTTGGATATTTGTTCCACTCGTGTTTCAACCGTGAAGCAGTTGTGTTTGCATGGCTGTTTCGGTTTGAAGGGTGGGATATGGCAGTGAATTTACTGGGTACAGAAGAATAATACCTGAGTCCTCAGAAATGGCAACGCATGGGGTGTATCATTGGCGACACAGTACACTCTGTTATGTCAATTGTACTATTCACGTCTATAGGCTACGGTTACCACTTTCCATCAGGTGGGCCGTCAGCTTATTTGCTGTACTAAGTTGCGTGTTAAAAAAAAGGGTGACAATGGAATGGTAACACGACTGCGCTACCATTATATGCTGGTATCCGTCAGTGAACGATGGTAGGTGAGGATGAAGTCAAGCCAGCAATGCTATTCACTAAAAATCTACCGCAACGCTGCGCCCGCCGACGAGCTCTAGGCTGATCAGCCTTGCGAACGACCGTGACTACAGCGCTGCGGTAATTGGTATTCACTAACGTGTCAAACCTCATCGACGAACTGTAGGCTGTGATAACTCGAGGCTGTGCGCACGGACGAGATAGGGCTTGCAACAAAAACCGTAAAATGAAAACGATAACTGTAGAAATATAATATTTTATTGACAAATGGAATGTTTTATTCAGTTTAGAATGTTATTTAAATAAATATTATATAAAATAAACATAAATTTATACATCAAACATTTGATTTTGTTTTTTAAAGTTAAGATTTGTTTGAATACCCTTGCTTCCATTGCCGTAAAATAAACAAATAACACTTATACGTAGGTACGTAGAGAGTATTATATTCCTTGTACTTAACATTCCAGAGGCGCACTTTTTGTATTTGTTTATTCTCTTTTAAAAATAATTAATAAAATTAACGTAACTTTACCAACGTTTTATAAGTTTGGATGTATCTATCAAATACGTAAGTAAAATGTGCTTTTTATTCACTTGTATTGTTTTTAAGGTTATATTTTTAGTAACTAAAATAAATGCATATCTCGTAACATGCCATGAAATGAGGTCCCTTCGCAAAGTAGTCGGAGATGCTGATGGATTATATAAAGAATCAGACATGGCTTGTGACAGGACATACACGAACAGAAAAAAGGATTAATTATATTTTTGTGGAGTATCTTAAATAAATAACTAATTTATAATTTTAGAATTATGTGTCTAATTGGTCTTATTGTTATTTTTAGGTCCACGCCGTCATTTGACTGACAGTATCCCGATGACACTTATCTCCTTCACAATAGCAGCCTTAACTAGAAAGAGAGTAGTCTCACAAAGATTTGTTGCCACTGAAGAGCACCGAGTAGAGACAGAACAAATTTTGATAGAGAATCAGACAACACTAGTTCATATCTTATAGCTAATGAATGAGATATGACTAAATTAAAGTCAGCCATTGTACGATTTAATTAAAAAATTTTTTAAAAAATGTCAAATAATTTTTATTCAATTAAATTTAAAATATTATAAATGTTAATTCTTTATGATTCTACCATCCATTGTGAAGAAGGGGAGAAACCTCAATTTTGGTTTTTAAAATACTAATAGATTTTACAATAATACATTTCTAAAAATATACACTGCCAAACATAACAAGAGTTATTGGAATTATTAGTTAAATCAAGTTCATTATTGAAAATATAAGATTAAATTATGTCATTTAATAGTCATTAGTAATTTTGAAATATAAGTTTCATCTTATATAATTTTCAAATAAAAACACAATTACAATAAAATTTTATAATTATAAACTTGTTTCAATTTCAAATAAATAATTTTTAATGAATATTTTTTTTAATTTCTTACTCCATACGAGGTCTGTCCGGAAAGTTCGTATAAAAGTGTTCTGGAATGCGAGAAAGAGGAGTGGGGAGGCCAGGTAAGCGCAGGACCCCTTCCTTATGTCCCTAACAATGCTTCAGTTCTGGTCTGACCGCCGTGCGGTGCGAACTGGCTTGTCACGCCATCTGTGAAGTTACCTCTTAACGAAACCCCGTCGGCATGGAGCCCGCTTCCGTTGAAGAGCAGCGCGTCGTAATCAAGTTTCTCTCGAAACTCGGCAAGAATGGCCGTGAAATTTTTGCCGATCTCAGAACAGTTTATGGGGATGATGCTGTGAAGGAACCAACCGTCCACAAGTGGCTAAAAAGATTCAGAGAGGGCCGAGAAAGCATCAAGAATTCGTCCCTCCAGGCCAGACAGTTGATGGAAAATTCTACGTCGATGTGCTCAGACGCCTCAAAGCTCGTGTGGCACGAGTTCGTCCAGAATTGGCGCGAGAGGGGCGTTGGATTCTTCACCACGACAATGCCCCTGCCCACACCTCTCTTGTTGTCCGTGAGTTTTTGAGTAAAAATTCCATTACGGTGACCGAACACCCCCCTATTCGCCGGATTTGGCCCCGTGTGACTTCTTCTTGTTCCCAAAAACCAAATTGGTACTTCGGGGGCGGCATTTGGGGGACATAAATGAGATAAAAAAAGCTACGACGGGGCAGCTGAGAAACCTACAACCAGAGGACTTTCAAGGAGCCTTCTCACAGTGGAAACGGCGTTGGCACAAGTGCATTATGTCACAGGGGGAGTACTTTGAAGGGGATAAAATTGATTTACCTGAATAATTGTAAAATAAAATTTTTAAAAAACTTTTATACGTACTTTCCGGACAAACCTCGTACTAGTTATAATATGAATTAATTATAATAATTTTAAATTAAAATATACATTTACAACATAATATAATATTAATTTTAATTCACAGGTAGACAAAAATGTAACAATAAAAAAGTATTTGAAAATAGTTTTAAGATATAAGTACAAAAAGTATAGCTAGCTTATTTTCAGACTACAAAATTTTCTTTTGTGCTTCTTCATTTTGTATAGATGATGTAACTGCATCATATTATCAGCATATCACAAACAATACAGCAATACACTACTATTATTGTGGCTGTCCAAGGGTTTGTGTCATGCTACTAAATGAGTTTCAAAATCACCTGAAAAAAAACAAGTAATGTTAATTATTTTTAATTAGCCACATAGCCAATCCTGAATTTATGTGTGTCATGTTTTTTAAAACTATGATTTTGAAACAATTTTTTATAATAGTTTCAACCTGAATGCTAAATTTAGTGGTCTAATTTAACAAAAATTAATTGACATGAATTAATAATTTACTACATGTTTAACTAAGTTGGTTTCTTTCTAACATATTAGACATAGTTATTTTTATACAAAACCAGAGGCCACTAAGCTTATGGATCACCTAATGGGAAACGGTTACCATGATCCATGAATATTTGTAACACCAGAAGTATTATTATGCATACTAGAATACTTGTTACACACCATTATTAACTAGCTAGTTGTTCCCTACACAAACATCTGCTGACACAATTAAGCTTGTCTCAATAAAATAAACAACTGCACACAATCACTGCAAAGTATTCTTTTTCCTGCTTTAAATTTATTTATGTACCTAATACCATCAATTAATAAAATTTAAGTTACAAACCTTTAGCTTTAACAACTCTCTGGAACAGGCATACATGGTGACAATTCTTTTTCTAACATATTGATTAATTCTTCAGAAAGTCGGTAATGATGAATATAATCCACATCACATAAAGTTGTTGATTGTCGGCATTTCTTACAATCATTTTCTATTTTAGCTTCTTTCAACAAATGGGTCATTACACATAAACGGGCAGCAATCGTTTTTAAACACAAATTGATAATTTCAATACAATTAATAATCACAGAATTCAAGAAACAAATAAATATATTAGATGAATACTATGCAAACAGCGTAGAAAACAAAGCTTTTGAGTTTGACATAAGAAATCGAAGCTGTAGGCTAGGCTGTCGGCGAAGGCGAGGCTGATTTTTGTTAGTGAATACCAAATACTATGGCAAAATGTCAAATCGCACAGCCATGAGTAGTTCCCGTTTATGCCGCTCGTCTTTGAGCTCGTCTTTGGGCGCTAGTGTCGCGTCTTAAGAATTAGTGAATACCATTTCAATATTTCATCGCTGCGTCAAGGCTGATGTCTAGGCTGTTTGCTTAGAGAATAGCACTACAGTTGACCCATCGTGACGAATTAATTTATTTATTTATTTAACTCTTTATTGCACCATAAATAAAAATATACAATGACAAGTGAATAAATTCAAGTGAAATACAGTAACATAAATACAGATTGAAATATACACATAAAGGTACAAAAGGCGGTCTTATCGCTAGGGCGATCTCTTACAGACAACCTTTGGTTAAAGGAGAACAGATAGAAGTGGGCAGGTGGCGAAAGAGTGAATTAATAATTTTTCGTGCATAAAATATAACAAACTACTTACTATAACAATATATATATATATATATATATATATATATATATATATATATATATATATATTGTTATAGTAAGTAGTTTGTTATATTTTATATATTTATATATATATATATATCGACCTGATAGAGCATATTGCTAGCAAAAGCTATTTGACTCTAGCGTTAATGGTTTGACTCCCTGTTTACAGCTATCAGATACCTGGAGGGAGGCAACGAATCCGGCTTCACTGAAGTGGAAACTAACGCTGGCGCTGAAAAACGTCTCCTGAAGCTGTCTGGTTGTGATAATATGAGGATTCAAGAGGTATGCTTTCCTTGTTTTATTATTAAATCTTCCATTAACTCTCCTCTGCTAAACATAGGCATCTCCCATAGCGGGGATTTGCTAGTAGTTGTCACGCTTGGCAGGCGGATTGGCAACCGCAGTTAGGCCTTCGGTGTTGTTTTAATAGAAACACTGCTGCCCATTGCTCGATCATTAAATGCCCTTAGTCTCCTCTTCCAATACCCACGGGAAAGGAAGGAATGGTCTAATCTATGCCGGGACCACACAGCGTTGTTTGGTCACGGATGATTTTTTGCAGTGCAAGGATTTGTTCCAGTGAGTGGTGACGGATCAGGATGAAAAGACAGGTCAGTTAACCTATCATGACCAACCAACCAGGTCGACCGCTGAATTCCAGGTGTACTTATCACGATGGGCTAACAGGCCTGCTTTGGGGGGAAGGGATTGTTAGCAATGGAGTATGACAGCCCCATTGCTAGCAATATATCAAATATATCAAGTCAATCTCCACGTGGTTCCCCCTGGAAACCATCGTGAACAATTTTCGTTGAATTCATCACGATGGGCTAACTGACCTGCTTCATCCTCATCTATCATCCTTTACTGGTGCCCCGCCGGTGTACACCGATAGCGCGGGTGGGGTTACTATTTTATCATCACCTATAAAAAAAAATAGACCTACCTTTTCATGCTCATCTATCGCCCCTCACTGGTGCCCCGCCAGCGTATACCAATAGCGCAGGCGGGGTTACCATTGCATTATCATCTATTAGAAAAAAAAAATGGAATCCGTGCAGACGACTTTTGTGCAAAGTCTTCCTCTGTTTGATATTTTTTGTGGATTTTAATGAATAAAACATTATTTATCAAACGTATGACCTCTGCCAGGTACCAGCCGAAGCATCATCTCTGACCAAAGACCACTGCTTCATCCTTGAAGTGGACCATGACATCTTCGTGCTGATGCCAGAAGGTGCCAAGGCCACACAGCGAAGGAAGATCATCAGCGTCGCCAACACGCTCCGTGATGATTACCATAACGGGAGAGCAACCATAGAAATTATTGGTAATTTTTTTTTTTTATTTACTACCTTTATTAGTGTGGTATTCGATTTCTCGCTGATTTTGTTTTGAACCTTCATGTGTTTAACTTCTAAACTGATGAAATTCCATACAAACTTCCAACCTTAGTTTTAGTCCTTTAGGGGTTTAATTATCAGAAATCCTTTCTTATTATTCACCTACGCTATATAAAGAAAGTATTTGTAATATTTCAAGTCTTTAGGTATAACAGTTTCGGCTGTGTGTGGCATGGATCAGACAGTCCTTGTAACACCTTACGCGGTTGTCATATTTCATCAACTTTAATGTTTTACAGACGAGTTTTCATCTGATGTTGACTTTGAGCTGTTCTTCGAGGCACTCGGATCTGGATCCAAGGACGACTTGCTTGACGATGACGCGTCTGACGTAAGTACTTTTTTTTATTATTATTATTTTAAGGGCTTTTATCTTCTTCAGGTATATCAGTCCTATTGTACCCTGAACTAATTTCTTAAACAAAACTTTATCTACTTTCCCTGGACGCGGAAAGAGAAGAATTAATGGGCATCAATAATTTACAGAGATGTTCAAAAATTTGTAATCCAACTGAGGAACACTTAATGACGTTAAAAGGGGACCAAATAGTTTGCCAATTTGCCAGTATTGTTAACATTTGTAACCTGTATTATTCTTTGAGAGTAATGTGTAGTCTAAATTGTTTAAACAATACTTAGAATGGTAAATATGCTGCTGGCCCACTTGATGGAAAGTGGTAACCATCATGGGCATCGCAGAAGGTACTGTGACACGAATACTACATGCATAGACATTTCTGAGGACTAAGATGTTATACCTCCACTATCGTAACCCACCTTTTAAATCAAAACACAGCCATGCAAGTACAACATTTGGAGATTGTTTCTCCTATGCTTACCACCAAGCAGCTTGCTCAGATGACGTGTTCTTGTGCGAAGAGCAAGATATGGCAAAGTCATTACTGTGTACTGCGACTCGAGACCTTCACGCTACGAGGGGCAGCCGCATGGCGTGTAGTGCCTACAGTGTTGGGGGCATTCATGAGCTGTATGGCTGCTTACCATCATGTGGATCAAATGTATGATTACTGATTACTTTCATCAGTACCATCTTACTGCCTGGTCTTATCCCAATTATTTCGGATAGACGTAATATGATCTTCTATACCATTCCTTTGCCCTTATTTAATTAAAAATATAACATTTTTGGTTTCCAGAGTTACACTCGAGATTCCGTGTCTACGGTGTATCTTTACAAAGTTCTACTTGGTGACGACTTGGATCTGGTCTCATTGGACAAACCGTTTAAGCAGAAGCACTTGGAATCTAGCGTAAGTAATCTCAAATATCCCGTGTAGTCCCGGCATAGAACAGGCCATCCCTTCTTTTCCTGTGGGTGTCGTAATAGGCGTCTAAGTGATAGATAGATAGATAGATACTCTTTATTGTTTCCTCCAAAAGATTACAATAGTAAACTTATTATAAATATAAATAATTACAAGAAATAATCACAATGAGAAAACAATGGGCGACCTTATCGCTAAGAGCGATCTCTTCCAGGCAACCTTTGGATGGAGAGGAGTAATTATGAACAGTTTGGTGGGAGGCACGATGAAAAATTTTGTTAGTTCTAAATATGGGAGATGTGATACATATAATAATATAAATATTATCCCTACTCATTATTATATTTATATACATACACCTACACACACATATACATATATATATATATATATATATATATATATATATATATATATACATATTATACATATACATACATGGACATAAACGCCTACACAAATACATAAAAATATATAAATACTGTTCACGAAAAGTATGCAAGTAATAAGTATGCTAACCAGACATATAAACACATTAAGGAGATGACAACTTGCTCAAATAATAGTTCTTCAGTTTTGTTTTAAAACCAGCCGTACATTTTATATTTCGTAAGGAAACTGGTAAAGCATTCCAAAGCCGTACAGCTTGCACCGTAAATGATTTGTCATAAAAATTAGAGAAATGTACCGGAATCTTCAGCTGAAGGCCCTCAGAAAACCTAAGATTAAAAGAATTGACGGTATGCAAGAATTCAAACCGCTCCTTCAGATAGTGAGGGGAAGAAGAGTTGAAAAGGGCATTGTGGAGCAGTGAAAGAATATGAGTATTCCGGCAAAAACGAATAGGAAGCCACTTGAGCTTAGTGCGAAACTCGGAAATGTGATCATATTTTCTAAGACCGAAAATAAACCTGATAAAAACATTTTGAAGACGCTCAAGTTTGTTAAGCTGGTCTTCCGTAAGATCCAGATAACAAGTATCGGCATAATCAAGAATTGGAAGTAAAAGAGATTGGGATAGCGCAATTTTGGTAGCAGTAGGAAGGAAATTACGCAGTCTACGAAGTGAGCATACAAATCCGAAAACTTTCCTGCTGACAGATTCTATTTGTGGCCGCCAAGTAAGGGAACTATCTATAATTATACCTAGATCTTTCACTGATGCACTGAAGGGGATAGCCACATTACCAAAATTTATAGGTGCCAGTGTTGAATGATCGACCTTTTGTATTAACTTAGAACTACCTACTAGAACTGCCTGAGACTTGGAAGGATTTATTTTCAGTCCAAAAGCCTTACTCCAATCACTTATATGTTTAAGATCCTTGTTTGTTAAAGCGATAGCATCCTTTAAATTATCTATAGAGGCCTGAGTATAAATTTGTAAATCGTCTGCATATAGATGGTAGAGAGAAGTTAGTTGGTCAGATATTGAGTCAATAAGAACTGAAAAAAGGAGAGGAGACAAGACGCCACCTTGCGGAACGCCAGCAAACGTATCGCACCAAGATGAATATGTATCACCTATTCGTACTCGCTGCCGGCGTCCAAACAAGTAGTCACGAATCCATTCAACTACAGGCGGAGATACGTTAAGAGAGCGTAACAGTTCTAGTAGGATATCAAAGTCAACGGTATTGAACGCATTGCTAAAATCTAGGAGCGTGAGAATGGTCAGTTGGCCGTGTTCCATACCCGATCGAATATCATCAGTAATCTTGACTAGTGCTGTTACTGTGCTATGACCGGGTCGGTAGCCAGACTGATAAGGGTTCAATAGGTTATTTTGAGTAAAAAATTTTGTCAATTGAGTATGAATAAGGCGTTCAAGCACTTTAGAAAGGAATGGTAGGATTGAGATAGGTCGCAAATCAGAGAAAGAATGAGGATTGTTCTTTTTTGGAATGGGGATAATTTGTGCTTCTTTCCAACACTTTGGAAAGGTACAAGTTTCAATGGAGCGGTTTAGGATAAAGCAAATTATAGACAATATTTCATCAAGAATCGGAATGATCATCTTACGACTGATGCAATCGCTACCTACTGCATCAGACGTTATAGAAATAATGCTCTTCTTAACGTCACACTCTGTAAATTGATTAAAAACAAATGGTGAATAGTCTGGAGTTGGAAGCGAGGAAAGATCTGCCTCCAACCGGAAAAAAAAAAAAAAAAAAAAAAAAAGTGAGGACGAGAAATGGGCAGCAACATCCCTCTTTAAAACATCTCCAAAAGCTAACTACGGTTGCCAATCCGCCTGCCAAGCGTGGTAACTACTGACAAAACTTTAGGGGGAAACTTATATTCTGTCATGTCTAATTGAAGATTATTATAATATCCATATTCATACCAAGTTCTTTACGGGGTAGGCAGTAACTCTTTTTTTTTATACCACTGAAATGCCGAACAAGTATATGGCCCACCTGATGGTAAGCAGTTTCCGTAATCTATGAATGCCTGCAATACCAGAGGCATTACGCGCGCATTGCCGAGACTGAAGAAACCTCTTTACCCATTTTTTTGAAGAACTCCATGCTGTACTCGTAGTCTTTTGGGTAAACTTCGACAGAGAGCTCATGTCATAACCTACGGAAGGAAAAATCTCTGAAACATTGCTGCTTACGACCCTCTAGGTTCTAAAGTATACGAGTGTCGATTGTGAGCTGTTTGATGGTAGAAAGTAGCCCATTATAATATCTAACGAAATATTATTCCCGTATACAGGAAGTGTATGTGCTGGATACACCATGCTCTGGAATCTACATATGGCTTGGCAATGACGTCGACGCTGAGGTGAAGAAGAATTACTTCGATATTGTACAGAAATATCTGGATGCTAAAGGGTATCCTTCTTGGGTACGTAAATTGAAAGGTCGACAAGTTTCGGGTTCTGTTCGTGATCCTTAGTAATGAACAGCTGTGATATGAGCGCGAGCCTGACATAGCCGCATATAAATGAATAAATGAGTATACTTTCTTTGCATTATACAATATAGGAAATAAGCAAGACAATAAATGTAACGATACAGTTGTATGAGTATAGTAAGGCGGTTTTATTGCTGAGAGCAATCTCTTTAAAGGAACCTTTTAGGGTAATGGACTAATTGTTGTACAAATAGGTATGATAATATTGTATAATTAAAACAGTAAAACAAAGGAAGATAATTACAAGTACTTGTTAACACATGACTAAGGATCAGGAGTTGGTCTCGAAACTAGTCGAGCTTTTTCGATCTAATTACATGTAAGTTAAACCGGTAGTAAGTAACCAGAGGGAGGCTTTGTACAAAAGTCGTTTGCTTGGCCACCTCTGTCCCATTCGTGTTTCTACCGTGAAGCAGTTGTATTTTTTGCATGACTGTTTCGATTTGTAGGGTGGGATATGGCAGTGAATTTACAGGGTACAGAGGAATAAAAACTGAGTCCTCAGGAATGGCAATGCACGGGGGGTATCATGGGCGAAACAGTATACTCTGTTATATCCATGATACTGCTCATGTGTATAGGCGTGGGTTACCACTTTCCATCAGGTGGGCCGTCAGCTTTTTTAAATCTAAGCTAAGCTACATAAAAAAAATTACATTAAAAAATAAAAAGTTTCCTAAAAAACAATAAAGTAAATTGAAATTAAAAAAATTGTACAACGCCATCTGGCTTTAAACTAAGCAGGGCTTGTACTGTGGGTATTATACAATTTCCACCACATCTTTAGGAAGATCACGCCTCGCCACACAAGGTGAGTATCCAGTGATCCGAAGGTAGTTGTCCCCTATGTTGAAACTGGGGTAAAGATGTCCGTATGTTGTCTTGATGTTTAAAGATTGTCATGCTTTAAACTGGACTTCAATTGTCTCAAACGAAACCTAATTAATGTTCAAGAACGCCTATAAAAGAACTGGACGAAGGATGATGATGAATATATCTGATGATGAAACTTAAAATACGTCATGTTACAGGTTCACGTTACCAGGGTATCAGAAGGCCTCGAGAGTTCTAACTTCAAACAATATTTCCACAACTGGGACACTGTGGGTGGCAAGTCTGTCAAGGAGTTGGTCACGGAGACAGGTGAGTATCTAAAAATGAACATTAACTGAAATACATATTTTTAATGTATATTTTTGAAGTAGTCGGTCCATCTAGTGGGGGATTGTCCTACACTACGATTCCCTGTATGGGGTCGCTATTCTAGAAACTGTCCTTCCCATCGTTTGTCGGTTCGGAGCCATTCCATTTGGCAGTCTATATATAGGGGAAACCTACGTCCAGCAGTGGGCAGTTAATGGCTGTTATGATGATGAAGATTAAATAGCTTCTGGCAAAATATATCAAACCCTTGAACTATCTTGCCCACGTCCAATTTTGTAATTCTACATTCGAAAACTTCATATTTCAAAAGCTGATCACAATATTCTCTTCCAGATGCCGGATATTACTCGGGAGACGCTGACGAATCAGCAGCAGCTGCTAAACAGATCGGGAAGAGTGCAGCCGCCAGGGGCTATATGCCTGATAACGGGGACGGGACCCTTACTGTCACCAGGTGACCTCTCAACTCTAAATTTTAACACGATTTGAATTGATAACTAAATATAGATTTGATGGGATTCTGTGAGATTTTCTCCCACCCTCCATTTATCTGTAATGGAGACTGGTACTTCCAATGCTAACAATATACCCTGAAACGTTAACCTCATCCATCGCCCTATTGGGTTGATCTCCATGCGGGACCCTCTGGAAACCATAGTGATTAATTCTTGAATTCGTCTCGATGACTAAGTGACCTGCTTTCGTCCTCATCTATCATCTCTCACTGGTGGCCCACCAGCGTATACTAATAGTATAGACGAGGGGCACCAGTAGGGGAGGAAGAAAGCAGGTCAATTGGCCCATGGTGACAGGATTATAAAGAATTAAACCAAGATGGTTTCCAAATGTAAACTGCATGGTGATCGTCGCGCTAGGGTATATTGCTAGCAATGGGGTTGTTAGATCCCCATTACTAATAATCCCTTCCCCCCCCCCCCCCCAGTAGGACATTTTACTTGTCGTACTAAGATTCAACTTTTTGATTACCAGGATCGCAGAAGGCGAAGAAGATGTGAGCGACCGCTTCGAGTCTGGTGTGTCCGTTCTCTACCAAAGTGACGTCTACGTTGTGAGGTACCAATACACGAGCGACGCCGGGGACGACGCCTATGTTATTTACACGTGGATCGTATGTACATGATTCTAATAAATACATAAGTACCACGATATATTGGAAAGCGCCATCTATTCTTAAACTAAGCAGGACCTCTAGACAAGTGACTAGCAAATTCGTCGATGGATTTAACATCGCTAGCGAGTCCGTGAGTTGGAACGAGTCACCCGGCGTTGCTATCTCATTCTGTCTCACGGACTCGCTATCGATGTCGATTTCATTGACGAATTCGCTTGCCACTTGTCTAGAGACCTAGAGCTTGTATGAGGGATACGGGAATGGAGTCTAGCAACTCTGTTGCCAATAAACCCTATCAGCTATCGCTAATAAGAAAGCCTTTGTTTTTTCTCATTGTAATTTTTTCTTGAAATTGCTCCTATCTTTTTTTTTATAAGTATCTTCTACTGAATTTATCATAGGGAGATCTGAGGAATTGTTTGGACTGATACCTGCTGCTGATTTTCACCACCGTACAACCCGCCATAAACTAAAATTTCATACCAACCATCTGGACGAGTTGCGGTCATCCACTGTACGTTTTTCAAGGCACTTTCTTCCACGCACAACCACTCTTTGGAATCAACTTCCAACAGCAGTATTTCCAAACCGATACGACATCATAACCTTCAAGGAAAGAGAATATTCCTTTTTAAAAGGCCGGCAGCACACCTGCAATGCCTTTGGTGTTGCAGGTGATCATGCGCGGCGGTAGTCACTTACCATCAGGTAAACCGCATGCTCGTTTACCTACTGTGGTGTAAAAAAAACTATTATTATTATAACAGACTTTAACATATACGTCATTCGACCGGTATATTTATTTCTTTATAGGATCACCAACATAAGATACAGCGAAACATTTCAATACAATACACTGGTAGATTAGATCTAACTGTTCTTAGATTTATAGGCGACCACAGCATGCCTTGTGTTTGATAAACATTAAAATAGAATTAAATTATTAATTAAATTAAATATAAATTTATAACTGAAATATACGGACTTTGCTATATATTACTCGCACCTAGTTTTTTTTTGTCTTCTTTATGGAACTTAAAATGGCAGAAAATTGTTAGTAATACACTATGAGGCCAACTTCTACCTGGATCTCCCTGGAGACCATTATGGTTAAGTCTTAGTAAATTCATTACAATAGGCCAACTGTCCAGCTATTGTACCTCGTTGACTACCGACAGCGCGGGCGGGATTACTATTGAATAGTCATTGAAATAAAAATAGTCTATACAAACTCGCCTAGATAAATCGTGTGGACATTGAAAACAATGCACACCTTTTTGGGTAAGTTTCAATAAGGATATTCATAAAAAAACTTACGCAAGTAGATTTAAGACTTTGTTTATAATATATTTTATAATTTACTGATGTTGCCAAAAACCTGTAAAAAGCTATTAAAACAACATAATGATGGATACTTCTTATAGACAAGAGCCCACAACTTGCCCAGTGATAGAAATGAAACATATCTATTGAGGCATTTGCAGCACTTTTTCTAAAGAAAACTGCATTTGCATCTGCCAACAGGAAATATCTTCTCACCGCGTCGGTTTCAGTTATTGATGAATATTTCTTATGACAAGATTCTGTAACTTGCCTTTTGATAGAATTATAACACATCACTGGAAAAGTGGCAGCACTTATTCTAAAGAAAAATACACTCGTACATTTGACGTATTGCTTCCCATTGATGATGAATATTTTTTTACTAACAAGAATCTGCAACTCTCCCAGTGATAGAATTTTAACATATCTACTGAAAAAGTTGCAGCATTTGTTGTAAAGGAAAAACTCGTACTTGTCAATAGGAATTTTCATGTCAACGCATTGTTTCCAATAGATGATGAACATTTCTTACAAACAAGAGCCAACAACATACCCAGTGATAGAATTGTAACATATCTACTGAGGCAGTTGTGGCACTTGTTCTAAAGAAAACTACACTCACATATGCCAACAGGAAATATCTTCTCGATGTACTGCTTCCAGTAGATGCTGAATATTTCTTACAAACAAGAGCCAACAACGTGCCCAGTGATAGAATTTTAACATATCTACTGAAGCAATTGTGGCACTTGTTCTAAAGAAAACTGCACTTTTACAAGACAACAGGAAATATCTTCTCAATGCGTTGGCTTCAATTACTGATGAATATTTCTTACGACAAGAGACTGCAACTTTCCCTTGGATAACATTTATAACATATCACTGGAAAAGTTGCAGCACTTATTTAAAGAAAAATACACCCATACATTTCATGAATTGCTTCCAACAGATGCTGAATATTTCTTACAAACAAAAGTCTGCAAGTGTCTCAGTGATAGAATTGTAACGTATCTACTGAAAAAGTTGCAGCACTTGTTGTAAGGAAAAATACACTTGCCAACAGTTGCTGTCGTCTCGATATGCTATTTTCAGTTGTCTGTCGTGTCTAACCAGTAAGCGCTGGACCCCTGCAAACAAATGCTAACATGTTTGCAGGTGACCGAGCACTGCTGGCCTAACACACGTTTTATATATTGTGACATATTCTTGACGAAAACACCTTGATACAGCTTCTGTTCAGAAAAAAAAATACATTTGTATACGACAATATAAAATGTTACGACAAAATTAAATAAATTCTTTCTACAAATAAGGGACTAATTTCCAGTGAAAGCAAAAAAAGTTACAACTCCACTTTTTAAGAAAACTATTTCGTAGTAAATGTCACAACATAACGATGCATACTTCTTATAAACAAGAGCCAACAACATACCCAGTGATAGAATTGTAACGTATCTACTGAGGCAGTTGTGGCACTTGTTCTAAAAGAAATTGCACTCGTATATGCTAACAGGAAATATCTTCTCGATGTACTGCTTCCAGGAGATGCTGTATATTTCTTACAAACAAGAGTCTGCAACTCCTCCAGTGATAGAATTGTAACATGTCTACTGAGAAAGTTGCAGCATTTGTTGTAAAGAAAACTGCACTCGCATATGCCAACAGGAAATGTCTTCTCGATGTATTGCTTCCAACAGATGCTAAATAGTTCTTATAAAAAAGAGTAAGTTTATTTGAACAAATAATATTTATATCTAGCTGACCCCGCAAACATCGTACCCCCTAACAGTGGTTATTTTTTTTTTATTCTGTATTACTTCTCATTAATAATGCATTACTTCTAATTGATGATGAATATTTTTTACAAACAAGAGTCTGCAAGTGTCTCAGTGATAGAATTGTAACGTATCTACTGAAACAGTAGCAGCATTTGTTGTAAAGAAAAATGCACTCGCATATGCCGACAGGAAATGTCTTCTCGATGTACTGCTTCCAACAGATGCTGAATATTTCTCATAAACAAGAGCCAACAACGAGCCCAGTGATAGAATTGCAACATATCTACTGAAGCAGTTGTGACACTTGTTCTAAAGAAAACTGCACTCGCATATGCCAACAGGAAATATCTTCTCGATGTACTGCTTCCAGTAGATGCTGAATATTTCTTATAAACAAGAGCCAACAACGTGCCCAGTGATAGAAATGTAACATATCTACTGAGACAGTTGCAGCATTTGTTGCAAAGAAAACTGCATTCGCATATGCCAACAGGAAATATCTTCTCGATGTACTGCTTCCAGTAGATGCTGAATATTTCTTATAAACAAGAGCCAACAACGTGCCCAGTGATAGAAATGTAACATATCTACTGAGAAAGTTGCAGCATTTGTTGCAAAGAAAACTGCACTCGTATATGCCAACAGAAAATATCTTCTCGATGTACTGCTTCCAGTAGATGCTGTATATTTCTTACAAACAAGAGCCAGCAACATACCCAGTGATAGAATGGTAACATATCTACTGAGGCAGTTGTGACACTTGTTCTAAAGAAAACTGCACTCACATATGCCAACAGCAAATATCTTCTCGATGTACTGCTTCCAGTAGATGCTGAATATTTCTTATAAACAAGAGCCAACAACGTGCCCAGTGATAGAAATGTAACATATCTACTAAGAAAGTTGCAGCATTTATTGTAAAGAAAACTGCACTCGTATATGCCAACAGGAAATATCTTCTCGATGTACTGCTTCCAGTAGATGCTGAATATTTCTTATAAACAAGAGCCAACAACGTACCCAGTGATAGAAATGTAACATATCTACTGAGGCAGTTGTGGCACTTGTTCTAAAGAAAACTGCACTCGTATATGCCAACAGGAAATATCTTCTCGATGTACTGCTTCGACTAGATGCTGAATATTTCTTACTAACAAGAGCCGACAACGTACCCAGTGATAGAAATGTAACATATCTACTGAGGCAGTTGCAGCACTTGTTGTAAAGAAACCAATTTCAGTTTTGATGCATAAAGTTCATAATCAGTTATACAATTACATAGACATATAAGAAACTTAAAAAGAGAATATAATATTGTTACTTACCTCTATACAGCAACGGTGTATATCACTTTTGGAATTTAATTTGGAACCATAACTCCCGATAATTTCTGTCTAGTTTCACAGAGGTGCGTACGCGTCGGGGATCAGATTGAGACTGACTAATTTGGGCCGCAGCCCTTATTTATACCCAAATAGTAGGAATAGTCCCTTTTGTTATTCCTTGCGAGTAATTAGCTAATTACCTGGCGAGGTGCAAATATAATTATAATGAGACATTAGCGATAAGAAATGCATTACTGTTAATGTGCTATTGAATATCGGCGTTTGTCATAATTTAGTTTTATTACTCGGTTACAAATTTGTTGAAGAAGTAAATGCATTAGCAGTTGTTATTATTATAACATATTCGTGTAATATTTCCAAATTATTTCTTATTGCATTCCGTATTGTGGTTGGTAGATAACATTTCAACTTCCTTTGTGGCGTTTGTTGTGCACAGCGAGTAGGAGAGAGGAGGACAACCCTTTTCCTCACTTCAGATATAGTTCAAGAGTTTCTTACAATATTATCCAATCATTGAAATTATTTCCTCAAAACGTTAGCCTCCCCTTTGGGGGGTTTTGCCAGTAGTTACAACGCTTGGTTTTGGAACTTAAAATACACACGGGTGGACATTTTTACAACATTTTACATTTTTATCTGAGTCTACCTATTTACCTATTACATAGATGTACCCGCTTCCACCTGTCCCTCTCCCGCACCGCTACAATGTCTGTCTAGCTAGCCACGCAGCCGACACGGCGCGGGCGGCGGGCGGCGCCTTTTCTATATCTAACTTTTTAACATAATATCTTTCGAATGGAATATACCTACAATTTGAAAAATTCAAAAGTAATCTGCAGGTATTGAAACAGTTTTGCATACAAAATAATTTATTTGGATAAGGATTAATAAATAGGTAAGAATAACATGTACAACGCGACAGTGTTATTTTTTCTATTTCTATGACTTATTAAATTCGTAATATCTATTGAATGAAATAGCCGATTTGAACAATTCAAAAAGTAATCTACATAAATTGAAACAGTTTTTAAAACAATATGATTTATTTGGATAAGGATTTAAACAGATGTATGAATAACATGGTGTAATTTTGGTCAGTATTTCTATTAACTTTTAAAATGTAAAAAGTGGTTATTGCGACATAACGATAATAGTTAGACATATGCATCGGGAAGTTTTTTGTAGTTATCGATATTTTCTTTAATATTGTAGAACATACTTTTATTCTATCACCAATAGTGTCCGCAGTGCACGCGACCAAAGATATTTTATAGTATTTTCTTACACCTCGAGTTACGTTACTAAAGTTTTAGTAAGGAACCCTAATCTTTTCTAGCAATAAATATAGTCTATGTTACTCAGAGTGAATGTAGGTTTCTAATGGTGAAAGAATTTTTTAAATCAGCAAAGTAGTTTTTCAGTTAATTCATTACAAACATACATACACACAAAAATACAAATCTTTCCTCTTTATAATATTAGTGTAGATTTGAATACTGAAGAATTGCATAAGGAGAGATTTTTTGCGTGGAACTTCATATTATGAATCATTCGATACTTTCTTTGATCATATTTTAAGTTTAAAAGGTTAAAAGTTTTTTAAAGGTTTTCTCAACAGACTATAGCATGGGATTCTTCAAAAGGGGGGTAAAGAGATTTCTTTAGGGTCGGCAACTCACCCATCATCCCTCACTGGTGCCCCGCCAGCGTATACCATTAGCGCAGGCGGGGTTACCATTCCATTGTCATCCATTGAAAAATATCCATATTATAAGGGAATCTACAAAATCATAATATTATTTTGTAGACAAAAAAACTATCGTAGAAGCTTAAAACGTAGACCATTCGACGCAGAAAAATCAGGCAATTCGAATGGTATATAGAAGTCAATTTCGCAAGTTTTCTCGCTTAGTTAATTACAAGCGACAAATTATTAGAACTATCTCAATAGTGTCCTCAGACAGAAGGGGAAAAATGTTGGGACACTTGATACGACACGACCAACTTATGAACATTATAATAGAAGGTAAGATAGAAGGAAGAAGGGGAAGAGGGAGACCAAGGCATAGTTACAGCAGGCAGATCAAGGAAGCAGTTGGTGTCGTGTCGTATCAAGAGGTGAAGGGACTCGCTGACAATCGTAGTGAGTGACAAGAGCTCCACCGACAAGAGCGCAGCTCTTAAATAGGATAGATAGATAGTCAATTTTGCGGTTCAACCGTCGATATAAATAAATAAATAACCTACGTCGGGACCACACAGCCGGTTACGCATTATTCATATAACCTCGCAGCAAATATTCATATTTTTTTTTGATGGGCGAAAATGGTATGGTATCCCCGCCTGCGCTAACGGTATACGCTGGCGGAGCACCAGTGAAGGGTGATAGATGAGAATGAAAACAGGCCAGTTAGCACATCATGATGAATTCATCAGGAACTAACCACGATAGTTTCCAGGGGGAACCGCGTGGAAGTCGACCTGGTTGGGTATAATATTCATCTACAAATATGTTTTGTCACTTTCCACCGTAAGCAATTAGTGACTTAGCGAAGAGCCATTACGTTATCAGTCAAATGGATCGTTCTATTGATTCTCGTATTATTTATTTAAATACAACCATTACACGCTGGTGTTGATGACTAGTAAGTTACAATGCAATATTAGTCATTGCAAATGCACTTTAAATTAATTTAGCTACATCTATACTTACATTACCAGAGGGAGACTTGGTACAAAAGTCGTGAAGCAGTTGTGTTTGCATGGCTGTGTTTCGATTTGTAGGGTGGGATATGGCAGTGAATTTACAGGGTATATATATATATATATATATATATATATATATATATATATATATATATATATATATATATATATATATATATCTTTATTGCACTTGTAAGTTACATATAAAATAATGTATTCGTAAATATTGTAATCAACCCAATACAGTTAGAAAGCATTTCGTTAGCGGGCAGCTGAAGTGCTACAACTATTAATACATAAACAAATATACAGTTATATAAAATATATAATAAAATATTACATAAATACATACACTATAAATACATATGATACCTACCTACTTATATAATAAATGTTAAAATAAATGAATATACTACTTACATTAGAAAATTTAGTTTAAAAATTTTAAGATTTGACAGCTCGGTTAGAAAATTTCTTCGTCTACTTTTAATTTTATCATCACCGTTATTTCAGCTATCATCTGTCATATAGACTGCCATAAATAACGGTCCTGAACCACCTGCATCAACTAACTCGCTGCATTTTTTTTTATATTAACATTTTCTTTTCTCTGTATCCATTTAGGGCACTGATGCATCAGCAGACGACAAGGCAGCTGCCAGCACCCTCGCCTCCCAGTTGGAGGATGATCTGGACGGCAACGTGACCGTCGTGAAAGTCCCCCAAGGGAAGGAACCGAAGCACTTCCTGAGTATCTTCAAAGGTATTTCAAACTATATTTCTGCGACCGATGTAAACCTATGTCAAGTCGTCATCATCGTCATGTCTGCCTTGAACTGTCTACTGCTGAACGTAAGCCAACCCCTTGGGGATTTCGCCAGTAACTAGTTATTGGCAGGCGGTCTGGCAACCGCAGTTAAGTTTTAGAGATGCTTTAAGTGGGACGCCCACTTTTGCCTGCTGAAAATCAACGCTATAGCTCCTCAGCTGTAGCGTAACACTGAGCGGGGACCATTTGCTCAAACATTGCGTAATACCCGAGGGCCTACCATGAAATGTTTTCCGAAATTTCGGAGCGACACGAAACAGAAATTTGATGTTAAAATTACCTAATACATGCCGTTTGGAAATATTAAAAATGTTAAAATATTGTTCCTTAGTACTTTTATGGTAGAGGATGTATGACGAACGAAATGTTAAACACCATTTATTGGTCCGATTTTGGTATAAACAAAGATACGAGAAATTGATAAATATAAATAAATAATAGTTCATTCATTCATACATTAAAACTAATGAACTATTATTTATTTATTTTATTTAAACAAATTGTGTCCCAAAAAATAACTATCCAAAAAAAAAACTAAACTGTTGAATCGATTTTGATATTTTTTCCATGGGACCCATTGAATAGTGATTCCCTTTAGATAAAAAAAAGAATTTTCCAGATCGGTTTATAAATTGCTGTATTTTTTTTTTAAATCGCCACGGGTGTTTGGTAATGAATAAATATTGTTATTTATGGATTTAGCCAGTAGTTGCCAAGCGTTTGCCACGCTTGGCAACTACTACGGTCTAACAACAACAACACACTACGGTCTAAATACCCTCCAATAGTATATACCATAAGTGACGGCCCTGTTCGATATGACAGTCTATGACGGATATCTATTTTCGGGGCATTTGTGTGGAAACATTCTGTCTATATAATCTAAAACTTGACCAATCAAATTATGGAATCGATTATTTTAATTTAAATAATTAATTTAATTTCAAACTGTTTATAATTACATCTCTCCATCCGAGGGTTGCCTGGAAGAAATGACTTTTAGTGATAAAGTCACCCATTTGTTTTCCACTGTGATTATTTCTTGTAATTTGTTTGTATTGTACTCTTTTGAAGGAAACAATAAAGAATATCTATCTATCTATCTATGTTCAACAGTAGATAGCATAATATATATTTACAGTGTGATCCTGACATAAAATGGGCCATCGCTTCCTTTCCTGTGTGTGTCCTAAGAGGCGACTAAGGGAGGGCGAGGGATGGGCAGCAGCGTCCCTCTTAAAACATCACCAAAGCCTAACTGCGGTTGCCAATGCGCCTGTAAAGTGTGGCGACCAAAACCCCCAAGGGGCAGACTTACGTCCAGCAGTGGGCAGTTAACGACTGATATATAATTCTTCTTTCTTTGCAGGCAAATTGGTGATTCTATTTGGCAACAAAGATGGTGATTACAAACCGAATAATTCCAGAAATACATACGACGATGACAGAATCCGTCTATTTAAGGTAAGTTCTTTTTAATGGATGATAACGGAATGTTTATCCCGCCGTACCATCCCACCGCAATGATTATTATTATATTATTTTTATTACATTATTATATATATATATATATATATATATATATATATATATATATATATATATATATATATATATATATATATATATATATATGTACATGTATCTTTTTTTTATCTTTTTTCACTTTGCATTTGTGTCTTTTGCTGTTTGTGTGCTGTAAGTGATGCAAATAAATTATCTATCTATCTATCTATTTTCTTTATCTATTTTTTTTTTATGAGTAAAATTCCCAGGTTGAAAAAAATTGCCAGAATAGTGTAATAATTAAAATAGATTTGTAGATTTTAGTTTTTATGATTAAGGGTTGTTTTTTTAATGAATGATAATGGAATGGTAACCCTAACGGATTATGCTGGCGGGACACCAGTAAGTAAAAAAAAACAGAGGGCTTTTTTTAAATGGATTATAATGGAATGGTAACCCCGTTTGGGTATTTTGGTGGGAATAGGGCCAGTGGTCCCTGTAGTTCCGTATCTGATAACAGCGAAGTCACTGTCTACATATTTCAGGTGGAAGGCACAGAGCTAGGTGTGGACATGAGAGGGGTTCAGGTCGTGGAATCAGCAGACAGTCTGGAGGACGATGCGGTCTTCGTGTTGGAGACCCCTGACGCTTACTATATTAGGATCGGAAAGGTAACGCTGTACGAATTATCATATATACTAATTTTTTTTTATGCAACTTAGAATGGCAAACAAGCTGACGGTTCACCTGATGGAAAGTGGTAACCGTCGCCTATAGACATGAGCAGTACCATGGACATAACAGAGCATACTGTTTCGCCCATGTTACCCCCCATGCGTTGCCATTCCCGAGGACTTAGGTGTTATTCCTCTGTACCCAGTAATAATACGCTTCCCCTGCAGTCGTAATTATATGTCGTTACAGGAATCGAGTCCGGAAGAGGCAGAGGCCGCTGAGAAGTTCATCGACTCGATTATCTCTGAGGAATTGGAGCAGGCGGAGGTCGTCAAAGTGGAACAAGACGAAGAACCTGATGAATTCTGGAATGCCCTAGGTATATTATCTTTAAAATTATAAATTATGCCGGATGGTTGCCAACCCGCTTACCAAGCTCGGCAACTGCTGGAGCTATATATATCATTGACTTCTACTAACAGGTGGACCTCCTGAAGAGAAAGAAGACGCATCCGGCTGGCGGAAGGCCGTCAGCAGACGAGTGACCACCCCAACCACCTTGACCGCGGTCACCGTCACCGTCACAGGGAAGATCAAGTTTGAGGAGCTTCCACCAGACTTCACGCAGCAGGTACAGCAGGCATTCAACAAGTAGATTGATATTAGAGATGAGTAAAATCCGATATCTATGTATTGAGATGCTTCTAGAAATTGATGGCCAGCCATTATGATATCGCCCATACAAGTGTTTTTTTAAATTGTGATAATGGAATGATAACCCCGCCTACGCTATCATTATACACTGGCGGGGCACCAGTGAGGGATGGTAGGTGAGGATCAGGACAGGTCAGTTAACCTATCGTGACATATTGAACAAGAAGTAGTCACGAATTTGCCATAATAAAAGACGATTTTTATGGTATGTGGTACTAGTGTTGCAGGCGTCTAGAGGCTACAGTAACCATTTACCATCATACGGGCTGTATGCTTGTTTGCCACATTCGTGGTATAAAAAATAATATTATAAACTTTTCAATCTCTTTCATTTGATACCCATATTAACAGGATTAACTTATCTATACATCATCCGCCATCTTGTGGCGGCAGCCATTTTGAATGTATTACAATAATGATTGTTATAATACAATTTACCAGAGGGAGACTTTGTACAAAAGTCGATTCATTGGGTACCTCTGTCCCATTCGTGTTTCTATCATGAAGCAGTTGTGTTTGCATGGCCGTGTTTCGGTTTGAAGGGTGGTTATATGGCGTGATTTTACAGGGTACAGAGAAATAACACCTGAGTCCTCAGGAATGGTAACGCATGGGGGGTATCATGGGCGAAACAGTATACTCTGTTATGTCCATGGTACTGCTCATGTCTGTAGGCGACGGTTACCACTTTCCATCAGGTGGGCCGTCAGCTTGTTTGCCATTCTCAGTTGTATATATATAAAAAAAGAAACAATATTGTCACCAAAAACAAAAGTATATGTGAATTTTCGCATCAAATAACTCTCAATCAGATTTCAAGAAGTAGTCCTAAATCTCCTTGCGATTTGACGTTAATAAAATTATTGTAAAAACATTATTTCCCTCAGGATCTGTCAGATGATGGAGTATACGTACTTGACACTGGTGAAGAGTTATACTTGTGGCAGGGGAGCAATATTCCTGAGAGAATCAAGACAGCTAGGAGTCAGATTGTCGAGGTAAAGTGATGTTTTATAGTTGAAATGAGATGGTAACCATTAAGAGACTACCGACTAAACCGTCTTTAAAAAAAACATTCATAGATAGATACTCTTTATTGTTTTCTCCATAAGATTACAATAGTAAACTTATTATAAATATAAACAATTACAAGAAATAATCACAATGAGAGAACAATGGGCGACCTTATCGCTAAGAGCGATCTCTTGCAGCCAACCTTTGGATGGAGAGGAGTAATTATAAACAGCTCTTTTTTTTACTTTATCCGAACAGTAAGTACTTTATATTATTCTCAATTTTGCGTATAATATAGTATATTTTAAATGTGTTAGTATATTTGTTATTTATATATTATAAATTTTTATTTATAAATAAACTTTTTTTGTACAATTGTTTTTTTTTTATTTGTATTTTTTAGTGCTGGTAATTTTGTTCATACGTGATTAAAATGCCTAAATCGGGAAGCTTTTGCGACTTGCCATTAGACAAAATGCCAATAACTGGTTGTTTAAAATTTGCTTAAGTTGTTACGCAAGGCCCCGGGCGTTTGCACTGTTCGCCACCACCTAGGGCCGCCGATGATAACGGCTGGTATGATGATGAAGATGAAGATGATGGTGATGAATTACTATCTCCAATACTTTTCACCTTAGTTCATGGTCATTAAATTACTTGATTAAAATGTTTATGAATCTTATAGGAATACATAGAGGACGATGGCCTGGAGCGTACAGTGGACAACGCTATAGTGGTAACTGTGAAGCAGGGGAGGGAACCTGCTGTCTTTAAGAAGCTCTTCCCGAGTTGGGACCCCGATATGTGGGAGGTAAAGGTTTTTTTTTTTTTATACAACTTAGAATGGCAAACAAGCTGACGGTCCACCTGATGGAAAGTGGTAAACGTCGCCTATAGACATGAGCAGTACCATGGACATAATAGAGTATACTGTTTCGCCTGTGATACCCCCCATGCGTTGCCAGTCCTAAGGACTCAGGTGTTATTCCTCTGTACCCAGTAAATTCACGCCATATCCCACCCTTCAAACCGAAACACAAAATTCCATATATACAACTTAAAAGATATTTTTAATGATGTTTAGAATGGCAAACAAGGTGACGATCCGCCTGATGGAAAGTGCTTACCGTCGTCTATATACTGTTACACATATGGCAACCCTATCCCATTTAGATGGACGTTGCAATTATAGATGGCAACACTATTAAAAAAAAAAAGATTACATATGGACGCTCCTCAATTACTTTGCTTTATAAAAGTTGGTGAATGTTTTTTGTAATTAACTTTTGGAAAATAATAATTATAAAAGCCATTCCGCCTGCCCTATCATATAGAATATACATATGAACAATACCATGGATATAACAGAAAATACTGTATCGCCCATGATACTCCATTGCCATTCCTAAGGACTATGGTATTATACCTCCGTTCCCGATAATTTACATATTCCACCATTCAAACGGACACAGCCATGCAAATACGAGGTTTGTCCGGAAAGTACGTATAAAAGTTTTTTAAAAATTTTATTTTACAATTATTCAGGTAAATCAATTTTATCCCCTTCAAAGTACTCCCCCTGTGACATAATGCACTTGTGCCAACGCCGTTTCCACTGTGAGAAGGCTCCTTGAAAGTCCTCTGGTTGTAGGTTTCTCAGCTGCCCCGTCGTAGCTTTTTTTATCTCATTTATGTCCCCCAAATGCCGCCCCCGAAGTACCAATTTGGTTTTTGGGAACAAGAAGAAGTCACACGGGGCCAAATCCGGCGAATAGGGGGGTGTTCGGTCACCGTAATGGAATTTTTACTCAAAAACTCACGGACAACAAGAGAGGTGTGGGCAGGGGCATTGTCGTGGTGAAGAATCCAACGCCCCTCTCGCGCCAATTCTGGACGAACTCGTGCCACACGAGCTTTGAGGCGTCTGAGCACATCGACGTAGAATTTTCCATCAACTGTCTGGCCTGGAGGGACGAATTCTTGATGGACAATCCCCCGAACATCAAAAAAAACAATCAACATTGTCTCGGCCCTCTCTGAATCTTTTTAGCCACTTGTGGACGGTTGGTTCCTTCACAGCATCATCCCCATAAACTGTTCTGAGATCGGCAAAAATTTCACGGCCATTCTTGCCGAGTTTCGAGAGAAACTTGATTACGACGCGCTGCTCTTCAACGGAAGCGGGCTCCATGCCGACGGGGTTTCGTTAAGAGGTAACTTCACAGATGGCGTGACAAGCCAGTTCGCACCGCACGGCGGTCAGACCAGAACTGAAGCATTGTTAGGGACATAAGGAAGGGGTCCTGCGCTTACCTGGCCTCCCCACTCCTCTTTCTCGCATTCCAGAACACTTTTATACGAACTTTCCGGACAGACCTCGTACAGCTGTTTTACCAGGTCGACCTCCTCGCGGTTCTCCCTGGAAACTATCATGGTAAATTCCTGATGAATTCATCATGATGGGCTAACTGGCCTGTTTTCATTCTCATCTATCACCCTTCACTGGTGCTCCGCCAGCGTATCCCGTTAGTGCAGCCGGGGTTACCATACCATTTTCACCCATAAAAAAAAATACAGCTGTTATGGCAGAAACTCGTATGGGACAAAGGTACCCAACTAAATAGACGACTTTTGTACAAAACATAAGTTTTGTTTTAAGAAAAAAAGAGGTTTCTTCAGGGTCGACAACACGTGGTTTAAATTCTTGGTATTTTTTTTTTTTATTTAAATAACTTTATTCAAAATTCAAAATTCTAAAATCATTTATTCATGTAGGACATTTTAGCCGCTTATGAACGTCAAATTATTACATATAATTTTATTTTTTCCCCTACCGTCCAGTTCGGTATATAGATCCAATTGAGAAGAACTGGCAAGAAACTCAATTGAATTACTTTTTTTTTTAAAGCCATTGCCCAAAATTCAGTATTCAAAAAGACTTGCATTTTTACAAGCACTTAAATCTTTCTTTTTTTTTAATCTTCAATATAATTTATTAAATATATTTACAATATATTTTTTTAAATTTGCAATATAATTAGTAAAACGAGGACGAAAGATACGCCATCAGTTGCTACTTTTCTCAATTCATAGCAGACTAGTGTATAGGAAATGTTTGATATGTCAATTATTTGTCAATGACAAATTTTACATTACTAGATTATATATTCGACACAGTTAATGTAGAGAGTATGCGAGCAAGTTGTATTTGAATTTGATAGGGTTATACGGCCGTATAACATTTTTTATAGCCTGCTATGAATTGAGGAAAATAACAAGTGATAGTGTATCTTTCGTCCTCTTTTTACTAATTATATTTGCATAAGAAGAAAGGAGGCAGCCATATGATTTACAGTTTTTATTTTATCATTCTTTCTATGTAAATCTTTGTTCTTAGGTTTACGACTAAACTTGTTTGTTCCAGAATCAAGCCTCATACGACGACATTAAGAATGAAACAAAAGCAGCCAACTCAAAGTGAAGAAGAAGCGCGCTTAAATATATCAAAGTTTTATATTTAATATTGGATCCGTCCATATATTTTTAATATTAAATCTAGTTTACATTATACTTGAGTGTCACAAAAATTCATAAAAAAAAAATTATAAATAATTCCTCTCTTATATTAATATTATTGTTGTTTTTCTCTCTATTTGCTCATCACGTTGCATCGTCCATTATATTTTCCGTTATTCCTGTCTACGGTCGACTGGTAGACAACGCCATATTGTGTTAAATCCGCCATTTACTCTATCTATGTGTATTAAAGTTTAATAAGTCAATTTACAATCAGGACTAACTTTAGTGTACCTGACGACCTAATGCAAATTTCTTAAGCCTTCTTGACGACGAATATTAAAAAGGTGTACCAAAAAAAATCCTACTTTAATTGTGGCAAGATTTGTTACTGTTTACGAAATGTATTTTTTATATCGAAAATTTAGTTTGAAAACAGATACTAGATGGCGTTGTTGACAATGTAAATGTCGCTATTAAAGTTTGCCTGTATTTTGATGACCCGCCCTTAGAGAGAATTAATAAAAAAAAATCTATCATTCCTACTGCATTTCTGTTGCTCCATTCGACGCCATTAGTATTTAAGACTCACGATACCTAGTTGTTCGGTTACGTTGATTTAAAACCAAACTACTAGACTAATGTTTATAAAATTTCTAAACTTAACGTGTACCCTTTCAGATAAAAAAAATCCAAAGCAGTTTAGATACAGCTGAAGGAGTTATAAGGTAGCAAACATAAAAAAATACAAACAAATTAACAATCTTTATTGTAATGTCGATCGAAAATTCGTCTTGCACTCACATCGGGTCCGATATCTAATTTGGTTTCCAAAAAAGGTTATCCTGTATTGATGTTGGTTATTTGATTTGAATTATTTTGTTTAATTCCGCTACCATTTGTATGTGTGTGACTGGCAACACTCGAAGATTTTTTTTTTTAATGGTTTGCGATACAGTATTTAAGGCATCCCGTCCTCGCTGTTGGATACGGGTGACGGAACGCCTATACAAGAGGGTACATAGTGGGCGCAGTTTAGACACAATATTTGAGGAGCATTAGGAAGGTACTACGGCCGGATACTGCAACAAAAGAATATGTGGCCGGCCCCCGAACTGGCGACCTCTGCTGTCTACCGGTCCCCAATTCGCGGGACGACCAACAATCAAAGATTAATCACTACCATTACTACCAGAAGTTCCACAACCATCGCCATTAATTTTAGACCGCTAATTCGCAGTTTGGACGTCGAATGATTAACAGTCCGAGCAGCGATCTATTAATTTGCCTGAAGATATCTCGTTTAGAGGCGAAACTCTGGTCACAAAACGGGCACGAACAAAATGGGCGTCAGAGATTGATGGCTAATATGGAAGGTTGTGGAACTTCTGATAGTAATAGTGTTGGCCAATCTTTGACTGTTGGCAGTCACACGCATACTAATGGTAGCGGAATTAAACAAAATAATTCTAAATCAAATAACCAGTGATATGGACTTCCGCAACACTTAGTTCAATACAGTAAAAGCTTCTTATTCTCGCTTCCTTTAGTTCACTATTCGCGGATTAAAAAATTGCGACCCATTACCTATATTCGCGGCTAAAGTTTTCTATATTAGCGGATCTAATCGGTACATATTATTATTAAAAAGGATTATGTACCTATCCTTTGTAAACGCGTCGGCAAATAGACTAATGAAAAAGTAAAACAGACCTTATCACAAATACGCCTACAGTACGTTGTCAAATGCTAACGCCACTGTATAAGTGGTTCGGATTTCTATATTCACGGTTTCTATATTTACGGAACGTACTTATACCGCGGGAATAAAGAGCTTTTACTGCATAATGTATTGATGTTTACATCTGATTCGATATCTCCCATGCCGGATTTACTGCATACAATATCAATATGTCAGGTTTTTTTTATACAACTTAGAATAGCAAACAAACTGACGGCCCACCTGATGGAAAGTGGTAACCGTCGCCTATAGACATGAGCAGTACCGTGGACATAACAGAGTATACTGCTTCGCCCATGATACCCCCCATGCGTTGCCATTCCTGAGGACTCAAGTGTTATTCCTCTGTACCCTGTAAATTCACGCCATATCCCACTCTTCAAACCGAAACACGACCATGCAAACACAACTGGTTCACGGTAGAAACACGAATGGGACAGAGGTATTCAAGCAAACGACTTTTGTACAGTCTCCCTCTTCACCTTCTTAAAAAAGGTCCTCTCACCCACACTGGGTTCGCGCTTTTTTTATTTTTGACTACATCCCATAAACTTAGCGCCCCTTTAGAACCTCGACACCTCCGTTACATCTCAACGCCTCCAAGCGCCACTCAACCCCTCCCCCCCCCCCCACACACACCCATTAAAGCCGGTACTATTAACTACTATAACACCAAATAAGATAGAAGCATTTGTCTACTATTGCTGTTGTAATGAAGACTCATACATAGATACTGAATAACAATTAATTATTATACATAAAAAAAAACTATGTAAATATTTAAAAAAAATGTGTATTTTTATTGTTATTTGCACGATTGATTCAATTACTATGTGTAAGTATCAAAATATTGTTTGAATAATTATAAAATATAAATATATATACAAAAATTAAGCTTCTTTCATTTCAAATACACTAATAAATGAGAAATACAATATTTTAATAAATCTAAATTATAAAGGTCTAACACTTTTATTATAGACATAATTATTATACCACACTTACTAAAATTACCACAGTTTATCAACATCAATAGCTTTCTAAAACTAAAACTATTTCCAGTTAATATTAGATATTTCGAGATTTATTATAATCACATATCTTTTTCTACCTATATATGCACATATCAACAAAGATGATATGGCCAGAATGGGAGTGAATGCAGAAATAACTGCAAATTGAGAAGAATAAAAGAGAAAACCATATTATGCCGACCACAAATAAAATAATTGGGATAAAGGTAGGAAGATGATGATATGCACTTATGATTAATGCTTTACAAATCGCAAATCCGGCCCCATATGGAGTATTGCTGTCACTTATGGGCGGGAGCACCTAGATACCAGCTTGAACCCTTCGACTCAGTGCAACGACGACCTATGAGAATTGTCGATGATCCCAGGCTTGCAAGCGGTATCGAACCCTTAAGTCTTAGGAGAGATTTTGCCTCACTCTGCGTGTTCTACCGCTTGTACATCGGATTGTGCTCAGAGGAATTATTCAATATGATGCCTACGGCCTACTTTCTATCATTGTACGGCTCGCCATCGATAGGGAGTTCACCCTCATACCCTACAGCCTAAATGGTCGCGTACAACGCGGTTTCAGAGATGTTTTCTCTCACGAACACTCAGGTTATGGAATGAGCTCCCTGCCGAAGTTTTCCCAAGAGACTACAGCATGGGGTTCTTCAAAAGAGAGGTAAAAAAGTTTCTTCAGGGTCGGCTACGCGCGCGTAATACCTCTGGTATTGCAGGCGTTCATAAGCTATGGTAACCGCTTACCATTAGGTGGTCCATGTACTTATTTGCCACCTCAGTGGTATAAAAAAAAAACAATTTCTGTTAAATATCACATGAAGGTAATATTTTTGTTGTAACATTAATGGGTGACTACGTACTCATATGTGTCTCATAGTAGATAATGAGCTGTGAAAGTTGCTAAGTGGTCCAAATATATTTAGGTCGCCTATTGACTTGAAAAAGTAGATAAGTCTGATTATAGTTTAGCAAATAGTAAGTTTTTTTTTAAAGAATGTCACAAACCTGAGCCTGTGATAATGTAAATATAAAGCAGCCATCCTAAGTTACTTAAAAAATCTAATTGCTGGCTAATGAATGAATGAGTATACTTTATTTGCATTATACAATATAGGGAATAAACAAGACAATTTACAAACACAATGATACAATTGTATAAGTACAGTAAGGCGGTCTTATTGCTGAGAGCAATCTTTTCAAGACAACCTTAAGGTAATGGACTAATTGTTGTACAAGTTGTTGTAATTGTGCTAATCTTATTTTTGAAAAATTTTCTCTTTCATAATTTATACTTACAACTAAGTGGATGCATATCATAAACAAAATAAGTACAATAGTATTTATTACATTACAGCAATTAAATTACTCATTAGGAATATTAGCAGTTGTTATGAATAATGGTAATTTTTACCACATAAACTAAATTAAATATAGTATTATTTATCTTACAGACAGATCATCACTTATGCAAATAATTATTTGCAATCATTAATAACAGTGGTAATTTTTACCACACCGCCTAAATTGAGTATATACAATATTGTTTATTTACAATCAATAAGTCATTTCATTATACCATAATTTCACAATAATTTTATCAATAGTGGCAATTTTTACCACATCAACTAAATCAAAGTATTAAACATTTGCCACACACTGATTTATTATTTGCACTAAATTATTATTTTCCAATGCAGCTGCCACTCTTTCTTTGTCGGCCAATTGCTTGTTGACTGCATGTTCTGATACATGGGTACCTTCGGAGACCACAACTGTTACTTTGAACCTGCTAGGCAGTGCTCGAAGTAGTTGAACACGGATTGACAAACCTAAAGAAGATCAACGATACATTTTTTTAATACAATTGAGAATGGAAAATTATTTAACTGCCCACCTGATGAAAAGTGGCAACCGTTGCCTATAGACATTAACAAAATCATAGATATCACTGGATACAATCAGATGTACTGAATATCCCTGTGATGCCATTCCTGAGACTAATTCCTATGATGTGTGCCTTAGAAATCTGTAATTTCACAGAGGCAGAAACATGAGTGGGACGGAGATGCACAAACATAAGTATTTGTGTAAGCGCGAATAGAACCCGCAACTATTGGAAGGTAAGATGATTTATTGGTTCGAGGGGAGCCCTTAGGAACGCTATAGACCAAGGAGAGAAAAATTCTAATGAATTTTTTGATGTTGCAATAATCCAAGTTTTATAGGCCCATCGGATAGAGCTCTTCAAGTGGATCAACTTTGGTAATGTCACATATTTTCGTACGATACTGTTTCCGAGTTACAGGATCCCAAATATTTCTGGGACTTGGAAAAATTATGATAATTTTTTGATGTCGCAATAACCCTACTTTTATACACTCATCGAATAGAGCTCCGCGAATTGCCCCCAAGGGTATCCACTGACCGATTTATTAAACCGTTACACATTAAGTTAAAAACTAACCTATTAACGTTGCCATGCTGCAGTGTGGAATAGTTGGTGTAAAATTAACCACCACCGTATTTTCCTTATTGTTCACCACAATATTCTTCTCCTCGATCACTCTAAGCTCCTCGAGAGTCAGAGGATGTTCAGGGTCGTTGATATTGCGTATTAAATCAAAGATCTCTCTCTCATCAAACTCATCGGTTAACTCCTCGTCAAGTTCGGCCGAAGTTGTCTTCCGTTCCGAACCCTTCTCGTATACGTGCGGGTTCACGTTATCCGCAATTTTTGTCATTGTTTCTAAAATAAATATTTTTAGTAAATCGTAGAAAAACAAACAATAATAATAAATAAATGAAACGAATGAATGTCATTAATGTCACTGTCAATGTCATTTTTTTTTTTTTTTTAGTACGTTTGTTCCGTTTGGAACAGGCTAAGGTCGGAGACCATGCTGCCTAGTCTTCAAAAAGATAAATTGTCTGGAATTTTATTTTTCTAATGTCGCTTCAATTATTGTCATAATCTTCAATATTTCATTTGTCAAATCCGGTAAGTACATTTTCATAAATATCTTTTCTTGAGTTTTCTTAAACCAGTGGATTTATCAAATTAAAAATAAATAATTATAAAAAATCATTGTCTTGCAATTCAATAAAAGTATTCTTATAGCTCCTTGAATGTTGTAGTAATATAAGTGAAAATAGCTTTGAAACAAGAAGGAAATCTTAAGAGAAGCGGGATTGAGTGCGGGATATTTTCGGGTTTTTTGAAGATAATCCTAAGTTCGTCAAACATAATGTGTCTTTGAATGACAAATTCAGAGCAATCAAAAAAAAAGGTGATGTAGAGATTGGGCTGTATTTGAGTTACACCATGTGCATGATGGGGAAGCAATCATGCCCATTCGGTGCAGGTGTTCGTTGAAATGTCCGTGGCCGATTCGTAATCTACAAATATTGGTGTAAAATTTTCTGTTTGTGTCCTTTCCTTTGCAGAACCACGGTTTTCCAATACGCCAATTAATTTTGCGGTACCATTTGCCTTTAGTCTGTAATATTTGAGTCCAATGCTCCTCCCATTTAGTTGTAACGATTTTATGTATTCCAATACTACAATCTGAGTAACAAAGGGGTAAATCTTGAACACGAGCAGCACTTGAATTAATAATTTTAGCCAAAGTGTCTACTTGTTCATTCCCAAACACTCCAATATGTGAAGGGGTCCAGATGAAGATAATATCTTTTCCATATATAGTACAGAGATGATAATATTTATTACGAATTTCTTGAATTAAGTAGTTTGATGATGAAATGATTGTGTTATTTTTTAATGCCATAAGAACACTCATACTATCTGTAATTATAATCCATTTCGAATATAGTACCTGTTTTTCTATGTATTCTAATGCTAAAAATATAGCTTTTGCTTCTGCTGTGTAAATACTAGCCAAAGTTGAAATTTTATAACCGTGACCAAATCTATTTGACAAATCGTAAAAAGCCACTGAAGTGCTAAGTGCATTTTTGGAACCATCTGTATATATCTGCCTGTAGTCAATAAATTCTGATAAAGTCTCATACATATCGTGCTTTTCTTTTATGTCTTTATGTATAACAATTTTGATCTTACAGAACTTACTCTCATAAAGGCCATTATAACAAGGAAGTATCTTACTACTATAGATGTTATATTCATCTCGTAAATTCAAATCATTGATAATAGTTTTATTCAAAAACATAGAAATGGGGCAATTTAATAATTTGAGTATGAGTGGGTTATTGGAAACTGAAAAAACTTTGAAGAGAAATTTGAGTTTTAGGTATTCGAAACGAAGAAGGATAGGAGGCAAATTACATTCTACTTGCATTGAGATAATTGGAGAAGTATACATAGCACCTAAAATAAGTCTTAAATTCATATTTTGAATTTTTTCGAGTTTTTCTACTAATTTATGTTCTGAGGCATAACAAAAGAAAGCGTAATCAAAATTACTTCTAACAAGAGATTTGTAAAGTAAAAGGATAATTTTAGGATCAGCTCCCCAGTTACGACCAATTACAGATCTTATTATATTAGTGGCTCTTAAAGCACGATCTACTAAGCAATCAACGTATAGATCCCATTTTAAATTTTGATGAAAAATTACCCCCAGAAATTTAACGCTACAGTCTGTTGGAAGAGTTTGATTATTATATATAATATTCATTAATGGAACATATTTATGAACTTGATGAAAAACAACTACTTTACTTTTGGTTAAACTAATATCGAGGGAAAGAAGAGAAAAATATTTCTCAAGTCTTTTTAATGACTCATTTAACACTAATTGCATATCAATAATATTCTTTCCTTTTATATAAATTAATAAATCATCGGCAAATTGCAAGTTGTTCACACTGTTTCCTAAAACTAAATTAAGTTTATAGATATATAAAATATATAGTAGCGGGCTTAAAATACCACCTTGACATACTCCTTTAGAGCTTAACCTAGGTCCTATTAATTTACTATTTACTTTAACATACACTTCTCTATTACTAAGAAAATTATAAATCCATTCGATAAGTTTCATTGGAAGAAATGAGGATAGAATCGAAGATAGAACTGTTAAATTTACATTGTTAAAAGCTCCTACGACATCTAAAAAAACAGATAGAACATATTCATCGTTATTCAAAGCAGTACTAAGGTCGACATAGAAGTTCGCTAAACTTTCGCGCGCTGAATATCCACGGCGAAAACCAAATTGATTCGATGGTAATATACTATTACTTTCAATAAAGAACTCTAAACGCTGTTTAATTAATTGTTCGAATAATTTGCCTGCACAGGACGTCAATGTTATAGGTCTATAGGAGTCGAAATTTGTAGGATCTTTACCGGGTTTAATTACTGGAATCAAACAATCCATTTTCCATTCTGGTGGGATAATACAGTCCTTCCATAAATCGTTAAAAATTTGTAAGAGTTTAGTAAGGTTTATTTTATTCAGCAATCGAAACATATTGTATGTTAAGCAATCAAGGCCACTAGCTGTATCTTTTCTAGATTTTACTGCACTGGATATTTCATCAATTGAGAATGGGTCAGTGAGAAATTTTGGGCATGAATTAACAGAATTAAACTGTTTGTCATCAAAAGGTGAGTGTACAAAATCAGGAGTATATTTGCGTAAAAAATCATTGACCCATGATATATCTTTAAAATGATTTTGACGATGTTTTGAATTTAGTTTTCTCATATTTTGCCAAACAGTGGAAATTGGTGTTAATCTATTAAATTTGGAACAAAATTCCTGCCACCCCTGTTGTCTTACTTGCTTAATTACTAACTTTTTAACAGCTTGAACTCTTTTAAAATTTATGTAATTATCGAGAGTTGGATTTTGTTTAAACCTAAGGTAAGCCGCTTTACTATCATTGACAGCTGTCGCACACCTGTTATTCCACCAAGGTACTGCAATATGTTTGTGCCTCTTTGAAGTATTTGCACCGCTATTTGATAAGTTCCTACGTGGAACGGAACGTTCCACAGCTGTCAAAATAATTTTACAGAACCTATTGTAATTGTTTAAGGGTTCATTGACATCATACTCGAAATCCAAAAGTAATCGATTAACAGTTTCAGAATAAAGATCCCAATTAACGAGACGTAGGTTTATACGATTTAACAAAAGTTTATTAACTTCATCTATAGGAGCATGTTGTTCACCTGACGGAGTTGATGAAGAGTTCTTTGTGTTTATTTTAGTAAAAGTCGGCAGGTGATAACTTCCTAACGGATCATCATGAACCGACCACTCGCATTTTAATGATATGGATGGGGATACCATAGTTAAATCAAGGCCATTGGGTCTCCAAATATGAGAGCCAACAGTAGTAACTTGCTTATCATTTAATAGTACCAAATTACATTCATCTAAACAATCAAGAATGTCTTTACCTCTTGTATTAGTGGAGGTACAACCCCACATAGTATGATGTGCATTTAAATCTCCAGATATGATAGTGGGTTTAGGAAGAGACTCCAAAAAGAACTTAAATTTGGCTTTAGTAAAACTAGGTGTACTATTGGTAGGACAGTAAATACTGGCAACTGAATACCAAGAATTATTAACTTCAATACTAATAGCTATAGTTTGCAAAGAATTGTCGAAAAAAGAGTGAAGTTTTTTATATCTAATACTATTATGTATAATAATCGCTACTCCATTGTGGTTATTACCACAATCATTTCGTTCTATACAATAATCTTTAATTTTTAATTTGTAATGTGGTTTTAGCCAAGTTTCTGAGATGAGAGCAATGTGAATATGATGTTCATTTAAAAATTGTGTAAAAATAAGTCGATTGCTCAGTAGGCTCTGAGCGTTCCACTGTATGATAGTTAATTGGTCTCGATTGAATTTTGTGAAATAGGTGTATTACCAAAAGTATCATATAACACATTCAAAACACTTTTAGTGTTAATAGATGTGTTCTTTGTGTTATGTAGTGAAATAAGTTTGATTATGCTTTCTATTAAAAGTGATAAACTCTTGTTATCAGAATTTAGAATTGAAATTAGGTCTACATTTTTTTTAGGTTTGTTACCCAGTTTAGGAAATATTTCAGTGCTAAGTATATCTCCAAAAGAAGCAGGTCTGAATTTAGATCTATTTTCAGCAATTTTCTTTTGTTTAACAGGGCATTGCGGTGATACACTTGTGTGATTTCCATTGCAGTGTACACAAATAGCGTTTTCCATTCCAGTTGTACAAGTTTTATAATTATGCTCACCTTTGCAGATGCTGCAACGCTCAGAATTCTTACAGAATTTAGCTAAATGTCCATACCTCAAGCACCGGTAGCATTGTTTAACTGGTGGTATATATGGAGTGACATTGTGGCGCCAACCTCCAATATCCAGATATTCAGGTAATACAGATGCAGCAAAAGTAATTGTCACGGTTAGAGTTGGCTGTAACACATATCCATGAGTCAAGGTATTTTTTCTTAAAATTCTTTTAATAGCAATAATTTTCTTAGAACTCGATATCATAGTATATATTTTTTTATTAGATATATTTGTAGGTACATTTCTAATAACGCCTGTAACTTCTGTTGAAGAAGCAGGAATACTGGCCTTAAAATGGTAGTCATTTAAAAAAGTTTTATTATTTAAAAAAGCATTGGCTAAGTCTGGCTTTTGAAAGTATACTCCGATTTTGAATTTATTTATAGATCTAAGATAAGTTACCCCTTTATTAAATCGTTTTAAACAGGAGGAGAGTGAGAGCAAGTCTCTGGATCCAATGGTTTTCTGACTATCTGAGGATTCTACAAAGACAACAAATTCTGTCCCAGGGGATTCCTCGGGATATCTTCTAATATAATCTGTGATGTAGTAAGGTTTATACTTATCGGCCTTATCAATTTCAGATTCTGAGTCAGTAGAAGTATCTTCCGAATATATATCCTTGTCATTACAAGGTTCATGGTCTACATCACCTGAATCGTCATCTTTTTTTTTCCTTTTTCTACAACTGCGCTTCCCCATGAATGCTAATTATATTACTGTCACTGAATTTAGTGAAAATATAATATTTTATTCAATAATAAGAATTGATAGAGATAGTTTTTATAAATTAATAAAAAAAATTTAAAAAACCCGCTTGTTCTTATTCGAGTTTCCCGCCTTTTTTTCTGTCGTCGAATGTCAATGACCCTGTCAATGTCATTTGCATATGATTGACAGTTCAACCTACGTTCTGAAATAAAATTATTTTTATCAATGATTCCTTGTTTTTAGATTTTTACACATTCAATTCTCCTTCATTTAATTTATTTTATTTGTGTTCTTAATTTTTTCATATTCACGAAATCGGCATGTAGATAAAGGATAGGAATTAATAAATTAAGACTAGTATGTCTAGTTTCAGAACGCCACAATTGCTGTCATGTTGGACTGTCAGTAACAGCTGTCATTTCTGACACCATTAAAGAAATCAATAAATTCTTTGATGATAAAATTGAAATTTTAGAAATTTTTTCTCACTCCTCTTCTATAGTTGCTCAAATTATTATAGAAGAAAAGGAGTTGTTATCCCGACTACTATTCAGTACAACCACCTAATAAGTAAGTACATTATATATTATATAGTGAAAAAAAAATCTATAATAACTCTGGCAGTCGATATTTGATATTTCTTTATTTAAATAATAAATTTTCTAATTTTTTTTAAACCTACTGAATCTATAGATAAAAACTTTATACTTTATGGCCCAGAAACTATTGTTATATTAAAAAAAAAAATAAGTTCGTAAGATAAAAAAAAAAAATTTAAAAGTTTTCCTTTTCATCTTTATAACATTTATTAAAGTATGCAGCCAGGCTCCTACAGTAGGTAAACTATTACTTGGAGGATTCATTCCTTCTTTCCTTTATTATGAAATTGATTTTTTTTAATTGATTTTTTTTTTTTATTCTCTAAAGGACTAAATCATAAGAAAAAGTTTCCATAACAAAGTCTGTTTCTTTTTTTATGAGATGTAAATATAATGGTAACGCCCCCTTCGCTATCAGTGCAGGATGAAATCAGGTCAGTTGGCACATTGTCATGAATTCACCTGGAATTAAATACAAGCTATATACACTGCCAGGTCGAGAGGAAGAGTTGTTGGTAACAGAGATTTAATAGTTCCATTGCTAGCAATATTCTCTATCAGGTTGACCTGCTTATGGTCCCCTTTGGACACCATCATATTTAGTACCAAATGAATTCATCACAATGAGCTAACTGATATACATATTCATCCTCACTTATCATCTCTCAGGGTTTTTTTAATGGATGTAAATTAAATAGTAACCCCATTTGCACTGTTGATATACAGTGGCAGGGCACCAATGAGAGGTGGTAAAAATAAGAGAGCAATCCAATTGGCTTACTGTAGGAAATTTTAAAAATATTTACCAAAATGATCTCCAAAGGAAACCTGATAGGAGGTATATTGCTAGCAATAGGGCAAGTAGACCTCAGTAGAAACAATTCCATTCCTCTACAAAGGATGGGTCACCATTTTATTATCATTGTTTATTTTTATTTTATTATATTCGACAAAAAAAAAAAAAGAAAGTTACAAACACAAGTGTATCTTGTGTATGGGCCCCACACTAGGCGAACCTGTATCGTGGGCACCCGACAAAGATTTTTTTTTTTATGGGTGAAAATGGTATGGTAACCCCGCCTGCGCTAACGGGATACGCTGGCGGAGCACCAGTGAAGGGTGATAGATGAGAATGAAAACAGGCCAGTTAGCACATCATGATGAATTTATCAGTCATTCATAGTTTCCAGGGGAAACCTTTCTCTTCTTTTCTTCTCAGTCAGATTCTCAGTCTCTATTACTAACAATCCCTTTCCCCCCTTGACCCGACAAAGATTAACAAATCACAAATGTGTTATAATAAAAAGTACATAGTGGGCGGGTATTAGTATAAGAAGGAATATAAAATTGAATTAGTGAAAAAATTAATAAAAACAATATAGATACAGAATCAATTATAAAACACTAATAATATATGCCTTTAAGAGAAGCGAAGTTGAGTAAATGAATGTGGGAATGTTCGTGAGTATGCGTGAATGTGTGTTGTGTAATCCATGTGAAATATGTGTGTGTACTGTATGTTATTACTTTGAGAATGTGAGAAAGACTCTGTTTTCCGCGCTTAGCCTCTCACTTGGGCCGTTGTGTGTACGAGTCGTGGCTAGTACAGCCAGCCCAGCTCCGCCCAGAAGCGCAGAAGCTTCCTGGGATCTTCACAGGCCTCACGGAGCGACCTCACCGTTCCGAGGATTTCTAAACGTTGATGGGCCACAGGCTCACATTCCAGGATTACGTGAGCAGCCGTTTCTTCATGTTATTACTTTCCAGACCACAGTTTTCCAGTTGCCTCCTAACATAGTGATAAAAGATAATTATTTAACACGTTCGGTGCGAGTGTCGAGTATGCCTCGACGGAGCTTATCCCATCCCCCGGCCTACCGCCGAGGGTGCCTCGACGCTGGGTTTTTCATTTCAAATCCCGCCAAGGAAATTCCTTTGCTGGCGCGTGTGCCGACTACGCCTCGACAAAGCTTTTTTTAATTGAAAAACGTAATTATAATTTTTTTAAATATTTTATATGTGTATTTGGGTGCAGAAGGAATATTTTAAGAAAAAAAAAAGTGCTCGCATTTCGGAAGACCCCGGCAAATACAGTGCCGCACCGAACGTGTTAATTTGTGTTTTACAATATGTGTACCATGACCGTATCAGTGGACACACTTTGTTAATTTTATAGTACATTGATGGTGATGCAACCATATTGATTAACATTTGGCTACCAATTTGCATCTGCACTGCTCAGTTTGCTCCCATTTATCAAGCTATTTCTCTCCTCAATCCTCTAATTTTTCAGCAATCAGATATTGATATTTTTTATGAAAATTGTTTATAATTCTACGTTTTGGGAAATTGTGAGGCAGTTTAAAATTAAATAAGTTAAATAATTAATTAATTATATAAATAATTAATAATTTAATAATTAATTAATAAGTAGTTAATTATTTTATAATTAATTACGAAGTTATTAAATAATTTTTAAGTTATTAATTAATTAACAAGTTATTAATTAGATTATAAATAATTATTAAGTTAATAATTAATTTATAATTAATTATAAGTTAGTAGTTAATTTATAATTAATAAATTAATTTATTCATAATGAAATCATTAGTAATTCTTTTATAATTATTATTTTATTAATTATAAAAAACGGACTCCTGTTCATCCCAGCAGCAGCATGGCAGATCCATGGGTGGTGCAGCCGCACGAGCAGGCCAAGTTCTTGGAACACTTTAACAACTTGGGACCTGTCAATGGTGCCCTCACGGGGGAGCAAGCCAAGAGGTTCATGCTGCAGGTAACATTTTCTTTGAACACCTTAGAATGTACCCTTAATCCTTTCCTGCACACTGTAGGTAGCGGAAACCTCCAACAAATGCGTTCCCAAAGAGGGTTGATGTCAGGCAGGTGGTGGGTCGTAAAAGTAGAAGGCAAATCTTTTTGTAATATAAATAAAGAATTTATTACGCCGAAATCCAAATAATAATTGAGATAAGGGTAGGAAGAAGAAGAGACTCATGAAAAGCTGCAGATAAGAACTTTTTATATTTTTTATACAACTTAGAATGGCCAACGATCTGATGGAAAGTGCTAACCGTCGCCTATACACATAAACAGTACCATAGGCATAACAGAGTATACTGTTTCGCCCATGATACCCCCCCCCCCATGCGTTGCCATTCCTGAGGACTCAGATGTTATTCCTCTGTACCCTGTAAATTCACTGTCATATCCCACCCTTCAAACCGAAACACAGCCATGCAAACACAACTGATTCACGGTAGAAACACGAGTCATAAACTAGTCATATGTTGTTACAGTCGCAACTACCGCCCCCTATACTGGGCGCCATTTGGACCTTGGCGGACACTAATGCGGATGGCAAACTGGACTTGAGAGAGTTCTCCATCGCTTGTAAGGTAAGGGTAGAAGGGTATCTACATTATTACATCATCATCATCATCAGCTATTCACTGTCCACTGCTGGACATAGGCCTCCCCCTAATGTAATGTAAGTTGGAGTCTTATTTCCGCACTGAGCCTCTCATTTGGACAGTTTTTTTAATGGGTGAGAATGGAATGGTAACCCCGCCTGCGCTATCGATATACGCTGGTGGCGCACCAGTGAGAGGTGATAGATGTGAATGAAAACAGGCCAGTTAGCCCATTATGATGAATTCATCAGGAATTAACCATGATAGTTTCCAGGGGGAACCGCGAGCAGGTTGACCTGGTTGGGTATATTGCTAGCAATGGGATTCTCGGTCTCCATTACTAACAATCCCTTTCCCCCCGCAATGAAGCTATTAGACCCCGTTACTAACAATCCTTTCCCCCCTCATTTAAGCCGTTGTACATATGAGTCGTGACTAGTACAACCAGCCCAGCTCCGCCCAGAAGCGCAGAAGCTTCCTGGTACCTTCACAGGCCTAACGGAGCGACCTCACCATTCCGAGGAGTTTTTAAACGTTGATGGGCCACAGCCTCACATTCCAGGATTACGTTAGCAATCGTTTCTTCGGCGTCGAAACAGCCTCCACGTAGAGGGCTGTTTCTCTTAATGCCTATTGCCCCTAATTTCCCAATTTAATAATAATTGTGAAAGTGAGTTTGTTTGTTACCTTTTAACGCCTTAACTTTGGTAAACGCATAGTATATTATATGCATATATTGGCCATATGGTGCCAGCATAGTATTGGCCACCCCTATAGGCGATTAAGGGAGGACAAGGGATGGGCAGCAGCGTCCCTCTTAAAACACCTCTAAAATCTGACCGTAGTTGCCAATCCGCCTGCCAAGCGTGACAACTAGTTGCAAAACCCCCCAAGGGGGAGGCTTATGTCCAGCAGTGGACAGTTAAAGGCTGATATGATGATGTACTATATGGAATAGGAGAAGGATATAGGCTACTCTTAATCCCAGCTATGTGGACAAAGTCACGAGTAAATCCTAGTATTCGATAATAAGAACTACTTCCATTACGAGCTATTGGCCACAACAGAATATCAGTGTTTTGCTCTGTCGAGGGCAAAGCAATAAACTGAGTTGTGACCATTTTGTGTTACTGTGGCACACACATGAAAGAAGGGAATTGTTTTTTATATATTTTGCATTTTGTTTTTTTTTTGTTGCTTTTTTTTTTCATTGTTTTGACTCTTTTACTGTTTACGTCTGTATTGACGTGTATGTTTGTATTGTTATTTGTGTGCTGTAAGTAATGTAAATAAATTATCTATCTATCATTACTAAAGCTTTGACGTAAATTCAGTTTTTTTTAATACTGTCCAGTGAAGTTATTAACTTGTAAAATAGTATATATTATATTAGGTAGTGAAATGAATTCTTTATTATCTTTAACAGATAATCAACCTGAAACTCCACGGCATGGAGGTGCCGAAGGCTTTACCACCATCTTTACTCGCATCCTTGAGCCCGCAAGGTAAGTTATGGCAACCGTGCTGACGGCCCACCTGATCGAAAGTGGTAACCGTCGCCTATATACATGGACAACACCGAAGACAAACCAGAATACAATGTGACGCGAATTAAAGACCCAAGCAAATTAGTTTTGTACAAAGTCTCCCTCTGGATATATTGTACCGTGGGTATTAGTAAAAAAAATTGTTACCACTTTTTATTAGGTGGCCCATCAGCTCAAACTATTTCCAATGTATAAAAAATTGTTAAAAGAATCTTAAAATGATCTATTTATCTATGTTTTCAGTTCAACAAAAACAATTCACCCCACCAGCCAAACCCCCCATTCCTCCCATGCCGACCATGCCCCAACAACCACTCATATCCGGGTTGCCAGCCCAACCGACCAACCAATCTCTACTTGGCGACTTTGGCAACCAGCCCCTTATCAACACCGCTCCCCAACCGATCCCCAGTGCCGCTCCTTTAATACCACCCATGAGTCAACCACCCATGGTCCAACCAACCAAACCCGCAGCCACCGTCCCAGACTTAATATCAGGCGTGAAACCTCTAACGCCGCCTACTCAACCGCTGATCGCTTCCTCTCAACCATTAATACCGACTCAACCGTTAATCGACGCGCAACCACTCATTCCTACCCAACCATTAACGGCGCAACCAACCAACCCACCCCTCATACCGCCAACTCAACCGTTAGTGGGCACCCAACCATTAGTCGGCACCCAACCATTAGCAGGCACTCAACCGTTAATCGGGCAACCATTAGTTGGTGGTCAACCCTTGATCAGTGCAACTCCGCCCCTCATCCCTGCCTCTCAACCCTTAGTAGGTCCTACCCCGCTGGTTCCCTCATCGCAACCACTGGTGACTGGTACAACGGTAGCTTCACTAATCAGCTCGCCGCCGCAACCAGTGACCACAGTGGGCGGCGCGTCCGGGCAACCAGTGACTTCTACTCCAATTACTGCTGTTAAAAGTGATGGATTATCGAAACCTGGTAAGTATTAATACATATTCTCATCATCATCACATCAGACTTTAACTGTTCACTGCTGAGCATAAGCCTCTCCCTTGGGAGGGTTTGCAAGTAGTTGCCACGCTTGGCAGAAGGATTGGTAACCGCAATCAGGCTTTAGAGATGTTTTAAGAGGGACGCTGCTGCCCATCCCTCGCCCTCCTTTACTCGCCTCTTACGACACCCACGGGAAAGCAAGGGGTGGCCTATTCTATGCCGGGACTACACAGTCCTCCCTGTAATACATTCGAGGTCGTCCCTCCATCTAGTGGGAGGTCGTCTTACATTATGTTTTTTTAATGGGTGATAATGGTATGGTATCGCTATACACTGGCGGAGCACCAGTGATAGATGACTGATGAGGATGAAAACAGGTCAGTTAGCCCATCCTGACGAATTCAACTAGAATAAACCACGACGGTTTCCAGGGGGAAACAAGGACAAGGTATATTGCTAGTAATGGGGTTATTTAACTCCAATACTTACAATGCCTTTTTTTTTTATACAACTTAGAATGGCAAACAGGATGATACCCCCCCCCCATGAGTTGTCATTCCTGAGGACTCGAGTGTTATCCCTCTGTAACCTGTAAATCCCCCCCCCCCTACACTGCGTTTGCCCTATATATTACACTTATGAGGTACCAAAGGCGGTCTTATCGCTAAAACAATCTCTTCCAGACAACCTTTGGGTAGAATAGAAACAAAAAGACGATTTGATATGTTTAATTTAATTTTGGATATGCAGGTACGAGAAAAACAAGGGATTTTGCTTTAGAAAATATTCAATTTTTTAGCCATCCTAACACTAAATCTTCTGCTACTTACAATAATGTTTCATTTATCAATTATACAGGTTCGGTAGTGACGAGTCCCACAGAGGTCGCTCTCGGCGTGATGAGTCCACCACCACTCGCAGAGTGGGGTATACCCCAGCAGCAGAAACTCAAGTGAGTAATATTTAAGAAACAACGGAGCATGGGAATTGTATAACAATATCTATACTGCTGTTAAACTAAAATTTCATCCCAACGGGACGAGTGGCGGTCCTCCGCCGTGCATTTTTCAAGGCACTCTCTCCCATGCACAACCACTCTTTGGAATCAACTTCCAGCAGCAGTATTTCCGAACCGATACGACAACATAACCTTCAAGAAAAGAGCATATTCCTTTTTAAAAGGCCGGCAGTACACCTGCAATGCCGCTGGTGTTGTGGGTGACCATGGGCGGCGGTAGTCACTTACTATCAGGTGAGCCGCATGCTCGTTTGCCCCCTGTGTTGGCATTGGTCCGATAACAAATAAATATCAGTTACCAGATAATAAATAAATAAATGGCAAACAAGCTGACGGCCCACCTGATAGAAAGTGGTAACCGTCGCCTATACACATGAGCAGTACCGTGGACATAACAGAGTATACTGTTTCGCCCATGATACCTGCCATGCGTTGCCATTCCTGAGCATTCAGGTGTTATTCCTCTGTACCCTGTCAATTCACTGCCATATCCCACCCTTCAAACTGAAACACAACTGCTTCACGGTTGAAACACGAATGGAACAGAGGTGCCCAAGCAAACGACTTTTGTACAAAGTCGCCATCAGGTAGTTCTGGATGTTGCAGCCTAGAGTTACTATGATAATGAGATGATATGCAGGTACACGCAGCTGTTCAACGCTACGGACCGAGCGAAGACCGGCTCGGTGTCCGGCGCCCAGGCCCGCTCCATCATGCTGCAGTCCAGGCTGCCGCAGCAGGCGCTCGCTCAGATCTGGGCTCTGGCCGACCTTGACTCTGATGGGAAACTTGGTGAGGTTCCATAAGAGTAAATCTTAGATTATAAATATATTCCACGGGAACTACTTCAGTCTTTCCAAGGACTACATTCCACTAGTTATTTGTTTAGAGTTATTTTATTTAATTCCGCTACCATTAGTATGTATGTGACTGCCAATACTCGAAGACTGACCATCACTGTTACTACCAGAAGTTCCACAACCTTCCATATTATCCATCAATCTCCGACTGTCATTACGTTCACGCACGTTTTGCGACTCGTGTTTCACTTCTGAACTAGGCGTTTTGAAGCAAATTAATAGATCGCTGCTCGGAGTCTAAAGTTTTTTTTCTAATGGGTGATAATGGAATGGCAACCTCGGGACTATCGGGATACGCTGGCGGGGTACCAGTGAGGGATGATAGGTGAGGATGAAAAGACAGGTCAGTTAACCCATCGTGACGAATTCCACTAGAATTAACCACGACGGTTTCCAGGGGGAACCGCGTGGAGGACGACCTGATAGGATGTATTGCTAGCAATGAGTCAATTAGACCCCATTGCTAATAATCCGTATTAAAAGCGTCTGGCCGTGTGGTCCCGGCATAGAATGGGCCACTTCACGTTCACCACTACCACATCTTCCTTTCTAATGGGTGTCGTAAGGGAACTTAATCCCTCCCTACATCCCTCTTAAAACAACACCAAAGCCTAACTGGTTGCCAATCTGCCTGTCAACTGTGGCAACCCCCCCCCCCCCAAGGGGGAGGTTTAACAGTAGACAGAAGCTGATATAATGATTAATAGAATCTACTTTCGAAATGGTTACAAACTATATTAAAATCTATTTTTTTTTTATCACCAGGTTGTGAAGAGTTTGTCCTTGCTATGTACTTGTGTGAGAAGGCAACCCAGGGCGACCCTGTGCCTGCTAAACTGCCTCCTGAGCTGATACCACCCACGTTCAGGTAAGAGAGGTGCTTAGAAAATAAACTGAAACGTGGCATGATAAACAAGCCGATGACCGGTGGAAAGGGGTTGTTAGTAATGGAAACTACCGGTTCCATTGCTAACAATATACCCTGTCAGGATGAGCACCATCTGGTTCCCCCTGGAAACCATCGTGCTAAATTCTAGATGTATTCATCACGATGGGCTAACTGGCCTGCCTTGTCATCTCACCTATCATCATTCACTGGTGTCTCGCCTGTGTATACCAATAGTGCAGGCGGGGTTACCACCCCTTTTTTTTATGTGTGAAAATGGTATGGTAACCCCGCCTGCGCTAACGGGATACGCTGGCGGAGCACCAGTGAAGGGTGATAGATGAGAATGAAAACAGGCCAGTTAGCACATCGTGATGAATTCATCAGGAATTAACCATGATAGTTTCCAGGGAGAACCGCGGGGAGGTCGACCTGGTTGGATATATTGCTAGCAATGGGATTCTCAGTCTCCATTACTAACAATCCCTTTGCCCCCGGTTACCACCTCATTGTCACCCATTAAAAAAAACTACGATTGCCAACCTGCCTGCCGAGCATGGCAACTATTGGCTAAACCTTTCCGATTTATGGGCAGGCCTATGTTCAGCAGTGGACATATAACGGCTGATATGATGATGATGATGATGATGATGATGATAAATAAAATAAACCGAAAAAATTCTTATTCGACGTCACCTTTTCAGACGCGAGTCCGTGACTTCGACAAGCAGCACGAAGTCGTACGAAGAGCGTCGCAGGGAGAACATGGCGCGAGGCCAGGCCGAACTCGAGAGACGAAGAAGCCAATTGGCCGACGCACACATGAAAGAGAAGGTAGGTGTTTTTTTTTTTTTTTTAATGGATGATAATGGAATGATGATCCCGCCTGTGCTATCTGTATACACTAGCGGGGCACCAGTGAGAGATGATTGGTGAAGATGAATAGGCAGGTCAGTTAGCCTATCGTGACAAATTCATCGATAAATTAGTTACGATGGTTTCCAGGGGGAACCACGTGGAGGTCGACCTGGTACAGTATATTGATAGCAATGAGGACTAACCTCCCCATTACAAACAATCCCTTCCCCCCGAGAAGGTAGGTGTGACTTTATACTTTTTACCCTCGCCTCCCACAATCCACTTGTTTCATTATGAATTAAGAGCTGGTATTAAATTTTAAACAATGTATTAAAGCTATAAAAGTTTAGAATTTTATAATAAATGAATAAGTTAATTTCTATTGTAAATTAAATATATTATTTTATTTTTATTTATTTATTTATTTATTTATTTACACTTTATTATTATAAACAAACTGACCTACGTTCCCATGAAGGAGAAGATAGGCGCGATTTAGTGCTTTTAACCCTAGTCTCTTACAGAATTTTAAAAAAATATCCAATATGTACGAGGTTTGTCCGGAAAGTACGTATAAAAGTTTTTTAAAAATTTTATTTTACAATTATTCAGGTAAATCAATTTTATCCCCTTCAAAGTACTCCCCCTGTGACATAATGCACTTGTGCCAACGCCGTTTCCACTGTGAGAAGGCTCCTTGAAAGTCCTCTGGTTGTAGGTTTCTCAGCTGCCCCGTCGTAGCTTTTTTTATCTCATTTATGTCCCCCAAATGCCGCCCCCGAAGTACCAATTTGGTTTTTGGGAACAAGAAGAAGTCACACGGGGCCAAATCCGGCGAATAGGGGGGTGTTCGGTCACCGTAATGGAATTTTTACTCAAAAACTCACGGACAACAAGAGAGGTGTGGGCAGGGGCATTGTCGTGGTGAAGAATCCAACGCCCCTCTCGCGCCAATTCTGGACGAACTCGTGCCACACGAGCTTTGAGGCGTCTGAGCACATCGACGTAGAATTTTCCATCAACTGTCTGGCCTGGAGGGACGAATTCTTGATGCTTTCTCGGCCCTCTCTGAATCTTTTTAGCCACTTGTGGACGGTTGGTTCCTTCACAGCATCATCCCCATAAACTGTTCTGAGATCGGCAAAAATTTCACGGCCATTCTTGCCGAGTTTCGAGAGAAACTTGATTACGACGCGCTGCTCTTCAACGGAAGCGGGCTCCATGCCGACGGGGTTTCGTTAAGAGGTAACTTCACAGATGGCGTGACAAGCCAGTTCGCACCGCACGGCGGTCAGACCAGAACTGAAGCATTGTTAGGGACATAAGGAAGGGGTCCTGCGCTTACCTGGCCTCCCCACTCCTCTTTCTCGCATTCCAGAACACTTTTATACGAACTTTCCGGACAGACCTCGTATATGGCCATCTTCGAAACTTTAAAATAAATGGTTGTCTTTTATAATTTAAAAGTACTTAATATAAAATATAAAAAAAACATGTTTATTTGTGGTTTTGTTTCACAAAAAGAAACTGTCACTTGATAATGTTAGTGTGATACCAAAACATATCAGCCGTTAACTGTCCACTGCTGGACATAGGCATTTCCCATAAAAGACATTTTGCCAGTCAGTCTTCACGTCGGGCAGACAAGTTGGCAACTGCAGTTAGGCTTTGGCATTTCAAGAGGGACGCTTCTGCCCTCCATAATTAAGGTCCCTTTGTCGCGTCTTACAACACTAATGGGAAAAGAAGGGAAAAATGAATAAATATAGAAGACTTCTTAATTATTTGTTGAGTCAACAAAACCAGCTCTAGTTACAGGTCACTCAATAGTTATTATATCTCATAATGCTTATCGTTGTTTTAATTTATGTATATATATATGTATATATTTCATATGTATTAGTTTATTCATATATATATTTAAAGGAAATGTTTATGTATTATATGTGCATTTCTTATGTGTATATTATATTTATATTGTGTATTGCCTTAATGTGTCACTATAATTACGTCACATATTTTTCACCACACCTGCCCTTCATACGCTTTCTGTTTTTACCCAATGGTTAGCTGGTAGAGAATGCCATATGGCATTAAGCTCGCCGCTTGTACAAAGTTTTATTGTGCAATGAAGAATAAATAAAATAAAATAAATAAATAAATATTGTCAATTGCTAAATGTAGTATCCAAAATCAGTTTAGTTCTAGCAAAAATATCACGAGATATAGTCACAAAAAAACTCATAATAATCAGACCTCTATTTGAGGTCCTTTAAAAGATATGGGACTCATAGTATATAATTGCGTACATAAAATATTTTGGTTTAATTTTGTTGAGTATGGAGGGCTATAATACGCTTGAAGTGAGACGGAAAACTAAATTTAATTGAAGTATGTGTTAAAATTAGTGCGAGGGGACAAATGTAACCAAACTGTACTGGAATCAATATCAATAGGAGCGCCCAGTAACTACGTGCGAGCACGTCGACGGCACTTATTCGATGTTCCATTACGAAGAACAGAGTTGCCTAAGCAGGCTCCCCTATCTCTTGCATTGAAACTACTCGATGATATTTTGAGCCAGTATTTGTTCGCAATTGGATGTATTTGCCTCCAACTTGCTGGAGTCTCGTCGAGTGACCACAGAGTGTTTGTGTTCACACGTTTCTTGTTTGAGTTAAATCTTTTTATATTATTTTTGTTTATTATTTTAGTGTAATATACCTTTTTATATGTTATTGTACTGATGCTTTCCTGGGTGAGCGTATTGGAAGACTGCAAGGCTCACCCAGTGGATGTAATAAATAAATAAATAATTTACTTTCACGCCTACCAGGAAGCAGAGGTAATTTAACACGTTATTTTACAATATAAAAATGAATCGCTGAATGTGTTGCTAAGCGCAAATCTCGTGAACAGCTGAACCGATTTCGCTTATTCTTTTTTTAGAACATCCCTTGAAGTACAAGGATGGTTGTTACGGAGAGAAAATTTTAAAAAATTGCCTAAAAAAGTCTAAAAACAACACTTTTCTAAACTCCCATACAAATGACTCGTAATAATACCTAAAAGTAAATTTGGACTTTAATACCACAGCATAAAGTTCAAGTGTTAGTGGAGAGGTTCCGGGAAGGCAAAACAATTGAGTGACCTTATCTTATCTTATATATTTTTTTATATACAACTTAGAATGGCAAACAAGCTGACGGCCCACCTAATGGAAAGTGGTAACCGTCGCCTATAGACATGAGCAGTACCACGGACATAACAGAGTATACTGTTTCGCCCATGATACCCGCCATGCGTTGCCATTCCTGAGGACTCGGGTGTTATTCCTCTGTACCCAGTAAATTCACGCCATATACCACCCTTCAAACCGAAACACAGCCATGCAAACACAACTGCTTCACGGTTGAAACATATTCGCATATAGGGTCAGCTAAGCTGTTGCACGTCGACCCATACGGATCTTTTGTGCTTCCCACCGCCTTATACCATCATTTCATAGATCCTATGTGTTACCCTAACGATACCCCGCGGTTTAAGATATCTGTAGTCCTCTGGCTCCGGATAAGCCGTTCCCAGTAGATTGAGTAACCTTAGTATCATATAAAACTTGTCATATTTTAAATGCCAAGAATAGCTGCTCTATTTAGCATCAGCATTGCCCTCGCGCGAAGCCGGGGCGAGTCGCTAGTTAATAATAAATATTAAATTAATTAAAAAACAATCTCATTCCTTATGAGGTAATCAGAGACATCTGTCGACTGTTACCGTTAGAAAAAAATACAGTATGGTTCAAACACAGGATATGGCAGTGAATTGACAGGGTACAGAGGAATAACAGCTGAGTCCTCAGGAATGGCAACGCATGGGGTGTATCATGGGCGAAACAGTATACTCTGTTATGTCCATGGTACTGCTCATGTCTATAGGCGACGGTTACCACTTTCCATCAGGTGGGCCGTCAGCTTGTTTGCCATTCTAAGTTGTATAAAAAAAAAAACATAGTATTTTGTACTTTGTTAGTAAAACTTTACTGTACAATAAAAACTTGAATATCTAAAATTTATTGATAAATATTTGTAGGCTGAAAGAGAACGGAAGGAGAGGGAGGAAGCGGAAAAGAGGGAGAAGGCAAGACTAGAGGCGCAGAAGAGGGAACAAGAGGAATTAATGAGGAAGCAGAAGGAAGAACAGGTAATGGTGATTCCACTTGTATTTTATATACTAAATTATATTATGCCATTGTGTGTTGCATAAAAAAACATAGGAAATAAAATAAAAACTGACATGTAAAGGTGGAAAGGGGGGGAGGTTAGATGGTATTTTTGAATGGATGGTATGGGGGAGCGATTGCTAGTAATGCGGACTGCCTGTCTCGTTGCTAGCAATGTACCCTTGTCGGGTCGACCTCCACGTGGTCCCACCTGGAAACCATCTTGGTTATAGAGTTTATAAATCTCTGTTACTAACAATCCCTTTCCCCCCATGGCAACTGCAGTTAGACTATAGAGATGTTTTAATAGAAACGCTGCTACCCATCTACCATTAAGTTACCTTAGTCCCCTCTTACGACACCCACGGGAAAGGAAGGGGTGGCCTATTCTACGCCGGGACCACACGGCGACCTTATTTATCATACATAAATAATGGTACAAGTTGTATGAAATATATCCCAATGTTACAATAATACCTACTTGTAGGGGGGAAGGGGATTGTTAGTAATAGAGACTAAGAATCCCATTGCTAGCAATATACCCAACCAGGTCCACCTCCTCGCGGTTCTGCCTGGAAACTAACATGGTTAATTCCTGATGAATTCATCATGATGCGCTAAATGGCCTGTTTTCATTCTCATCTATCACCCTTCACTGGTGCTCCGCCAGCGTATCCAGTTAGCGCAGGCGGGGTTACCATACCATTTTCACCCATTGAAAAAATACCTACTTGTACAACAATTAGTCCGTTACCCTAAGGTTGTCTTGAACAGATTGCTTTCAGCAATAAGACCGCCTTACTGTATTCATACAACTGTATCGTTACATTTATTAATTGTCTTGCTTATTCCCCATAATCTCTCTTTTCATTTAAGAGTTTCCTCTTGTCGGTGCAACTAATTCGTGCATCCTCCTCCAGCCAGCTCTATCCCAGGCCATATCCTTTATCTCCCTATACGACATGACGCCTAGTGTTTCCTTTATCTATCCCATGTAGTCATTCCTCGGTCACCTTCCTCTTTTGCCCTCTATTTTTCCCTCTACTATGCTCTTTGAAAAATCGTCATGTCGTATAAGGTGGCCCAGCATTTCGCCTCTTCTATTCTCTATTATTTTAATCAATGTTCTTTTCTCGTTCACTCTTTTCAATACTTCGTTAGTTCTTCTGTCCAGCTGATCCTTTCCATTCTCCTCCATGTCCACATTTCGAATGCCTCAAGCATCTTTCTTTACTTTTGCGTCATTGTCCATGTTTCACACACATACAATGCTATGCTCCAAATCAAATATTGTATAATGCAAATAAAGTATACTCATTCAATATTATTAATTTTATTTTATAGGAGAAAAGAGAAGCAGCCAGGAAGGAGATGGAGAGGCAGTGCCAGTTAGAGTGGGAGAAGAAGAGGTAAGTTTTGAGTTCACGCTCACTTTTTATCTTTATCCGAGCAGTAAGTGCTTTATATTTTTATTTTTTTTTATTTTATTTCAATAGGTACACATTACAGAGAATTAACATAGTTACATTAATTTATAAACTACAATTATGTTTTGTTCAAGCTAATCCTCCAAAACTTTGCGTACACGGCATGATCAAAACATAAACACACAGCTAAAGTCTGTAAACACAATATAATTTAAACAACAAAAAATGGATAATCATATATATATATATATATATATATATACACATACATACATACATACACATACACATACATACATATACACACATATACATATATATACACATATACATACACATACACATATACACATATATACATACATACACATACAAACACAGACACACACAAACACGCGCGCGCGCGCGCACACACATACAGAAACACACATACCACGGTGTACATATTACGTTCATATATATGTTACAACAAAAGAAACTATCTACTAATTACAGAGGAAAATAATACGTAAACGTCGTGACGAAAATTACTGAACTTCTGACCAAATATATCAAGCTTTTCACCATCCTGATGAGCACCACCACGCTGAACATTATTATAAGACCGGCACATTCTTAAAATGGAATTGTTAAATGAAACATTATTCCTAGTGTTTGGCGCATCAAAAACACGGGAGTTACGACATTTATTGTTAGTATTAAAGTATAGTAAATTAAGTAGCGAGGGACAGTCAACCATAGAATTAACAATTTTATACAAGTAAATTAATTCAGCCGATTGTCTTCTAGATAATAAATTATCTAATTTAAAGTATTTCATTCGCGAAGCATAGGATTGAAGTTTCCTGACTAAGCCATATCGTCTACAAGTAGTTGCAAGGCACCTTTTCTGTATTCTTTCAATATTTTCTTCATGAATAGCATAATATGGGGACCATATTAAATTACCATACTCAGCAATGGGTCTTATAAGTGTTTTGTATAAGTATAGTAGACTGTGGGGTTTATTAAAATTTTTAGTTGCTCTGTATATGAACCCAAGCAACTGGTTACAACGACTGATGATATAATCATAATGTACACGAAAAGATAATTTTGAATCAAACATTATTCCCAAATCTTTAACCACATCTTTACGCTTAAGTTTTTGCTTGTTCATGCTATACTCAAATATAAATTTTAGAGACCTTGAAGCAAAAGATATTGTGTTACATTTTTTTACGTTCATATACATATTATTGGCACAACACCATTTGTAAATATTATCAAGATCCTTCTGTAACTGCAAACAATCTTTGAAACTATTCACTACGCGATAAACTTTGAGATCATCAGCATAAAACAAGCATTCACTTTTTATAGAGTCTACTAGGTCGTTAATAAACAAAATAAATAATAAGGGACCCAAGTGCGATCCTTGAGGAACTCCTGAGGTTACCATAACAGGAGTAGATTGGAAACCTTTAATAGCAACCATTTGACTTCTATTAGAAATATATGATACGAACCAACGATACAACGAGCCATGAATCCCAAATGAAATAAGTTTTTTTAACATTAGTTCATGGTTCACCTTATCAAAGGCTTTGGAAAAGTCAGTGTATATTGAATCCACCTGTTGGCGATTATTAAATGCATTACAAATGTAGTTTTTGTAGATAAGTAGATTACTAATAGTTGATCGACCAGAAACAAATCCCATATTATTTCGAAATTCGTGTATAATATAGTATATGTCATATATGTGTAAGTATGTTTGTTATTTATATATATTTATTCGTTTATATATGTAATTTTAGTATGTATGTATATCAATAATTACTAGTACCGCATTCGAGTATTCTGACACTTCCCTATGATTGACTGGGAGAGAATGCTTCTAGCATTAAGTCCGCCATACACATATATGTACTAATGAATAAATAAATAAATAAGTTTTGATAGTATTTAGACTCAGTCCTCAAAATTGGCGACGTATAAGGGGTATCATGAGCGAAACAGTATACTCTGTTATGTCCATGGTACTGCTCATGTCTATAGGCGACGGTTACCACTTTCCATCAGGTGGGTCGTCAGCTTGTTTGCTATTCTAAGTTGCATGAAAAACCTTCTCATGCTCAGACATTATCCTGTAAAAATACCATTTTTTTTATGGATGATAATGGTATGGTAACCCCGCCTGCGCTGTCAGTATACGCTGGCGGGGCACCGGTGAGGGATGATTAGTGAGGATGAAAAGGCAGGTCAGTTAGCCCATCGTGACGAATACAACGATAAATTAGTCACGATGGTTTCCGGGGGGAACCGCGTGGAGGTCGACCTGATAAGGTATATTGACTAACCTCTGCATTACTAACAATCCCTTCCCCCCTGTTACAATGCTATTGTAATAGTATGATGACCTTATATTACTTACCCAGGATCCGGGAGCTGGAAGCGATGAGAACAGAAGAGCAGAGCAAAGTCCTCAGTCTCAAGTCGAAGAGTCAGACCCTGACTGCTGAGCTGAGCTCGGTCAACCTCCGGGCCAGCAACCTGGCCAAGGACATCCGCGAGACCAGGACGGCTGTGGCGGCTGCCAAGTGCACCATAGACGGCATGAGGTGAGGACAGTAAATGGATTATAGGCGAGTACGAAAAAATCATGGAAACGTCGCAAAGTCAGACTTTTTCTGCCTGAAGAAGTCCATCTTTCAATAATAATAAACTAAATAAATCTTTTTTTTTTTATACAACTTAGAATGGCAAACAAGCTGACAGCCCACCTGATGGAAAGTGGTAACCGTCGCCTATAGACATGAGCTGTACCATGGACATAACAGAGTATACTGTTTCGCCCATGATACCCCCCATGTGTTGCCATTCCTGAGGACTCGAGTGTTATTCCTCTGTACCCAGTAAATTCACGCCATATCCCACCCTTCAAACCGAAACACAGCCATGCAAACACAACTGCTTCACGGTTGAAACACGAATGGGACAGAGGTGCCCAAGCAATCGACTTTTGTACAAAGTCTCCCTTTGGTCTAAGATAGATGGTCTAGATAGGAAACCCCTTAAAACAATGATAGGGACAATATCGGGCCAAGGGGAAGAAGAGATTGTTAGTAATGGGAATTAGTAGCCCCATCGCTAGCAATATACCTTGTCAGGTCGACCTCCTCGTGGTTCCCCCTGGAAAGCATCCTGATTGATTCATTGGTGAATGTGTCTCGATGGGCTAACTGACCTGCTTCATTTTCTTTAGTCATCCCTCACTGGTGCCCCGCCAGTGTATACCGATAGCGCAGGCGGGGTTACCATACCATTGTCATCCATTAAAAAAAATAGGATCATAGCCCACAGAGTACAGACGGACACGACAGACAAATTTTCCATCAGGTGGGCCGTCAGCTTGTTTGCCATTCTAAGTTGCATGAAATATATGTATATCTGTATGTATGTTTCTCTCCAGATCGGACCGCGACACCAGTATGGCGGAGATGCAGCAGCTCAAAGCGAAGGTCAAAGAGCTCAACGCTAAGCAGATAGCTCTGAATAAAGAGAAAGCGGAGTTGGATGCTAAAGTAAGTTCATCACTAGCTTTTACCAGCGACTTTGTCCGCGTGACCGAGACAAAAAATAGCCTTATCTCTTTCTCCATTCCATATAGTACTTGTATACCAAATTTCAAAGTGAATTAAGCCTGCCTTTTCATCCTCACCTTTCACCTCTCACTGGTACCCCGCTAGTGTATACCGGTAGCGTACAAGGGGTTATCATGCCATTTTAAGGAAGGTCCCATTGCTAGAAATATATCCTGTCAGGTCGACAGTGGTCCCGCCCTGGTAACCATCGTGCTATATTCCAGGTGTATTCATCACGATGGGCTAACTGACCTGCCTTTTCATCCTCACCTATCATCCCTCACTGGTGCCCCGCCAGTGTATGCCGTTACCGCGGGCGGGGTTACCATTCCATTACAATCGTCCAAAAAAATATGTATGTGCATACCTTATACTGTGTAATCCCGTTGATGGTTGGCCAAAAAAATATTTTCTTTCTGAAACTCTGTTTATTAATTCTATCACCAGTTTTAAGGAACAGGTTAAGTTCACTAACATACTATTTCAACCCTTCTTTGCATGATTTTTTTATTAGTGAAATAAATCAAGGTGATATAATTGTACACCTGAGTCCTGGCGTGAATTTACAGGGTACAGAGGAATAACATCTGAGTCCTCAGGAATGGCAACGCATGGGGGGTATCATGGGCGAAACAGTATACTCTGTTATGTCCATGGTACTACTCATGTCTATAGGCGACGGTTACCACTTTCCATCAGGTGGGCCGTCTGCTTGTTTGTCATTCTAAGTTGTATAAAAAATAAAAAAAAATAAAAAAATGTCCTCAGGAATGGCATGGCACACACATGGGGGGTATCATGGGCGAAACAGTATACTCTGTTATGTCCACGGTACTGCTCATGTGTATAGGCGACGGTTACCACTTTCCATCAGGTGGGCCGTCAGCTTGTTTGCCATTCTAAGTTGTATAAAAAAAAATCATGTTCAAATTTAATGGAGAAATGGTTAAAGAAATAAATTTGACAGCTATGTTTTGTTTTTTTTTTCTGCAATGTACATTAAAAAGGTATCCAGACACGATCAACTTAAAGTGAGCTTGTTCTTTTATATAATTTTTGGGCATTCAACGTTATGATGGAAATTTCCACCAGTATGCAAAGAAAGATTAATTTTTATTTTTCCTTGTTTTCAGGCTAAAGCGTCAGAGGGCGCTGGTGAGGACGGCAAGTTGAGTATGATGGAGGTGACATTGAAACAGCTCAGAGATAAGGTATGTTATTGTATAATAAATAATAGTATATATATATATATATATATATATATATATATATATATATATATATATATATATATATATATATATATATTCCGCTACCGTTATGTATGTATGTGACTGCCAACACTCGGAGACTGACCACCACTGTTACTACCAGAAGTTCCACAACCTTCCATATATATTTCTACAGGCATTTGTATTTTATATAGATTAAGGTAAACATGTTCGAATCCAGGTGGAGGCAGCCAAAGCGATAGTGGAAACCAAGAAGGCGGACTTGGAAACGAACAAGAAGCAACTGTCGGAGCTGACGGAGACGGTGTCGTCCCTGGGCGACAAGTGTGAGCGCGTGTGGCAGCTGTACGAGCAGCGGCGCGGCGAGTACGAGCGGCGCCGCTCCACCGCGCCCGCCGAGTCCGCCTGGCCGCCCGCCGGTACACGCACGCTGCCGCCACGCCGTACACACTACTCATCACTCACCACACACTACTTACTGCCCATCACTCACCACACACTACTCATCACTCACCACACACTACTTACTGCCCATCACTCACCACACACTACTCGTCACTCACCACACACTACTCGTCACTCACCACACACTACTCGTCACTCACCACACACTACTCGTCACTCACCACACACTACTCGTCACTCACCACACACTATTCGTCACTCACCACACACTACTCATCACTCACCACACATTTCTTATCACTTACACACACATATCACACACATTACATACCATTCACCACACACTGCGAATCAATTCGCCGTAACTATTGTTTACTTTAGTCGTAACTCACTATTCACTGCATAAAAAACTCACTGACACACGGCGAGGACAATTTTTGAAACCGGTTGAATTGTTTTTGAGTTCATTCATAACAAACAAACAGACAATCAAATGTTCCCTCTTTGTTCAAATTCGTTTTCAATTTTAATATTAAATTTATCAGTAACATTTATCTAATTGAATGATTATTTGTTTCAGAGACAGAATGGGGCACTTCTGAGGAGGCGTGGGGCGACAGCGGCGCCCCGGGGGATGCGTGGGGCGACGCCCCCGCCACCACCGGTACGTATATATATATATATATATATATATATATATATATATATATATTTTATACAACTTAGAATAATAATTTAAGAATAATTTATATGCTCGAAATGTGGTACAAAGGTCTTAAATGGTAACTGAGCTACACATTTCGCCTTATCTAAACGCATGCAAATTTTGTCTTAGCACATGTTAAGTAAAAATTTATGGCAAACAAGCTTACGGTCCACCCGGATACCCTGGCAAACCCAAGTTGTCCCCCCCTCTCCCAGTAACTCCATATTGTGTGATCTACATGTACACTAATATTATAAAGAGGAAAGATTTGTATTTTTCTGTGTATGTATGTTTGTAATGAATAAACTCAAAAACTACTTTGTCGATTTCAAAAATTCTTTCACCATTAGAGAGCTACATTCACCCTGAGTAACATAGGCTATATTTATTGCTAGAAAAGATTAGGGATCCTTACTAAAACTTTATTAACGTAACTCGAGGTGTACAAAAAAATGCTGTAAAATATCTTTGGTCGCGTGCGCTGCGGAAACTATTGGTGATAGAACAAAAGTATGTTCTACAATGTTGAAGGAAATATCAATAACTATAAAAAACTCCGCGACACTATATGTCCAACTATTATTAATATTTCGTTATGTCACAATAACCATTTTTTAAAATGTTGTAAAAATTTCCCCCCGTGCGAAGCCGGGACAGGCTGCTAGTATGTAATCAATCTGTATCCTATAGCCACGGAGCCTGTGACGACGAGCGCAGTGCCCAGCGGAGGCGCTAGATGGCGCTGCGTGTACGAGTTCGCGGCTCGGACCGCCGACGAACTCAGCCTGCAGCCGGGGGATCTGGTAAATGATCATCTGTATATATACAACATTATGGGTGTCACAGTATATATATATATATATATATATATATATATATATATATATATATATATATATATATATATATATACAGTGCCGCCCGTTGTACTTATGTGCGCTTATGTGTTACCTTATGTGTTTTTTATGCTAGAATTGTACTCAATAATGCCACTGTCGTGGAAGAAGGTGCTTTTTTTAATGGATGATAATGGAATGGTAACCCCGCCTGTACTAACGGTATACGCTGGCGGGGCACCAGTAAGGGTTTTTTTTTTATATACAATTTAAAATGGCAAACAAGCTAACGTTCCACCTGATGGAAAGTGGTAACCATCGCCTATAGACATGAGAGTATACTGTTTCGCCCATGATACCCCCCATGCGGTGCCATTCCTGAGGACTCAGGTGTTATTCCTCCGTACCCTGTAAATTCACGCGATATCCCACCCTTCAAATCGAAACAGCCATGTAAACACAACTGCTTCACGGTTGAAACACGAATGGGACAGAGGTATCCAAGCAATCGACTTTTGTACAAAGTCTCCCTCTGGTAAATGATAGGTGAAGATGAAAAGGCAGGTCAGTTGGCACTACACCTGGAATTCAGCACGATGGTCTTCAGGAGGACCATGTGGTGCTCCATCTGACTGGTTGTCCGCATTACTAACTATGCATCAAGTCTTAATCTGGTGAAATAATGATGATTGTCCGCAGGTGAGCGAGGCGACAGCCGCGCGCGGTGACGCTGAACCGGGCTGGAGGTGGGGCACGGCCAGAGGTTCGTATTGCAGCACTAGGTACACACGGGGCGTAGGTAGACGCAAGCAGGGCACTGCTAGACGTAGTTGGGGTACTGATAGATGTAGTTGGGGCATTACTAGACATAGTTGGGGTACTGATAGACGTAGTCGGGGCGCTGCTAGACATAGTTGGGGCAATTATAGACGTAGTCGGGGCACTGCTAGACATAGTTGGGGCAATTATAGACGTAGTCGGGGCGCTGATAGACATAGGGCAATGCTAAACGTAGGCGGGTCGTTACTAGACATAGATGGGGTACTGCTAGACATATTTGGGGCAATGACAAACGTAGGCAGGGCTCTGCTAGACATAGTTGGAGTAATACTAGGCGCAGGTGTTACTGTTACGCAAGAGGGATGCTGATATCAAAATTGCATATCCGCAGTTTTAAGCTAGTTTTTTTAAATAATAACGGCCACATAATTACACCAATCGCCAGGATCATAAGCTAGGGTACCCTGTGTTATGAGGAACCGGGAGACGAACCTCCGGAAGCACAACCAGACCAGAGGCCTAATCGGGAATCGAACCCAAGACCTAGTTTACGCAGACTAACTTATTCGTTAATTCAATTTAATTCGTTTGTTAAGATTTTTTTTCTTATTGCTATTATGTCTAATAAATATAAACGACTTTTTTTTTTTTATAAATAAATGCATTAATTTTCTGTTGCAAAAAATGATTATACATGGCCGCCGTTACCGCAGGTCAGTCGGGCTGGTTCCCGGAATCGTATGTAGAAGATATCAACGCGGCGTCAGCGTACGCCGCCGAGGTTGTGGAGCCCATAGAGACCAAGACCCAGCTCGAAGGTAACTTAGTCCTGAACCTACAATTAACGAAATGTCATAATTTCCCAACGAATTCCTTTGTTAAATGGGATAATATCACGACGTGTTGTGGGTGACCATGGGCGGCGGTAGTCACTTACCATCAGGTGAACCGCATACTCGTTTGCCCCCTGTGTTGTAAAAAAAAAATCGAACCCAATTGTTAAATAAGACAGTGTCATAACGAAACCAATTGTTAAATTAGACAATATCACAACGAAACCAATTATTAAATGCGACAATATTATAACGAAACCAATTGTTAAATGCGACAATATTACAACGAAACTAATTGTTAAATGTGACAATATTACAACGAACCCTATTATTAAATGTGGCAATATCACAACGAAACCAATTGTTAAATGCGCCAATATCACAACGAAGCCAATTGTTAAATGCGACAATATCACAACGAAAGAAATTGTTAAATGCGACAATAACACAACGAAGCCAATTGTTAAATGCGACAATATCACAACGAAAGCAATTGTTAAATGCGACAATATCACAACGAAGCCAATTGTTAAATGCGACAATATCACAACGAAGCCAATTGTTAAATGCGACAATATCACAACGAAGCCAATTGTTAAATGCGACTGTTTAATTTATCTGCAATATTTTTACTTCGCGGCACCACACTTTCACAATTCTACAACACACACACACACACACACACATATAAATATATATTGTCCCTGTAAATTAGTCATTACGGGGATATATGGAAACGCCTGCCCTCTGGTGTGAGTGCCGTGCAACAACGCCTGTGTGTCAACTTTTTTACGCGGGAACAACCATCGACCTCCACGGCAGTGATTAAAAATATTAATAATCTTCGGTTATTTGGGGTGAGTTTAGGTTATTATTTGTTATTATTATTGTTTTTATATGCATACACATAAATCGAGGAAAAAATAGACACCGATAACACGAATTACGGGAGCCCTGAACCAGCACCTAAGTGTGAGATGAAGTAGGTGATGAAAGTCAATATTCCACCGAAATTCCTCTATATACCATTTGATCGCTTCGAGACGGATTTATAACCCGTTATCGTTGTCTATTTTAAATCATTTATACAAAGAAAATACTTAAAATCGCGGATACACGTAGGTCATATGCTTCCACCTACGTTGTAAAAATTATTAAAGTAGTAATCGGAAACTTATACACTGTACACATATTTTGCGGTAATATTTATGTTTCAGTGTTAGGTATTTATATATATGATTTTGATTGACCCCCCATATAATTACACTTTCATATTCACATTCAATTTACATAAAAAAAAAAAAAAACTTCATTTCACCGTACACACTAGGTATTTTGTTTTTCTTTTCTAAATCTTGCAGCTAGATTATCATCCTCTGATTGTTTTTGTGGAATAATTGTTTTTAAATAATAAAGTAAATATACGGTCTTATTTATTAGCGGTAATAATAAATGATAAAGTTTGCACCTGGTTTAGAAGCGGATAGTGTTTAGTAATTTCACACTATTTTTCATTCATATATTGGGAAAACTTTGCGGGCGGCGGATTGCGATTTGGAGGTCGGTGTTTCAAATCTGGATGCGGTTCTTTCTTTTTGCGTTTTTATTTTTGTCACTTTTATATTTAAGGGGATTTTTTCTAATTACTTGGATACTTTTTCGACATAAAAGTATAATTAATTTTTTTTTTTTGCGGTTTTAGATACTTTTGTATTTGTTGATTTTAAGGTTGTTCTATTATTAATAAGTGTTATTTCTTTCTTGCGGTCTTGTAATATAACATATTTATTTAAGGCTTATATCGGTAAATAAGCATTGTTAATTTTATTAGTTTTACAATATTTTATTTTAAATAAGCGGATACAATAAAAGGAGAATAATCCTTTTATGTGGTTATTAGTTTGGTAAATCACATAGTTTCCATTTGTTTAGTTATTTATTTTGTATATACTTGTAGATTTATAAGATAGGAAATCTATAAGTACCTATATATTTTTGTTATTTTAAATTATTGTAGGATAAATCTAATTGTTTGAATATTCAAGTCGTTATACTTTTTGAAGTTATTTTCTGTTTGTTATTGTTTATATTTTACGATTAACTTATAATTAAAATAAATATTTTCTTAAAAATGGCTGCGGTTAAAAGAATACAAATGAAGTACGATATGGTAGTTCAGAATATCGATCTTATATACGATCTTGTGCGGACAGACCAACTAACAGTAGAACAAAAGAATGAGTTTCGAGTTAGATATACCGATTTAGACACTCATTACCAAGAATTTGTTTCTATGCATTTTGAAATGCAACTTAAGGCGGATGACTCGGATTTAGATAAACTTAAAGCCGTATACGAAACTTATAACAAAAGGTATTACTTTATTAAGAGACGTCATCTCGAGTTGTTTAGTGAAACAAAACATGATTGCGGTAGTGATAATCAAAATACTGATTCCACTGCTAAGTTTAAGGCAATTCTTCCTCGGTTGACACTCCCTACGTTTTCTGGAAAGTTAGAGGAGTTTAATTCCTTTATAGAACTTTTCCATTCATTAGTCGGTCAAGATTTAACTTTATCGAATACGGAAAAATTATATTATTTGTCAGGTTCATTAGTAGGGGAGCCCAAAACGTTAATTCAACACCTATCTGTTACTGGTGATAATTATTCGATCGCAATTGACTTGCTTAAAGCGCGGTATAGTAACAAGCGGTTACTGGCGGATAAGTTGTTGCACAATTTATTGAGTGCGCCACCAGTAAATTCTAGGAATTTAAGTGGTCTTAAATTATTTGTAAATACTTTATTAGAAAATACAAAGGCGTTAGAAAAGATGAATTTTCCAGTAGATTCGTGGTCATATATTTTATATTATATTAATTTTCAAAAATTGGATAACAACTTAAAAAAAGATTTTGAAAACAAGATTGAGGAAAAGGAACTACCTACTTTTTCGGATTTATTAAAATTTTTGGAATGTGAAATACGAAAGTTGGAGTCCAGTGCGGTTCCTGACTCCAACACTTCTATGCGGCGTAGAATGCCAGCTCCAGCAGCGGTACGAGCTGCCCATGCGGTAATACAAAATCATTCTACCACATCTTGTAAATATTGCGGGACAGCGGGTCACTTCATTGTCAAGTGCGAGAAATTTTTGGGTTTAACGCCTACTATTAGAAAGCGTCACGTGATATCGAATAATTTATGCTTTCGATGTCTTAATAGTCACAATATTGCACAATGTCAATATAATAGAAATTGTTACAAATGCAACTCGCCAAAGCATCATTCATTATTACATTTTGACCTCCCTGCGGGGGCGCGGGAGCGGCAACAGCGATCACCATCCAATCACATCATGAGTAACACGAATGCTCCGGACCATGTACCTCAGGTGACGGTCCCTGCGGCCACGATTCAATCGACGAGTACAAGTGTTAATAACGTGTTTGGAGGAATGTCATCGCAAGCAATACCCTGTGGGACCTACCAACATACAGTTTTGCTAGCAACTGCTATGGTTCGGGTATTAGATTCACACGGATATTATCTAGAGGCACGTGCTCTGCTTGATGGCGGCAGTCAGAGTACGTTTATTTCTGAAAATTGTGCTAATAAGTTAGGATTAAAGCGGTTTAAATCTAACGTAGTAACAGTCACGGGGCTAAGCGATATTCCTGTAAGCGGTTGTAAAGGGGTTGTTAACTTGACTATTATACCCAAGTATGCGGATTTACCTGTTCTCTTTACAACGGCTACAGTTTTGAATAAAATCACTCGTAATTTGCCAGGATTCTCCTTATCACCTCGATTAGAGGATAATTATAGAGGATTAGTTCTTGCGGATGAACAATTTTTTATAAGTCGAGAAATTGATATTTTGATTGGTGCGGATCTTATTGGGGACATTTATTTAGGCGGCGGTACTATCAAGGTACACGACCACTTACCTCGTGCGATGAATACGGTGTTCGGGCATGTGTTGACTGGTCCTGTCACATTTATGGCTACAGATCCATGTCCTCGGGCTACTCATTCTTCTCATACATTTTATTCTAACATTTCTACGGATGATATTTTGAAACAATTTTGGGAAATTGAAGACCTTCCTCACGCGGTTAAAAACCCTATGGACATGGAGTGCGAGTCTATTTTTGTAAGCACTCATCAGCGGGATAAGAGCGGTAGGTATGTTGTACATTTGCCTTTTTTATCCAACAAACCTTCGCTTGGAGATTCAGTCCCATTAGCTAAGAAGCGGTTCTTGGCAATGGAAAAACGGCTTCAGCGTAATGACTCGTTGCGTAAAAAATATGTAGATTTCATGAGAGACTATGCGGAAAACGGACATATGTCACTCTGCGTCGGTAAACCAGAAGACTATGTTTCCGGTTGTTTTTATATTATATGCCACCACGGAATTTTTAAAGTAGGTTCGGAAAATATAAGGGTCGTATTTGATGCTAGTGGTAGCACTAGTAACGGAGTTAGTCTTAATGATTGTTTGCATGCGGGGCCCAAGCTTCAGCGCGACATAATGGAGATTATTTGTAGATTTAGATTACATAAATATGTATTTACAACGGACATCCGAATGATGTTCCGTCAAATTTTGATTAACCCAAAAGATCGGCCATATCAACTCATCTTCTGGAGAGAGTCCCCAGATATGCCTCTTCAACTTTATCAATTGAATACCGTCACTTACGGGATGAAGTCGAGTCCCTATCTCGCGATACGGACCTTAAGACAGTTGGCTGAGGACGAAGAATCACGGTTTCCGGCGGCGGCGCGTCTTCTTCGTACTTCCGTGTACATGGATGACATTTTGGGTGGTGCGGATACGCTAGAAGAAGCACAAAATCTTAAGCGGGATCTGACCGGTTTATTAAAATTGGGCGGATTTGATCTCAGTAAATGGACTTCTAACACCGCGGAGTTATTGAGAAACATATCTGAGGAAGATTTAGAAAAACCTCGTATCTTTGTAGATAATGCGGACGGGCCTAGCTTCATTAAAATATTAGGCATCCAATGGGATCCCAGTAATGATAGTTTTTCTTATCATACCAAGCTGAATGATAATGTAATATGTACAAAGCGTTTCATCTTGTCGACGGTAGCTCGAACTTTTGACCCATTGGGCTGGATTTCTCCAATCATTTTACAAGGTAAGATTCTGATGCAACGGCTTTGGCTATTAAAGTTGTCATGGGATGACAAACCACCTGCGGATATTGTTGCGGATTGGCAAGGCATTTTAAAGGATTTGCCTGTAATTGAAAGTTTTAATCTGAAGCGGTTTGCCCTAGGAGATTCTAAGATTTGCTCTATTCATGGATTTGCTGATGCGTCTGAACTCGGCTATGGCGCAGCTGTTTATTTGAGAGCGGTCAATAACTGTGGTGAGGTTACTGTAACTTTAATGATGGCTAAGTCAAGAGTTTCACCAGTAAAGTCCAAACTTACCATTCCCAAACTAGAGCTTTGTGGCGCGACATTATTGGTACGGCTTACCAAATACGTCGTGGACTCTATTCAGAATGAGGTGGATATTGAAGATATTGTTTGTTGGTCAGACAGCACTATCGTACTTTCATGGCTGCGGATCTCACCTCATCTTTTGCAGACCTTTGAAGGAAATAGAGTGTCACAGATTGTCAATAGCGGTGTAGATATAAAGTGGCGGCACTTACCATCGGAAATGAACCCTGCAGACGTTGCAAGTCGTGGTTGTCGCGCGTCGGAATTGCTCGAACACACATTGTGGTGGGGTCCGTCTTGGCTTAAAGGTCAGGCTGATACCTGGCCTCAGAATATAATGAAAAAGGCAGAAGGCGATTTGCCTGGTCTTCGCAAGACGATGGTAAAAGTTCATATGGTACAGACGGAAGCGAATCCCATCTTTACGCGGTTTAGTTCATTAACTGTACTGCTAGCGGTAGTGGCTTATTGTTTTCGGTTTATTAATAATTCTAAAAATCCAAATCATAAAGTTACCGGTGTTTTGACAGCAAAGGAAAGGCAATTTGCCTTACTGCGGTTAATAAAATTGGTTCAAACTACAGCGTTTGCTAATGATTTAGATTGTATTAATCGAAAGAGTCTTTGTTCTTTAGGGTTGCGGCGGCTTATGCCTTTCGTTAGTGAGGATGGTCTATTACGCGTAGGAGGAAGATTGAATTATTCCGATTTGTCTTTTAATAGGAAACATCCTCTTCTTCTGCCAAAAGATCATCCATTAACGGTTTTAATAATTGATCATTATCACAAAATGCATTGCCATATAGGTTCAACGGCATTGCAGGCTATTTTACAAAGTCAATTTTGGATTATTTCGGCACGTCAAGTTATACGTAGCCGAATTTTTAAATGTATTTCATGTTTTCGGACAAGGGCTAAACCCGCGGAACCCTTGATGTCTTCGTTACCTACCGATAGAGTGATTGCTACGGGAGTTTTTCATACTGTGCAAACGGATTTTGCCGGACCCTTTATTATAAAGCATTCACGTTTGCGAAATGCAAAAACTTTGAAGGCGTATCTGTGCGTTTTCATTTGTTCAGCTACTAAGTGCATTCATCTTGAATGTGTTACGGACTTATCTACTGATAGTTTTCTGGCAGCTTTGACCAGGTTTACATCTCGACGAGGTCTCCCGAGTGTAATTCGGTCGGATAATGGCACCAATTATGTAGGCACAAACCGACATTTGGATGAAGTACAGCGGTATTTAGCTTCTCGGGAAGTACAAGCGGAGCTTAGTGGTACTGCTGCTAAACAAAATATTAATTGGCGTTTTAATGCGCCAGCAGCGCCACATTTTGGAGGTCTTTTTGAAGCTACGGTAAAGGCAGCCAAAACGTTATTACGGAGGGTCATCGGTGACCAGGTATTAACTTTTGAGGAGCTAGTAACGGTATTTACTAGAGTAGAAGCGGTTCTTAATTGCCGGCCCTTGTGTCCTTGGACACAAGATCCTCAAGATTTTGAAGTCTTAACACCGGCACATTTTTTAATCGGTCGATCTTTGTTATCAGTGCCCGAATATAATTTTGAGGATATTCCTAACTCGCGGTTAAATCGGTATAATCTTATTCAGGCACTGTCACAGCGTTTCTGGAGAAAGTGGAGTGAGCGGTACCTCCATACTCTTCAAATGCGGAATAAATGGATGTCTCCTACAGACCCTCCCAAGGTGGACGATTTAGTTCTAATTAAAGATGAAAATTTACCACCATTAAAGTGGAGATTAGGCAGGATTTTAGAGCTGTTGCCTGGTAAAGACAGTGTAGTACGAGTTGTGAAACTTAAGACTGCAACTGGCACTATAACGCGTCCAGTTGTCAAGATTTGCAGACTTCCCTCTAATTAGTTGCAACCTTGTTATTTATTATGTATTAGTTTAGCTTTCTTAATTTATTAGTATTATTTTTGTTGCGGTTTCATAAGTGGGTTCTGTATAAGTGCGGTCTATACAGTTTCCAATATTTATTTATTTTAAGCGGTTTTGTTTGATAAAGGCATTCAGCCTTTCTCGGGCGGGGGGATGTTTAATTTATCTGCAATATTTTTACTTCGCGGCACCACACTTTCACAATTCTACAACACACACACACACACACACACATATAAATATATATTGTCCCTGTAAATTAGTCATTACGGGGATATATGGAAACGCCTGCCCTCTGGTGTGAGTGCCGTGCAACAACGCCTGTGTGTCAACTTTTTTACGCGGGAACAACCATCGACCTCCACGGCAGTGATTAAAAATATTAATAATCTTCGGTTATTTGGGGTGAGTTTAGGTTATTATTTGTTATTATTATTGTTTTTATATGCATACACATAAATCGAGGAAAAAATAGACACCGATAACACGAATTACGGGAGCCCTGAACCAGCACCTAAGTGTGAGATGAAGTAGGTGATGAAAGTCAATATTCCACCGAAATTCCTCTATATAACAGCGACAATATCACAACGAAAGCAATTGTTAAATGCGACAATATCACAACGAAGCCAATTGTTAAATGCGACAATATCACAACGAATCCATTGGTTAAATGACCAATAACAATACTTTTGAAAACTACAGAAACATTGTCAATAACAAAGTTCACGTGTTAACAAAGAGAATGGCTTAGTTTAAACAAAATTTATATATATATATATATATATATATATATATATATATATATATATATATATATATATATATATAATCTTTTTTGCAGTATAAATTTCTTTAACAGTTGGCGTTAATTCTATTTTCTGTTACTCAGGAATAGCAGAAGTGCCGGAGGCCGAGATATCCAACGACTTGGGAGGTGCCATGCCCACTATTGGTGAGTTCCTGGGGGGAGGGGAATACGTACTCGACTATGATCCCTGGTGGGTTGGTCAGAGCCATCTGTCGACTGTTACCGTTGTAGTGGTCGTAACACTTGTGTTTCTACCGTGAAACAGTTGTGTTTGCATGGCTGTGTTTCGGTTTGAAGGGTGGGATATAGCAGTGAATTTACAGGGTACAGAGGAATAACACCTGAGTCCTCAGGAATGGCGACGCGAGGGAGGTATCATGGTCGAAACAGTATACCCTGTTATGTCCACGGTACTGCTCATGTCTATAGGCGACGGTTACCACTTTCCATCAGGTGGGCCGTCAGCTTGTTTGCCATTCTAAATTGCCATTCATATTTGTAAATTGAATGATATGTTTTTCTTTTATACTATAAGATATTTGACAGGTTTTAAAACTTGGGTTTTTTTTTTTTCCACAAATAAAACTAAATTACTGTATTGATTTTGTTAAAACTGCCAAATTTTGGTTTATAAATAACGGAGTTATGAGGTAACAATTATATAAAAATATGCAAGTGAATCAAGAACCTCCCCTTTTTTAAATTGATTAATAATCTCGAACAGTTTTTATCCCTGTATCTAGCTCTAGTATCTAGCTGTGTCTCTATCTCTGTATCTAGCTGTGTCTCTATCTCCGTATCTAGCTGTGTCTCTATCTCTGTATCTAGCTGTGTCTCTATCTCAGTATCTAGCTGTGTCTCTATCTCTGTATCTAGCTGTGTCTCTATCTCTGTATCTAGCTGTGTCTCTATCTCCGTATCTAGCTGTGTCTCTATCTCCGTATCTAGCTGTGTCTCTATCTCTGTATCTAGCTGTGTCTCTATCTCCGTATCTAGCTGTGTCTCTATCTCCGTATCTAGCTGTGTCTCTATCTCTGTATCTAGCTGTGTCTCTATCTCAGTATCTAGCTGTGTCTCTATCTCTGTATCTAGCTGTGTCTCTATCTCTGTATCTAGCTGTGTCTCTATCTCCGTATCTAGCTGTGTCTCTATCTCCGTATCTAGCTGTGTCTCTATCTCTGTATCTAGCTGTGTCTCTATCTCTGTATCTAGCTGTGTCTCTATCTCTGTCTTCAAAAGAAACTCAACCGTAAACCCTGTCAACAGAGGGCGGTGACTTCTACATCACAGCGTATCCGTACGTGTCGGCGGAGCCCGGTGACTTGACCTTCGAGGCGGGTGAGCGGATCGAGGTGATGAGGCGGGACGGCGACTGGTGGACGGGACGAATTGGCAACAGGTATGTAATCATAAGCAGGATACTTTTTCTTCTATTCTAATGTCTGCCATAGACAAAGGCGTGATTGTCATACAGCTACATTAATATTTAAATACGGTTGCCAGCCCGCCTACCAAACGTGGCAACTACTAGCAAAAGCCTCCAATGGGGGGGGGGTCCCATATTTAATAGTGGACAGTAAACGGTTGATATAATAGTTATTCTTTATCTATTTATACATAAAAGTATTTCAAATGCACAACAAATGTTGTTCCATTTAACACACCTAAGAGGGCGCTGTAGTCGTCGCGTTAATGCAAAATCATTCTCTTTATCAGAACCGGTATCTTCCCATCCAACTACGTGACGAAGGATGCCACCAGCGGCACGGTGGCCATCACGCCCATACCGGAGGCGGCCGAGCCTCCGCCCGAAGCCTCCCCCGCCGCCCCCGCAGCCCCCGCCGCCTCCTCAGCTCCTGCAGCCCCTGCAGCCCCCGCACAAGCCACCAGCGAGCCCCCACAGGTGAGAACAGAAACTTTATAGCAAGTTTATGAGGGGGGTAAATTTAATAACACCTAAGTCCTCCTCCTTTATTATGCAACTTAAAACGGTAAACAAGCTGACGGCCCACCTGATGGAAAATGGTAACCGTTGCCTATAGACATGAGCAGTACTGTGGACATAACAGAGTATACTGTTTCGCCCATGATACCCCCCATGCGTTGCCATTCCTGAGGAGTCAGGTGTTATTCCTCTGTACCCAGTAAATTCACGCCATATCTGTAATATGTAAATATTTTTGTTTGGTATCCCGCCACAGCCGGAACAGAAGTCGTCAACGCCGGTGTCGTCGGAGGTGGCGGCCATCACGGAAGGCGGCGCTCGGCCGCCGTCCGCCGCCCGCCGGGACTCGGGCCGGGACTCCGCCACCGGCCGCCGCAAGAACGAGATCGCTCAGGCCATCGCCAACTACACCGCCTCCAGGTATTTTATTCGCAGTCTGGAAGCCGAAAGGTTCAGATGATAGTGAAATAGTCACCCCGCCCGCGCTAACTGTATACGCTGAGGGGAAAGGGATTGTTAGTAATGGAGACTGAGAATCCCATTGCTAGCAATATACCCAACCAGGTCCACCTCCTCGCGGTTCTCCCTGGAAACTATCATGGTTAATTCCTGATGAATTCATCATGATGGGCTAACTGGCCTGTTTACATTCTCATCTATCACCCTTCACTGGTGCTCCGCCAGCGTATCCCGTTAGCGCAGGCGGGGTTACCATACCATTTTCACCTATAAAAAAAAACGGTATACGCTGGCGAGGCACTAGTGAGGGATGATAGGTGAGGATGAAAAGGCAGGTCAGTTAGCCCATCGTGACGAATACACCTGGAATTCAACACGCTGGTTTCCAAGCGAGACCATGTGGAGGTTAACCTTTTTTTACGTCTGCTTTATGCAGACCCATACGCGTTGTGGGAGGTGAATAGGTACTGTGGGAATCCCCCCGTAAGGTGGGGGTGTACCCACCAAAAAACCAGACGATATACCCTCGAGGTGCCATATAACGGAGACATGGGTTCGCTTTCGCACTCACCACATCTCCGACGGCAACGACCCGCCTCCTGATGGTGAATGTGAAAAAGACTCTATTTTCCGCGCTTAGCCTCTCATTTGGGCCGTTGTGCGTATGAGTCGTGGCTAGTACAGCCAACCTAGCTCCGCCCAGAAGCGCAGAAGCTTCCTGGTACCTTCACAGGCCTCACGGAGCGACCTCACCGTTCCGAGGATTTCTAAACGTTGATGAGCCACAGCTTCACATGCCAGGATTACGTGAGCAGCCCTTTGTTCGGCGTCGAAACAGCCTCGACATAGAGGGCTGTCTGTGGCTCCTATTGTCTATAAATGCCCCCTGATAGTAAGAGCAGGTCTCCTTTCTCAAGGTAGGGTGACTGGCATGATCACCCTACCACTCGGGGAGACGCGTCAGTATATTAGCACATCCCCCAGGATCATTGGGGCAATACCGAAAAATTACGAATAATTGTTACGACGTGGCTGCTCTTCCTCAAGCTATGTATGTAAGCAATCTATGAATGCTTATTCATAATGGATAATTAATTTATTGTAACATTTACAGCTCTGAGCAGCTGTCCCTCCAGAAGGGGCAACTGCTGGTGGTACGCAAGAAGGCGGACAGCGGCTGGTGGGAGGGCGAGCTGCAGGCCAAGGGGAGGAACCGGCAGGTCGGATGGTTCCCCGCCAGCTACGTCAAGGTAGGGCATACATACACGCATGTGTTTTCCGCCTGTCTCTCATAGGGGTAGGTAGAAACAATAGAACACCAAATACTCCGTTTAGAATAGAAAAATAAATTTACCAGAGGGAGACTTTGTACAAAAGTCGATTGCTTGGGTACCTCTGTCGCATTCGTGTTTCAACCGTGAAGCAGTTGTGTTTGCATGGCTGTGTTTCGGTTTGAAGGGTGGGATATGGCGTGAATTTACAAGGTACAGAGGAATAACACCTGAGTCCTCAGGAATGGCAACGCATGGGGGGTATCATGGGCGAAACAGTACACTCTGTTATGTCCACGGTACTGCTCATGTCTATAGGCGACGGTTACCACTTTCCATCAGATGGGCCGTCAGCTTGTTTGCCATTCTAAGTTGTATTATATATATATATATATATATATATATATATATATATATATATATATATATATATATATATATATATATATATATATATATATATCTATCTCAGTCATCTCATCTATCTCAGTATACACTGGCGGGACACCAGTCAGGAACAATGGGTGACTACAGTATGGGAGTTTTCAAAAACTTTAATTAAAGTTTCTTAAAGGCTGTTTCTGTAGACGCTGGTGTTACAAGCGTCTACAGACTACGGTACCCTGTCCACATGGGGGGAAAGGGATTGTTAGCAATGGAGTCTGACAGCCCCATTGCTAGCAATAATGCCCTATCAGATCAACCTCTACGTAGTCCCCCCTGGAAACCATCGTGAACAATTCTTGTTGAATTCGTCACGATGGGCTAACTGACCTGCTTCATCCTCACCTATCATCTCTCACTGGTGCCCCGCCGGTGTATACCGATAGCGCGGGTGGGGTTACCATTCCATTATCACCCATTAAAAAAAATCTGTTCACCATCAGACAGGCCGTATCCTTGTTTACCATTGTTTACCAATATAGTAGTATAAAGAAAAACATATAATATTCCGTGTATTTGCTCTGCCAGGTCCTGCAATCGTCTGGCCGCACGTCCGGCCGGACGACGCCGGTGCTGTCCAAGATGGACACGCTGCCCGCTGAGACGGTCATCGACAAGGTGACAGCGTTAGGGAACAATAAAAAAATAAATCTCTCCATCATGTGAAGTTGCGCGCAATATTAATCCCATTTTTTTCTCACTCTTTATTTAGGTCAACAAACGGACACAATAACAATATATATGTGTATATATATGTATATATATGTATATATATGTATATATATGTGTATATATATATATATATATATACTCATTTGTTTACAGGTTATAGCATTATATCCGTACGTAGCACAAAACGCGGACGAGTTGAGCTTCGAGAAGGATGACATCATCGCTGTGACAGACCGCAGCCAGGACCCGGCCTGGTGGCAGGGTGGGTATCTACCGACATTTTTTTTTTTATACAACTTAGAATGTCAAACAAGCTGACGGCCCACCTGATGGAAAGTGGTAACCGTCGAGTATGAAGAATAATTGTACCAAGTTTCTTTGAAATCCGTCGAGTAGTTTTTATTTCTATAACGAACATACAGACAGACAGACAGACAATAATTTTACTGATTGCATTTTTGGCATCAGTATCGCTCACTAATCATCCGCTGATAGTTATTTTGGAAATATATTTCATGTACAGAATTGAGCTCTCTACAGATTTATTATAAGTATAGATTAAAATGATTTTTTTTTACAGGTGAACTACGCGGCATGACCGGCCTATTTCCCAGCAACTATGTCACGAAATTAGTCAATTAGACCAACTTCATATTATATAATCGAAAATATAGTAAAAATAACTACAAAACATGTAACACTATTATAAAAATTAACGCAATGTTGCCACTACTCGAAAGTATTGTTTAATCTGTAGTTACTGATTTGCCGCCAATTGTAATGTCAAAATTTGGCGGGAATATTTTGTATCTTTATTGTTTAATCTGTAGTTACTGATTTGCCGCCAATTTTAATGTCAAAATTTGGCGGGAACACTTTGTATCTTATGTTTTTAAAGATAAATGAGATATCTTTAACGTGTCACACAGCTATAGTCTGTTTTTATTAGAACTTGACGTAAAGGTAAATAAAATATTGAAACTTTTGGATTTGTCCACGTTTAATTTGTACTACTGTTGAACATCTTACGGTCGGAGCGTATATACATTTATTTTTGTTCTAAACAGAGTCTTAACTTTTCTCTTCAAATCATCTCATAAATATGTTAATATTGGTCTATATAAGGCTATAAGGATCTTTCCCCATAAGATATAAACAGTTACCATGCATTTTTTTCTATACATATATCGATGGTAGCATTAAATTATACAGATAGAGCATCGAGCCTCAAAAACGGATCAACTTTTTGTCAGCTAATTGTCAAATTAGCTGACTCGTTTATCAGTGTTCTATATACTTACGCACACAATGTATCTTGACGTTATATTTAATAAATAAAATGAGTGTTTACACATTAAAAAGATACAGAAATTATAAGACAAAATAAATTTAGAAGTTATAAAGGAATCACTCGTAACTATTTATCACGCAAAATTGTATGTAAAAGTTGAGCCGTTTTTCTCGGAGCATTTGTACGGAGACACTTTTATCAAATTAGCTATCTATTGTCCACGGCTGAACACAAGCCTCCCCCAAAGTAAGGGCTTTGTTAACAGTTGCCACGCAGAGAGAGAGAGATACCTAATAAACCTGCCTAATAGTAAGCGGCACTAAAACCCTTGAATGCTTGAAAATCTCGATTCACAATACATAGTAATTTCATTATAATTTGCTCATATATTATTATTGTTATTATAAAAATATTAGCTTTAATTATCATTCCGTATAACGCCTATTAATTTTAAGTACAAGTATTGCCAGTTATCCTTATAGTGTTGCCATTGTTAATATTTTTAAAAATTCAATCATTATTCATATGTAGATGTTTTAAATAAATGTTTAGAGGCTTTAATCTTGTTTTATTTCGTTTAATTTTTTTTTTTAATAATTATAAAATTTCGTAAGCATTTTTCTTTATCTACCGCCCAGTTCGAAATGAATTTTCAGCTGAGGAAAATGGACAAGGAAAGTAGTAACCGTCATCTATATGTGAATGTGAAAAAGACTCTATTTTCCGCGCTTAGCCTCTCATTTGGGCCGTTGTGCGTATGAGTCGTGACTAGTACAGCCAACCTAGCTCCGCCCAGAAGCGCAGAAGCTTCCTGGGTTCTTCAAAGGCCTCACGGAGCGACCTCACCGTTCCGAGAATTTCTAAACGTTGATGGGCCATAGCCTCACATGCCAGGATTACGTGAGCAGCCGTTTGTTCGGCATCAAAACAGCCTCGACATAGAGGGCTGTCTGTGGCTCCTTTGTGTATAAATGTTTGTTTAATGAACAATGGCCCGTTATTGTCCCTATCATTATTTTGAGGTTTTTCCTATATAGATGTAATAAACGTTTTGATAGTCGTTAATTGAACGTACCGTCCTGTATAAACGTGTACAGGCCCTCTAGACAGGTGGTTAGCGAATCTATTGATAGAATCGTCGTCGCTAGTAAAACCATGAGATAGAATGAGAGAGCAGCGTCTGACGTCTCATTCTGATTCGTGAAAAATAAACTTAACTATGTAAAATACTGTAAAATGGGAGCACTATAATCCCATTTAAATTCGTTATTAAAATTACCCAATAATTAGATTTTATTAATTTTTACTTTAATATAAGTTTTTTTTTTTTATACAACTTAGAATGGCAAACAAGCTGACGGCCCACCTGATGGAAAGTGGTAACCGTCGCCTATAGACGTGAGCAGTACCATGGACATAACAGGGTATACTGTTTCACCCATGATACCCCCCATGCGTTGCCATTCCTGAGGACTTAGGTGTTATTCCTCTGTACCCAGTAAATTCACGCCATATCCCACCCTTCAAACCGAAACACAGCCATGCAATACACAACTGCATCACGAAGAAACACGAATGGGACAGAGGTACCCAAGCAATCGACTTTTGTGCAAAATCTCCCTGTGGTAAAAATTGTTTGTAATGAAGACTGAGAATCCCATTGCTAGCAATATACCCAACCAGATCGACCTCCTCGCGGTTCTCCCTGGAAACTATCATGGTTAATTCCCGATGAATTCATCATGATGTGCTAACTGACCTGTTTTCATTCTCATCTATCGCCCTTCACTGGTGCTCCACCAGCGTATCCCGTTAGCGCAGGCGGGGTTACCATACCATTTTCACCTATAACTGGAGGATTTACACAGGAAGGAATAATAAAAAAAAAAACTAAATAAAAAGAAATAAATATAATTTAAATATTAAAAATACATAAAAATTGAAAATGAAACAAACATTATCATTTTGCAGTTTTTTTTTATTTTTTTTTTTTAATTACTTAATACAACATTATATTATAAATAAGTCTTTTACTACATACAAAAACTCCCAATTTTGCAAGTTGGCACTTATTTCTATGATACAGTGTTCATGCATAATGGATAGACAGCCTCATTTCACTGGTATCCACGTATGGATCCCAATAATAATATTTCTTTCTTACAAAAGCAAATTCTAAACCGATTCTCACACTTCTTTTTAAAGCCAACACAGTTTACTCCCGTTCTTGTTAGCTGTGTGATCGAGGCTGCCGTTTCTTTAGGAGCAAAAACTGCTGATTGCGGAGCAAAAACCGTCTCGCTCCGCAATGTTTACAATGTCGGTGCGTTCACGACCGAAGTCGACTTTTATTAGTGAAGTGAAATTGTTTTACTTGAATCACAAGAGAAGAGCCGCGGTATATTGTTAGTATATAAAAAATGGAGGGGAAAAAATCGGGCTCTACATTATGGAAATTTAAAAAGTCGCTTCGAATTAAATAAATAAATTTTAATAAAAATAAAATTATATTTTAAAGAAGCATTTTTCTTTCCATACGTTTTCTTAAAAAAAAAAACTTTCTATTTTTAATAATGAGTGTTTTAAAATGTAAATTGAATATTTTATTATTATTAATATTTCATTTTTATAAATTCAAATTTTATGTCAGAATAAAGTTAAAGTACAGTAGAACTTCGATTATCCGAACACAGGTTATCCAGATATTCGATTATCCGGACTTATTCTTCATTCATGCTCTAATTACAGATTTAGAAATATTGCGTAAATTGGTATTCTGTAATCCATAAATTTTACATTATGTAATTTTTTTTATATCGTATTGTCTCTAAATGACGTGTATACAAATTTACTACATAATAAAAAAAAATATTAAAATGTACTTATTGCTTGACTTCACTTTAAAATCGATTATCCGGATTTTCAATTATACGGAATATCCCGGTTTTATTTGATTCGATTAATCGAAATTCTACTGCAGTACTATTAATTTATCCACAATGGGAACGGCAAAGGAACTAAACCATACCGTCTCATCACCCGGAATAAAATGTAATTCGTGCTCAAGGTCATAGACAATATGATAAGTGTTGCCAACCCCAAAATTAGGAGTTGCCAAAACAAAAATTAAATGTCACAAGTTTATAATAATTTCGTCTGATTATTTTATATTACATAACAAATAAAATTATATTTAAAAAAAAAATGGGGCATTTGTCTGCGTCTTGGTAGAGATTTTATGAGAATTAACAATAAAATCGATACAAATAGAATCCCGACTAATAATGTAAAGACGAAAGTGGGTTTATTTTATGGGCCACCTCTAGTCGCCATATCGACTTATCCCATCGCGTTTAAATATGGTATCCATGGTACTTTATGGGATCGAGAAGAATTCTGGCTAGTTTTTGTGCCGGTCAGTGAACACATCTTGGCGGACGAAGTCGCGGTTAAAAGCTAGTATGCTATATAGTTTATAAGCGAGATTTTTTTTGAAATTTTAAAATGAGAAGATCACCATATTTTATATTTAATACTACCTTTCGCCCGCGACTTCGTACGCTGTGGATTTTGGAATTTACGCTATTTAAAGAACCTCTCAACAATACTAGATCCAACGGATTCGGTTGTACGTTAATATATGAGCCAGTCAGTCATATATTATTAATAATAGGATAGGATAGGAAGGACTATACTCGGAGTTTCACTACGTGATAGAGTCTGGAACGTGGAAATCCACTGAAGTATTAAAGTGACCAGCATAGTTTGGAGAATCTGCAAGCTCAAGTGGCAATGGACCGATCATATGGCTTAAGCAACCAATAACTGATGGGGGAGAACGGTTCTTGAATAGCGACCCCGAGCAGGCAAAGGTCGTGTGGGCAACTGCTAGGTTAAGTGAGGATCTCGAAAGTGCTGCAGGGATTTGTTGGATGCACGTGGCTCAGGATTTAACTTTATGGTAAAACATAAGGGAAACTTATGTTAAACATTGTACAATGAATTAACTGTAATAATGCAATGATGTCGGCGGTTACATAATAAAATAAAAAATGGCGGCCGCGAACTGTCAAACAGTTACGAACATTACACGTTCCAAATTCAAATCCAGTTTACGTTTTAAACGCAAAACTTTTTAAAGGCAGTCAAACACCCTATTTTGTGTACAGGAAATTTCGAGACATGATTCATTTGGATGAATGGGTATTAAAAAAAAAACAATATGCTCCATGTGTGGGAGGCTGCCAGCTATCACTGGTATGTCACAGCATCCCTGTGCCCAACGGGTTAGACGGTGGATCCCGACATAACTGCGGTGACGCTGGAAAAAAATTTATTAAGAAATATAATTAACATTTTTTTTATACAACTTAGAATGGCAAACAAGCTGACGGCCCACCCGATGGAAAGCGGTTACCGTCGCCTATAGACATGAGCAGTACCATGGACATAACAGTGTATACTGTTTCGCCCATGATACCTCCCATGCGTTGCCATTCCTGAGGATTCAGATGTTATTCCTCTGTACCCTGTAAATTCACGCCATATCGCACCCTTCAAACCGAAACACAGCCATGCAAACACAACTGCTTCACGGTTGAAACACGAATGGGACAGAGGTACTCGAGCAATCGACTTTTGTACAAAGTCTCAATCTGGTGGCTTATGGCAGATGGCTTAGGGACATTCCTTATGGCAGTTTATGAGAGACCTATGTTCAGTAATGAACAGAATATGGCAGATATGGTGATGGTGATGAAAATGATGACCTCCCACGTAAAAACACCGCCCAGTTTACAATTTTATAAGACAATGTGTGAATACTGACTGGTGCTGCGAGGTGGCAGCGTGCTCTCGCTGATCACGCCAGTGCTTCTCCACGAACTTCTTGATATAGTTGTACGGTTTCGAATCCAAATCACCTATTACATTCTCTACCTGCAAATAAAAATGAGAAAGGCTCTTGAGTGGCGACCCCGTACGGGCGAGCGCAGTGTGGGACGACCCCACACTGGAAAAGAAGGTATTGTTAGTAATGTGGACTACCAGTCCCATTAGTAGCAATATGGCCTCTGGAAACCATCATGTTGAAGTCTAGGTGTATTCGTCACGATGGGCTAACTGACCTGCTTCATCCTCACCTATCATCCTTCACTGGTGCCCCGCCAAGCGCTATCAGTACATACTAGGAAAAAATATTTTTATAGATATACTAGTAACCTGCCCCGACTTTGCTTGGGTTCTTTGCCGAAAATATAATATAGCCTATGTTACTATGATATATAAATTTAAAGTTTATATAATGACCATGGCACTGGTCATGTCTATAGGCGACGGTTACCACTTTCCATCAGGTGGGCCGTCAGCTTGTTTGCCATTCTAAGTTGCATAAAAAAAAAACTGAACAAAATATAACAATACCTTGTAGGGAGGTGTAATAGTGACCTCATTGTAGACCCGGATGTTCTGGCCAACCCAGGTCACATCATCAATCAGCCGCGAGATGGCCAGGAACAGCCTCTGACCCTCGGGGTCCAGGCATGCAGAGAGAGCTGTCACCTGTGAACATATCACTTGTTTATTATAGTAATATTTATGTAATGTAGTATGTATTTTTTTTTATAGACATGAGCAGTACCATGGACATAACAGAGTATACTGTTTCGCCCATGATACCCCCATGCGTTGCCATTCCTGAGGACTCAGGTGTTATTCCTCTGTACCCTGTAAATTCACGCCATATCCCACCCTCCAAACCGAAACACAGCCATGCAAACACAACTGCTTCACGGTTGAAACACGAATGGGACAGAGGTACCCAAGCAAACGACTTTTGTACAAAGTCTCCCTGTGAACATATCAGTTGTTTATTATAGTAATATTTATGTAATGTATTTAAATTAACGGAGAAACCACTTTGAAAACTGTTCAGGTTCAAAGGGGATATGGTGTAAAACTATACAGCAAGTGCCTTCATTAATACCCTGGTTTCAAACAAGTCTTTCAAAACCGTATTTAGTGACAGCGTTCAGGATGCGATCTGGTCATGTTCCACTCAACAAATTTTATCATCTTATAGGAATGAAACAATCACCAAATTGTATGTACTGTGACAGAGTGGAAGACCTTCTACATTTGCTGGTGGAATGTGGCCAGAAATGTAACCTGAAACAGCAGATTCTGGGCGATATGCCATTATATAACGGTGATGTCAATTTAATACTGGGCCAACCTGGCAGTCGCAATGCAAGACGGCTATATCTGTGGGTAAAGGTGTCCCTGACGGACTGACAAAGTGACTTTTAGACAATCCCTATGAGGCTGGCATAGTCACTCCGGTGTACTGAAGCTTCAACAAAAATTTGATTAAAAAAAAATTTATGTATATATATATATATTTATTTATTTAATATATTATCATTAGGTTATTTATATGTTTATATTATATGTATATACCAAGTATTATTATATATTTCCTTATTTCAATAATGCACCGCCTACGTATTTCTCTGTTCGCCCAATGCTCAACTGGTTTGGGGGGAAAGGGATTGTTAGCAATGGAGTTTGACAGCCCCATTGCTAGCAATATGCCCTATTAGGTCGACCTCCACGTGGTTCCTCCTGGAAACCATCGTGAACAATTCTTGTTGAATTCGTCACGATGTGCTAACTGACCTACTTCATCCTCACCTATCATCCTTCACTGGTGCCCTGCCTGTGTATACCAATAGCGCGGCCGGGGTTACCATTCCATTAAAAAAAAAAATGCTCAACTGGTAGAGAACACCATCCCGTGTTAAGTCTACCATATATGTACATAGTTTCACTGTGCAATGTCACAATGTTTAAATAAATACATAAAAAATCAAGATCAAGGCATTACTGAGTATGGATTTATGACATTTTATGTAGTAAACTTTGTAACCCAAAATTGTTGGGAGGAAAGGGATTGTCAGTAATGACTGAGAATCCCATTGCTAGCAATATACCCAATCAGGTCGACTTCCACGCGGTTCCCCCTGGAAACTATCATGGTTAATTCCTGATGAATTCATCATGATGGGCTAACTGGCCTGTTTTCATTCTCATCTATCACCCTTCACTGGTGCTCTGCCAGCGTATCCCGTTATCGCAGGCGGGGTTACCATTCCATTTTCATCCACATAAAAAAAGGGTTTTCGTAAAATTACTCTAAGAAATTAACCATGATAGTTTCCAGGGAGAACTGCGTGGAGGTCGACCTGGTTGGGTATATTGCTAGCAACGGGATTTTTAGTCTCCATTACTAACAATCCGTTTCCGAATCCGAAAACCCTTTAACCATGGCTTTTTGATTTTCATTTAAGATTATTTATTATCCTGTCGAGAATCACTTTTGCAATGACCTTATATGCATTTGGGATGAGAGATACGGGTTTGTTATTTCCAATATTTTTTTTTACTTTTCTTGTAAATTTGAAGTATTAATTGTGAAATTTGAAATTTTTCCAGAATAGAGTATCTCCTTGAAGGCATTTGTTAATATGGGACTTAATTCCTCTATTGTCCTATGTATAAGCTCATTCGAAATTCAATTTGGACCAGGTGATTTTTCTATTTTTTGGCTTTTTATAGCTTTTTCCACTTCCAGCTGTAATATTTCTGGTATGACATCAATATCTTCTGTCATAATTCTCTGTTTGGATCTTTTACCAGGTGAAATCTTTTTTTTAAAGGATGATAATGGAATGGTATACTTACGCTATTGATATGGCCTACGCTATTGATATACACTGGCAGGACACCAGTGAGCGATGATAGGTGAGAATCCCGATGGAGTCATAATATAAAAAAAATATTTATAAGCATACATTTATAAGTCTTGTACTAAAATGAAATAGATTGTTATCTGTTTAAAGAAATAACCATTAATTGATGACAATAACAAGTGTTATTATGAACATGTAGTATGAAATAAGCTAAAAATTCATAATCAGTCATAAATGACCACGAGCAGACCAGTACAAGCAGCACCCGTTCACGAGTATGACGGATGCGGCGACTACTGTTACTCCCTACCGCTGTAAACAAGTGTGACTTCTAGAACGCTCAAATGTAAATAAGTGTTGTAATCAACTTTCTTTTAGATTACATCATCAGAAATATGTCTTGTGCATAACAAGAATAATAATTATTAAAAAAAAACGCAATACTCACTAGTCTTTTTTTATTTTCTATAGAGTTCCGTACCCTTGTGTTTAATCTGTTTAAATTGAGCGACTGTGGCGGATCAGGAAGTGTGGTTACCTCTTTCTTGATTTGAACATCACTGACAAGTGATAGATTTACAATATTCACATCGTGCCGTTTAGGGTTGCCGCTAGACGATGGACATTTAAGTATTAACATCTTTGTTTGAGGGTCAAACGCTAAAACCTCGCCTTCGATCTCTTCGTTGTAACATGTCTTCGTAGCCACTATGCTCCCAATAGTGAAACAGTCCGAGACGACAGTGGACATGTTTGTTGGCCGACGATAACTTTAAATGTAATTAGTTTGCATGTGATTGATGAGATGATTTGAATTTGTGAAAGTAAACGTGCGAAAACGTTTTGCAGGTTCAATATACGTCCGCCATTGAATTGAAGTTGAACGAGGAATGACGGACAGTAGACAGTTTTAATTTTTTATTTTTGAGTGACTGTTTGACAGTTCAGTCAGTTAAGTTCATAGACTAAGTATATGACCATCCAAAGGTTGCCTGGAAGAAATCGCTCTTAGCGATAAGGTCACCCATTGTTTTCTCATTGTGATTATTTCTATGTAATTATTTATATTTATAATAAGTTTACTATTGTAATCTTTTGGAGGAAACAATAAAGAGTATCTATCTATCTGTAGCTGTGCCATCTTGGACATTGTCTTTTAAATATAACTCCAGGGACACTGTGACTCCAGGGAGCAATGACTTCCTGTTTTCTGCAACTGCATTGCCAACATTGTTTCATATGACAAATAAATGTAGGTCTTTTGTCCGCAGCGTTGCTTTATTAAGTCAATCATCTTCATCAGCCTTTAACTGTCCACTGCTGAACATAAGCCACCCCCTTGGGAAGGTTTTGCCAGTAGCTGCCACGTTTGGCAGGCGAATCGGCAAACGCAATTATGCTTTGGAGATGTTTTAAGAGGGACACTGCTGCCCATCCCTTGCCGTCCCTTTGTCGTCTCTTACGACACCCACGGGATACATATAGAAAAGCATATAATAAAAATAATAATGTATTTTCTTGTAATAAATAATTGACGAAGTTATGTACATTATACTAAACGTATGTGGGTAACAAACATAAAAATATAACTAATATACCTCCTTTATGAGGTCAGTTAAAAAGAGAGCGCAAGTATTTTTCTATGACAAGATACTTAAACCTATAAATTGAGAATACTACTGATGTACCAGAAAAAGAATTCTCTTTAATACAATAGCAAAATGCAAACCATGCTTATTAAAGGATCCCAGGTGCTACATTAAAAGGAGGAAAAGGAATTGTTAGTAAATATTATGTGTAATCTAATAGCCCCATTTCTAGTAATATGTCAGGTTGACCTCCACGTGATTCCCCTGAAAACTATTGTAGTTTAATTCTTATGGAATTTATAACCATTGACTAACTAACCTACTTTTGTCCTCATCTATTTTATAGTGGAACCCCGCCAGTGTATGCTGATAGCACAAGCAGGGTTACCATTCCATTATCATCGAATAAAAAACCATACTTAATCTATAATACAAATTTTCTTGGATATTTCGCAAAAAAAAAGAATAATTGAAAGAATAACAAGATTACTTCCAAATCAACTTTTCTATGCCAGACGCGTCTGACCATAGACTTGGTATAACGTACTATATACTTTATATGCTAAGTATTTAAGTTAATTTTTAGTATTTAATAATTATTTCAGTTTTTTTTTAAATAAGAATTCATTAATTGTTATTCGTACTTTTTTTTTCTACATATAGCACGGCACAAAGTGCATCCGCCAAAAACAATGTTTGGGAAAGAGTATTTTAGTAAAGAGAGTTTTGGACGACGGAATTTAGGATAAGGATCAGAAAAGTTGAATAATGGATAATATAAGGAAAAGAACAGATTTATTCGTATTTATTAAGAAATTTTTGCAGTTTTTTTGAGAAATTTTTATATAAAGACAGAGAAATTTTAAGAGACCATCTTCTGTTCATATACAGATATTCAACTTTACAATAGCTATGTAAGAAGCAAGTTGGAGTATTGCAATATGGTGTGGTCACCTATGTACAAAATACTTGAGGACAGAATAGAGAGAAACAAATCTCCGCTATAGATTTGTTTGTAGCCTGGTTTATCGTTTTAAAATATCAAGAAATATTAAAAACTTAATACAAAATTAAACATTTTCACCTTGATGAACTGTGCCTACACAGATCTTACCTTGACATGTAATGTCTCCATAAGTTGGTGAATAATCACATTGATTGCCCACACTCTAGCGATAAGACCGCCTTTTGTACCTTTATGTATATATTTTAATCTGTACTTTATGCTTCTGTAATTCACTTCAATTGACCAATTGTCATTATATATTTTTATATTTCTAGTGTAATAAATAAATAAACATCTATTATTGGGGGGAAAGGGATTGTTAGTAATGGAGATTGAGAATCCCATTGCTAGCAGTATACCTAACCAGGTCGACCTCATCGCGGTTCCCCCTGGAAACTATCATGGTTAATTCCTGATGAATTCATCATGATGGGCAAACTGGCTTGTTTTCATTCTCATCTATCACCCTTCACTGGTGCTCCGCCAGCGTATACCGTTACCATAAAAAAAATCTATTATTAAATTCCGTCGTCTGAAACTTCTTTTACAAAAAATTACTTTTCCAAACTTTGTTTCTGGCAGGTTCACTCCAGGCTATGTGTTTCTATGAACATAAAAAAATTACAGGCAAAAGCAATTTCCCTTTAAAACAAAAAAAAAAGGAAAAATTATAATAGGTAAATAAAAAACCCAAATCAATGTCGTAAAAAAGTATATTTCTACAAGCCATATTTTAATTAACATATTTATGTTAAATGTAATGACTGAATAACACAAAAAAAGTCTAGCTTCTAAATCTTATAAAATTTTGTGGAAAAAAAAACCTAAGCATTCTAGAATCGAAGCTAATTTTGAATTAAAACAATAGAAAGTGCCAACATTGCGCACTTAAAAAAAAGTTACTGTAGATCCACAGAGGAACTAGGAAGAGAACATAAGGATCCACTGTAATTTTTTTTAGTAATGCAGCTAGAATTTTTTTCCTTATTCATTCACAGTTAAGTTTAAAACATAAATTCTTCCATAAGCTTACGGACTAGTATATAAAAATATTGATAAGGTAAATCTCTCCTGTCAATCATTAAAAAAAAAATCCTACAGTGTCAATTTCGTTAGACCAACTTCAAATAAACAATTGACAGGAAAAACTGTAATATCATAGAGAAATTGAGAAATAGGAAAATACAAAAGTGGCATGGATCCTAAATATGTAATATTATTTATTTATTATTATTATTATATATATTTTTTTATATGTTTTCCCTATCTATGGTTACAGCCACACTGATACAAAAATATTATTGTTTAATGGAAAATAGTATTATTAAAAAATTATATAAGGTCCAAAATTTGGATCCCTATGTAAAAAACACATGCAAAATAAATGTATGATTATTTTCATACAAAAATAAAAAAAAAGAAAATTACAACACTTACAGTCCTGCATATTTCCATACAGTTTTCTAATCAATTCTTTTATCTTTAAATTATCATTTCAAATGTATGATATTTTGCTTTATTAAAACAAAAAAAAAATAATAACAAAAGTATACTGGCTTGTATGTGTATCTTGCATTTTCTTGCCTCATATCTGTGCATCTCTTTACAGTTTAATCAACTCGTCATATAAAATGTTTCCGATCCGGTGGATCCAATTTGGGATCCAGATTAATTTAAATTAGGATCCCTTGTAATTTACACAATGGCCAATCTTATAACTTCAGCTAATCATGTATTTATTAATTATGACTTACAATTCTTAAAATATATCAGTATTTAATACTAAGACAATAATAGAACGCTATCCATAGATGATAGAAGTATTTTTGCCCGTTGTCTACATTTATCTCAAATTTTAAGGTTCAACCCTTAGATTATATAAATACAACCCCCTTCTTTTCCTATAAGTGTCGTAAGAGGCTTAGGAAACTTATCGGTGGAGGGATAGGCAAAGCAGTAGATTCCCTCCTAAAACATCACTCAAGCTCTAACTACAGTTGTCGATATGCCTGTCAAGTGTGAAAACTATCGACAAATCTCTGCTTGTGGAACAGGCCTATGTTAAGCAATCTATGTTTAAAGGCCGGTACGATGGTGTCTATAAATATAAACTAGGGTATAACCATAAATAGTAGTACAAAGTAAAAATGTATAAAAATTTAGAAACGAGAGTAACTTTTGTACAAAAAAAAATCTTGGCATACTAAACAGATTGCTACTTTTTCACATATATGTGTACGATTACATATTTGTTTCCTAACTAGGAATCGAATGTGCTACCTCCAACGTGCCAAATGCCCAATAAATATGTTATACATATAAATAATCATTACACAATAATATTTCTATTAGCATTCCTAAACAATATGACAATGTGAATATACGTAGGTGGAACGGCCGAGACCGATCAGATTTTCTTGTACATCTCTGAGAAACAAGCTCACGGCCCACCTGATGGTGAGTGGTGACCATTAGCTGTACACGAGTACCTCTGTCCTACCTATACCTGCTCGTGCGTCGTGATCCGGCGCGAAGGGCGAGATATTGCGATAACATTACTGCGTACTGCGACTCGTGATCTTGACTGCTAGAGCTGCAACGGTGTTGCAAGCTTTCATAGGCTGCATGGGTAGTTTATCAGCTTACCATCAGGCGGGCCGTATGATGATTATCACTCTGACTGTACATTTTAATTTTATATAGTTAAAAATAAACTCCGAGATCTTGACGTAAAATTATAGCCAATTTAAGAGTTTTCTTTAGTCCAAAATACAATTTCAATCGTTCTAGAAGATGCTCAGGCCATTCCAACTACGAGCGCTCACTTCCGACTCAGTCTTGGTAGCTGCTCAGTTCAGGATTATGAGTCTGGGCGGCAGCATGCCCTTCCGGCTCAACCACACCCTGAAAGAACAGTAATTAATTTAATTCACTAATATTACAATACTGACCGCGTGGTTTCTATGACGGGACCACGCGGTCACGCTACCAGGAGGGCAAACGATGGCCAGCAGCGTCCCTCTTAAAACATCTCTATAAGTCTAACTGCGGTTGCCAACCCGCCTGCCAAGCGTGGCCACCACTGGCAACCATCAAAAACATCCCTTATGGGGAAGGCTTATGTCCAGCAGTGGACAGTCAATGGCCGACATGAAATAATATTATAAATATGATTGTTCAGATACCGAATCTAAATTTATTTAATTTACTTTAATAACAGATTTAAAAAAAAATTTTACTGTACATATATATTATAAATAGAAGGGAGATATTTTTAGTAACGGAGTCTAGGAGCCCCATTGCTAACAATATACTATACGATACTCTCTGGAAACCATCGCGGTTAATTCCTAGCGGTTATTAATTGCCATAACTTCGTCCTCACCTATCATCCCTCACTGGTGTCCCGCCAGCATATACTCATATACATTTCTATGTATGCAAAAAATAAAACTTAGCCAAAATCTAAGCCAATAAGATATAAGCCAGCCAAAGTTGATTGGTAGAGAATGCTACTAGCGTTAAGTCCGCCCTTTGTACCATATTTTCTTTTGTTTAATAAAGTTATTAAAACAAATAACTTTATTCTATATCTATTGGGAACGGCTTATCCGGAGCCAGAGGACTATAGACATCTTAAACCGCGGGATATCGTTAGGGTAACACATAGGATCTATGAAATGATGGTATAAGGCAGGGGGAAGCACAAGAGATCCCTATGGGTCGACGTGCAACGGCATAGCTGACCCCATATGCGAATATAAACTAAATAAATAATTATCAAGTTACTGTATTAAAAATAGGCTATACCCCTCTCTTATGGAGAGTGTTATCCCCACCAGTGTAACATTAAATATAAGGTAATGGGACATACCCGATGCCAGCTCCCAGCAGCAGGGAAACGAGGTTGGTGACCAGCACGGCGGCCACCGCGCCCCGGCTGAACAGGCACGAGCGCCGCACGGACAGGCAGTGGCTCTGTGGGGACAATTGGCACCAATTTAATATATATACATATATATACACCTACTTTGCATTAGCGAGCGTCAGATGACATATTTTTTTAAAAAAAAAAACTTGATATTAATGTTGCTTTCTGTATGGGAAATAATTATAAAATTGGTTAAATATGTTTACGCCTCCCTCCCCCTTCCAATACGCCTATGGGAAGAATGGTCCCACAAAGGCTGGTCTACCTTTGTCAGCACCCGTGGTGATGGAAGCAGTTGGAGAAACCTTGGCCTAGCGATGAGGTACCATAAGCTATAGCTAACCGACTGACCAGTTTCTTTTTTTTTAATAACACAAGGGGCAAACGGGCATGCGTCTCACCTGATGGTAAGTGACTACCGCCGCCCATGATCATCCACAACATCAGAGGCATTGCAGGTGTGCTGCCGGCCTTTTAAAAGGGAATATACTCTTTTCTTGAAGGTTATGTTGTCGTATCGGTTCGGAAATACTGCTGCTGGAGGTTGACTCCAAAGAGTGGTTGTGCGTGGAAGAAAATGCCTTAGAAAACGCACGGTGGAAGACCGCCACTCGTCCAGATGATTGGGATGGAACTTTAGTTTATGGCGGGTTGTTCATTGATTAGTAAGTTGCTAGACATAACCCACCTGCTGCGGGGGGAAGGAATTGTTAGTAATGGGGAAGTCGAGTATTCTGACACTTCCCTATGGTTGACTGGGAGAGAATGCTTTTAGCATTAAGTCCGCCATGTACACATATTTGTACTAATGAATAAATAAATAAATAAATGGGGAAGTTAGTCTCCATTCCTATAAACATATCTTATCAGGTCGACCTCCACGCGGTTCCTCATGGAAACCATCTTGACTAATTTATCGTTGTATTCGTCACGATGCACTAACTGACCTGGCCCTTTCATTCCAATTTTCAACCCTTCTCTAGCGATGTCAACTCCATTGACGAATTCGCTTGAGCCATTTGTCTTGCCCGCCTTTTCATCCCCTTAACTGGTGCCCCGCCGGTGTATACCGATAGCGCAGGCGGGGTTACCATGCCATTATCATCCATTAAAAAAACCCACCTGCTGCATCGCCGGCACCGTGAGCTGCTGCTCCAGGACCTCGATGGAGGAGGTGGCGGAGGGGGGCCCGCGCGCGCTCGGCGGGTGTTTGAAACGCCAGTCCCTGACATTAAAAAACCAATCATTTATTTGAAATTTCACCAATTTTTTTTTTATAGACATGAGCAGTACCGTGGACATAACAGAGTATACTGTTTCGTCTATGATACCCCCCACGCGTTGCCATTCCTGAGGATTCAGGTGTTAAACAAGCCCGTGTAACACCTCTATAACTCAGCCATGCAAACACAACTGCTTAACGGTAGAAACACGAATGGGACAGAGGTACTCAACCTTACAAGACTTTTGTAGGGGGGAAATGGAGACAAATAGCCCCATTACTAACAATATACCCTGTCAGTTCGACCTCCACGTGGTTACCCCTAGAAACCATCGTGGCTAATTCTAGTTGAATTCGTCAGGATGGGCTAACTGACCTATTTCATCCTCACCTATCATCCCTCACTGTTGCCCCGCCGGTGTATACCAATAGCGCGGGTGGGGATACCATTCCATTATCAACCATTATAAAAAAAAAAATTAAATTTATATCTATATAGCATTTTATTTTACGTGCTTGCTTTACATGAATCACTCAAGCTGTGCACATATTGGGTAGTAACCTAGCTGCATCAAAAATATAACTACCAAAGTTTTTTTTTTTTATAGTTATGTCTAATAAATAAATAAAATAAAATTCGCGCAACAGTCAATTTTAAACTTTCGCGTAGTTTGCACATATTTTAAATACACTATCGGGGACTGAACGCTATAAAAAAACCCGTCGTGACCACGACGTGGCGTGGTGCAATCCACGTGCGAACGTCCGCAATAAAGATGCAGGTATGTAGGTACTGTTTACCTGCAAAGGTGCCTTCATAGCGTCAAGTACCAATTGTGTATTTAAAATAAATGTTTGTGAGACACTGGTGTCGCACTTTCTTTTTTTTATAGATGATAATGGAATGGTAACTCCACCTACGCTATCCGGTATACGCTGGCGGGGCACCAGTGAGTGATGATAGGTGAAGATCAAGTAGGTCAGTCAGCCCATCGTAACGAACTCAACAAGAATTAGCCACGATAATTTCCAGGAGGGGCCACGTGGAGGTTTTTTTTATACAACTTAGAATGGCAAACAAGCTGACGGCCCACCTGATGGAAAATGGTAACCGTCGCCTATACACATGAGCAGTACCATGCACATAACAGAGATAGATAGATATATCGTTTATTTGTTTGTTACTAATCACACACAACATGTACATAAGAATAGATAATACATAAAACAACATAAGGTTTATAAAATTGTGTTATTACGTGTGATCTGCAGCAATACAAAAAGGTCGAAGCTCAGCGTGGACCATCGTTCAAGGAATAAAACACTGATTTTCAGCTTTAACCCATGAGTATACTGTTTATTTCTGTAACTTCAATTACCAAAACCGTTGTTTCATTTAAAAATATAACTTTCATAATACCTGCATACTGTAATCCAATTATCCATAGATCCGTATAGCATATAAAATTTGGGTATATCACATTGTCATAGGCCCTACTGTACTCCTTACGCGGACATATTCGAGTACTCACTTGGGTGGTTGCTGGTCCGGCCGGCTGCTCCACTGCCATACCCAGTCGTTGGAGTCATCCTGGAATGTCAGAAAAATAATCATCAATGATAAAGCAAATCATCTCTTTTATTGATATAAATAAATCGGTAGTATCTGATATTACATTCCCGCGGATGTTATGAGAAGCGATTAAGAGATGGCAAACGATAGGCAGCAGCGTCCCACTTTAAACATCTCCACAGCCTAACTGCTGTTGCCAATACGCATAGCAAGCGTGGCAACTACTGGCAAAATCCCACCCAAGGGGGAGGCTTATATTTAGCAGTTAACAGTGAGAAGCTAACATGATGATTATATATATATACACACACACACACGCACACACACACAAACACACACACACACACACGCACGCACGCACGTATGCACGCACGCACGCATACGCACACGCCAGAGGGAGACTTTGTACAAAAGTCGATTGCTTGGGTAACTCTGTCCTATTTGTGTTTCTACCGTGAAGCAGACATGAGCAGTACCATGGACATAATATACTATTTCGCCCCCATGCGTTGCCATTCCTGAGGACTCAGGTGTTATTCCTCCGTACCCAGTAAATTCACGCCATCACCCACCATTCAAACCGTAACACAGCCATGCAAATACAACTGCTTTACGGTTGAAACACGAATGGGGCAGAGGTAGCCAAGCAATCGACTTTTGTACAAAGTCTCCCTCTGGTATATACTTAGATAAATATAAACACTGCACGTAGAGTTACTACCAACCTTCCAGCAGTTTATGTATACTCCTTTCAACTCGTCCTCGGTAGACGGCTCCAGGTTTGGACTATTTGGTGGAGACTTCGGACTGAAACAAGGAAAAAAATAAATAAATATATAACATTGATCACGAATTTAGCAGGAACTTCGCGTGATGGGCATATATTCTTTCACCGAAATAAGAAGTGGACACCATGGACATAATAGTATAACTGTGTCCATGACACCTCTTATGCATTGCCACTCTTGAGGACTAAGATGTTATGCTGGGGGAGAAAGGATTGCCAGTACGGACTACCAATCTCATTGCCAGCAATATACCCACCCTGCCAAGTCGTCTTCTACGTGGAAACCATCGTGTGAATTTTATCACGATGGGCTAACTGACCTGCATTTTTATCCACACCTATAAACGTTTGAAAAAAAAACATGTTCACATAACAGATTGGAATAAATTAATAAAGTTAACTTTCAAAACACGACGAAACCGGATTCTCGTTTTTATGTAAGCTGTGATCATCAAGTGTTATATAATTAGGCCAGTATTTAATTAACATATGGTTTATTCGAATACCGTTTATTAGCGCTCGCCGCGTTAACTTGTTTTTATTTAATGGGCAGGAATAGAATGGTGACCCCGCCTGCGTTATCGGTATACGCTGACGGGGCACCAGTGAGGAATGTAGATGAGAATGAAAGCAAGGCCTCTAGACAAGTGGAAAGTGAATTCGTCGATGGAATCGACATCGCTAGCGAGTCCAAGAGACAGAATGAGATAGCAACGCGGGGTGACTCATTCAAGCTTGCCACTTGTCTAGAGGGCCTGATCAGAAAGAGAACGTTTGCTTAAAAAACAGACCCCATTGTTTACCATCCTCTGCAGCTGCAGCAAATAGTCGTTCTGACACGCGTCAGTGATGTTCTTCTCTAGAAATCTGTCCAATTCTAGAATAAGGACATACGGGTATGCGACCCCGGCCTCCCGAGCCGCTGCAGCGTCCCAGTCCTTTCCGCAACTGCAGTGCCCCCCTTTCCTTTCCCACATAAGTACCTTATTCTTCTCATTTACCAATTTCCTTTCCGCACCTCCAATGTTCCCGTCCTTTTTTCCTCAATCCTTTTGTCCATACCGTAAGTGGTGGAAACCACCAACAAATGCATTCCCAAAAGAGGGTTGACGTCAGGCAGGCGGCCGGTCGTAAAACTAAGCCAAATCTTTATGTAATATGGATAACAAACATGTTACGTTGACCCCATATAATAATTGGGATAAGGGTAGAATGATTAGTTTAATTAAATAAGGGTTGGCGAGTAATTGGTTTTGGTCGAAGCCACATAGTCGTAATGGGAGTGTAACGCATGCGCTATGCCACTCGTGCAACACGCAGAGCATCTGTCTGATAGATGCATTGTTTTGATTTTAAAATATATAAGGGTCCAACTCTTGTGCTAGTTTGTACTTGTTCTTTTATGCAACTTAATATGGCAATAAAGTTGACAGCCCACCTGATGGAAAGTGGTAACCGTCATCTATAGACATGAGCAGTACCGTGGACATAACAGAGTATACTGTTTCACCCATGATACTCTCCATGCGTTGCCATGCCTGATTACTCAGGTGTTACTCCTCCGTACCCTGTAAATTCACTGCCATATCGCACCCTTCAAACCGAAACACAGCCATGCAAACACAACTGCTTCACGGTAGAAACACAGTAATAATATTTATTTTTGTAACAACATAATTGAATATTGTGTTCCACAAAAGTATTAACTTCAATTGTGACAAAATTAGTTATTTTAATTTAAAAACTAAACGGCTGAATCGATTTTAATAAAATTTCTATTGGAGCAAACTGTAAGTATATTCTTTCAGATAATTATCGGTTTAGAACTGTCGAGGTAACAAACAAAAAAAATAACCGAATTGAGAACTATCTTATTTTTGAAGTCTGTTAAAAATCTACTTTTACCGACAAAAGCAAAACAGTTGCCCGTTCTTCTCGGTTGCAATTGCGTTCTGAAAGGGCGGTAGATTATTTTCCGGACTTTCCGGTTTAGCCGGTCAGATGAGTAACAATCCGGAATTATCCGAACGAGTTACCTGATATTTATTGGACTTTCAGTTTTAACTAACTATTAGTAAGGATAAAAACTGACGCTCTAAACCCGAGATATCCCACCAGACTTTTCCTATGCACCTCACAAAGAAATCCACATACTTATTTTCTTACGCGTCCGGATGTTCCAAATTTGACTGGTCAACTGACCATACAGTCCATTGCTAGTAATATGCCCTATCAGGTCGACTTCCACATGGTTCCTCCTGGAAACCATCATTAACAATTCTCGTTGAATTCGTCATGATGGGCTAACTGACCTGCTTCATGCTCACCTGATGCCCCGCCGGTGTATACCGATAGCGCGGGTGGGGTTACCATTCCATTATCATCCATTAAAAAAAAAACTGACCATAGATTGCTAAACATCCAGACATATGCCTGGAGAAATCCGACCAAATGGTAACCACATTTTGTTTGCACTAGCTTTGTGTGCCTCACCTGCCTTTGACGCTCGAGGCCCGGGAATGTCGCACGGACGAGTCTCGACTCTCCCTTTGGGCCTCGCGGAGCAGTTTTATATATTCGTTTTCGTGTGCGGCCAGCCCTGAGTTCAGTTCAACCCATGATTCTGTAACAAGCAAATATGTGCACATGTTATGTATTGGTCTTTAAAACTAGACACCAAAAACTTTGTTACTGTATCATCATATCAGCCATTCTACGCCGTGTGGTCCCGGCATAGAATAGGCCACCTCTTCTTTTCCCGTGGGTGTCGTAAGAGGCGACAAAGGGAGGGCGAGGGATGGACAGCAGTCTCTCTTAAAACATCTCTAAAGCCTGACTGCGGTTGCCAAATCGCCTGCCAAACGGGGCTACTACTATTAAAACTCCCCTTATGGCGAAGATGGGGAAGACTGGGGTGAATAGGTTGTTAGTAATACGAACTACCAGTCCCATTGCTAGCAATATACCCTGTTAGGTCGACCTCCCCGTGGTCACTACTGAATACCATTGTACTGAGTTCCAGGTGTATTCATCACGATGGATTAAGTGACCTGCCTTTTCATCCTCATCTATCATCCCTCACTGGTGCCACGTCAGCGTATAGCATTAGCTCGAATAGGGTTTTTTTTTAATGGGTGATAATGGAATGGTATTCCATCCGTACTATCGGTATACACCGGCGGGCCACCAGTGAAGGATGATAGGTGAGGATGAAGCAGGTCAGTTAGCCCGAAAAGGCCTCTGAGTCGGGGAACATGCTCTTGTTTCGGCAGGTCTTCTTCAGAGATGTACTGGAAGTTAGGCTCCTAGAGACGGGCTCCCCCTCCTTAGAATGAGGTTGAGCAACGACGTTGGCGTTGTTGCGGAGTAGTAATAAACCGGAACCTCGTGGAGGTCGACCTGATTAGTAATATTGCTAGCAATAGGGCTGTCAAACTCCGTTGCTAACTATCCCTTTCCCCCACTCGCCATTTCAAAGTCATCCTTTAAAAGTATCCCAAGCACTTTCGTGTTAAATTTCAAACTGCATCGTCTCCGCGAAAGTTGGGACTACACCTGTTAAGATATGACGATATCCGCAGAAGAGCCAAAGTTACCAACATATTTCGAAGGAAAAACAAGCTGAAGTGGCAAATGGCTCGAAGAACTGACAACCAGTGGGGAATAAAGGTTAAACAAACGACAAACTTGTAAGTGTATTTAGAAGGAATAAATCAGATGGTGTATTCAGTAATTTACAGTTTCATTTACCAAGCCATCAAAACCACGTGTACCCGCGTTCAAACATTATTTGGGTGATCAATGATACGTATTATACATAAAAAATACCCCTTATTTATTTTTTGTATCAAGTAAACGTTTACCATCACACCTGTGTATAGTATTTAACCTGTGGGTCATCAAATACAATTATGGTAACGATTTAGTCGTGATTGGCACTAAACAATCGCAGCGGACCGGATAATGTTAATTGTGACATTACAATCGCAACCGGCGTCCGGTTGCGAACAATTGCCAACGGCATTATGGACGAGCGTTGCGTGTCACGTATGTATATATATAAATATATATAAATTGTGTTATCTGATAACAGAATAATATGGCAAATAAATTATGTATTATAACTAACAATCCGCCCCGAGTTTACATGGTACATCTAACACCTTTAAACGGTGGGTTAACTGACCTGCCTTTTCATATTTCACCAATCATCCCTCAATGGTGCCCCGCCAGTGTATACCGATAGCACATGATGGGTCTTCATTCCATTATCATCCATTAAAAAGAAAACCTCCGCCTGCGCTAACGGTATACGCTGGAGGGAAAGGGATTGTTAGTAATGGAGACTGAGAATCCCATTGCTAGCAATATACCCAAACAGGTCCACTTCCTCGCGATTTTCCCTGGAAACTATCATAGTTAATTCCTGATGAATTCATCATGATGCTCTAACTAGCCTGTTTTCATTCTTATCTATCACCCTTCACCGGTGCTCCGCCAGCGTATTCCGTTAGCGCAGGCGAGGTTACCATACCATTATCATACATTAAAAAACAAAAAAACATTATACAAGTTATCAATTATACATTATCAATGTATGTTACATAACAAACAGTCAACCTTAAAAAAAATGTACAGCCGACACGTCCTGAAGCAAAAACTTATCACGTTGCGTTGCTTTAAGGTCAAGGTCAGATGGCTAACGCAAATTATGATCATCATCTCTCCGTCTGTCCTCTCCGCCCTTCAGCACGAACTCATACATACACGGCCTAGTTCACATATATGTATACACTAATGGAAAAACATAAGGTATCCAAAAAAAATCATATTTTTAGGTGATTTTCAATAACTTGGAGAAAAATCATCGTAGAGACATTTTAAAAAGAGCAAAATGTAGCTCGAAGTGTCTAGTTTTTGGGTGTAAACTCGAAAAATTTTTCATTTCAATTTTTTTTCAGGTAATGTTGAAAAAACCACTGACAAAAAACTTTGAAAAAATATTTGTAGTCTTTTTACGTTTACGGTCTTTAAAAAAATTTGTTTTGTCATAATCACTATATGGACCAGATAACTTGTTTATTCGGCTTCAAATTCCTTTTTTTTAATCCTCGATACAAATCATTTTTCGCGGAGATATCGGACTTTGAATGAAAAAAGGATCATTTTGTCTTTGATTAACAATCTCTCTGCTACTAATGATCGCACAGAAATTTGAAGATGGGTTTCGGAAACTTGAATAAATTTCAAAGGACGAGCTGTATTATAAAAAAAAAAAAAAAAACCATTTTGACATGTTTTTGAAAAGACAAAAAGAAATAGCGCTTTTGACGGTTTTTGCAAAGTAAAGCGCTAAATCGAAAATATTGAGGGAACCCCTAAGTGTTAAGTCTGCCTTTTACAGTTCAATATACCCACAAAAACCCCACAAAGTTTCAATTTAATCCATTCAGCCGTTTCTTTGTTTTACTCGATCAAATTTTTGAAAAAAATGAAGAATCACATTTTCGTACCAAAAATCTCATTATCTTTAAAAAATGAAAAAAAAATTTGTCGGCTTTTTGCACATGTTCATTGCAAACAGTGTTTAAAAAATATAAATTTAATTAGAAAAATCAATTAATAATTTTCACGTTAGTGTGTTTCACTTAAACTGTTTAACAGTCATTGTATATATTTTTCGATTCTGATGCAATAAAGAGTTAAATAAATAAATGTATAAAATATTAAAAATGGCCGCAGACATGAATGGAAGAGAGAAGCGTTACGCCGATCCCAAAACATATGTGAGTCAAGGTGGACGTTTGTTTACTTTTACCATCAGCAGAGCATATGGCGTGAATTTACTGGGTACAGTGGAATAACACCTGAGTCCTCAGGAATGGCAACGCATGGGGGGTATCATGAGCGTAGCAGTATATTTTGTTATGTCCGTGGTACTGCTCATGTCTATATGCGACGGTTACCACTTTCCATCAAGTGGGCCGTCAACTTATTTGCCATTCTAAGTAGCATAAAAAAAGTTGAGTTCAACTTATATGTATAATAGTTATTCTATGTTTTTATATATTTATAGTATTATTTTTGCACCATACATGTTATGCTTTATATGCAAACCCTGAAGATACTTTCTCCCTTCTGATTCTCAAAGTTGACTGGAAGAGATCCCTTCGACGAACAAGTCCGCGTGTGTACATTTTTGTTATAACCTAATTAATCTATATTTAAAGTGATTGTACAAAACTATACACATAAATAAGTAAACAAAATAATATTGTATAATTAAGCAATTTGGAAGAACATGGTAAAACAAGTATTTTTGACTGTACCGGAAGTGATAAACAAGCAAGGTTATTAATCATTAATTAAAATGACGATTAGGGAAGTACAAGTTTTTTTTTTGTTGGCTGAAAATGGTATGGTAACCCCGCCTGCGCTAACGGGATACGCTGGCGGAGCACCAGTGAAGGGTGATAGATGAGAATGAAAACAGGCCGGTTAGCACATCATGATGAATTCATCAGGAACTAACCATGATAGTTTCCAGGGAGAACCGCGTGGAGGTCGACCTGGTTAGGTATATTGCTAGCAATGGGATTTTTAGTCTCTATTACTAACAATCCCTTTCCCCCCTAATACAAATATTAATAGAAGTAATTAGAAGTAATCCACGATTAAGAGCAATACACTGCAACAATGTTGCATGTAATGAATAGTTTAAAATTGGTCTAGTTGGCACGATTTCTCGGCCATTCATTGCTGTTACAACTATATGGACATCTGAGGCTTGAAACGTGGGCAATAAAGAAACAGATATGCAGGTACTATTTACCTGTAAAGGCTTTTACGTCACGTTAAGTCTCGATTGTGTGTTTAAATTATTAAAAATCTTGATAACGATGCCACAGAATTAATATTATAAAATATTTATTAAAAGAGTGAACGAGAAAAGAACATTAATTGAATAGAGAATAGAAGAGGCAACTAATTCATGCATCTTCCTCCAGCCAGCTCTATCCCAGGCTATATCCTTTATCTCCCTATACGACATGACGGCTAGTGCTTCCTTTATCTGTCCCATGTAGTCATTCCTCGGTCTTCCTCTTCCTCTTCTGCCCTCTATCTTTCCTTCTACTATGCTCTTAAAAAAATCGTCATGTCGTATAAGGTGGCCCAGCATTTTGCCTCTTCTATTCTTTATAAATAATAATACATTAATATACTAAATAGATCAAGGTAAATCACACATAGTAAACGTCAAAGCAAATTAGAGAGAGAGGTATGTAATATTGTTGCAAGTAACGATATAATTTTCTGTTTTATGCCCATGTCTTCACCAAGCACTTTTATATTAATAAAGGATGTCATTCTAATCTGTTGTTTCCATAAAACTGGCTCACTTATCTATATTTGTAAATCACCGCGTCTTGGTAATCTCCGATATGGAATCCCGCGATACAGGATCGCCTAGTGCGGGCTCCAGTGTACTCACATTGTAAATTTCTTGTATTTAATAATTAAAAAAATAAAATATAAGGGCCTACCAATGAAATGCTTTACGAAATTTCGGGGTCAAACAAAACACAATTTAGATTTTAAAAATATATGATAAATACCATTTAA